GAAGGCGCAGTACAGTTATGACCCTGGTTGGGACAAAGCAGGGTCATTCGCAGTACATGACTGGGAGTCCTTGTGAAGGATGCTGTGCCCGCGACTGCAAGGAACCTCGTGTGTCTTTACATCAAGTCAACCGCGACGGCATCTCTTTGTCTTGGTCGTCGGACATAGACTCTATTGTACCACTGCCCGTTCTATGCACGTCTTCCCTGTCCACATGTGAGCCTGCTTTGGTTCGCCTAACCGCCATATTCGCTGTAGGTTTGCGCATCTGCACAACATCGCCGTCGTCTGACGATGAGTCGAGATCGACCACCGCTTCGCTTGCTCCAGCTATCGACTCGTCTCCAGGTGCGACTTGTCCAGGGATTTGTACACTGGAGCGGTGCTTTGTCCCAGGGCGCCGACGAAGACTGATGCCATTTGACTCGCGGGTAGCGGCCAACTTCGAGAGCTGAACATATATTAGTATAGTGGACGACAGAGGCTTGTGGGAGAAGCATACCATTGCAGCACGCCCCGTGGCGTCCCCTCCAGCCACGCCGCTCGCGCTCGGATCAAACCCGAGCAGTTTGATGGTCTCCGCGGTGTATGCTCGCCCTGTGGAAGTCCCCGCACCAGGAACGTCCTTCGTCTTTCCCTTGTCCCTACTACTTTTCCCTCCGTTCTTCTCCTTCTCCTTCTGCGCTGCGGTCCACGCCCTAGCCTTCTCGACCATCCCCATCCCCTCCTCATCCCTCTCCATAAGCTTGACGAGTTCCTGTTCCTCTCGCTCCTTCTCCTTCCGCGCGTCCTTGCGCTGTGCTTCGCGACCAAGTTTCTCGTTCACGAAGAGGCTTGAAGTAGAGTGCGAGACAACCTGGCCGGATATCACGTAGGTTGCACCTCCAGAATCAGAATCCACGCGTCCTCCTGTGCTCCCTGAGCCGCCCTGTGGCTGAAGTCCCCACTTTCGCCGCGGGTCGTACTCGGTCTTGACCTTCTTCGCGGTACGAGACATATTAGAGGTTCTATGACAAGGCAGTCAGCATAAGCGTCTCAAGCTATAGGACACTATACTCACCCCACAGTGAACTCCGCCCGTGCGCCTCGTACGCGTTGCAGCTTGCTCTCGACATGCCACTCGCAAGCGCCGCCACCAGGACCAGGAACCTTACGCTTGTCGAACCATGCCCCGCATGTCTACAAGGCCCGTGAGTATTCGCGTCGACAGGGCCATGCATGGGGTGACCCACCTTGCCATCCTTTCGGGTTGCGGTACACCGGCCAAGATCGCGTGCCGTTCCAATGACGAGAGTTGAGGCGAGAGACTCGGGGGTCAGAGCAAGAACATTTGCGGTGGAAGACGTATTCTTCTGCATCAAGTGTTGAAGCGTCAGTAACATGGACTCGTGATGGATGGGATGAGTACATACGCTATAAGGCTTCAAAACGCGGGGGTTCAGCAACGCTACCACACTGCCTTCACGAAGGGTCGCCATGCGTTCGTACGCCCCTTTGCTACCACCTGTTGGACCGTTCTTCCGTCAGCCTTCGAATCACACACCAAAAGCAGACGTAAAAACCAAGTCCATATCAGCCACACGCGAGGACCAACGGGCGGTCTATACACCAGGCGTGAGAGGCGCGTACCCTTGTAGATCATCTCATCTTTGCCGCCGCCGGCCCTTGGTTGTCGCATGACGCTATCCGCCTCAAATAACAAGAGGTTCAACTGTGCATCGCCAGCAGCGCTGTCCCGAGCACCGAAGTCGACGAGCTTCAGTGTGACAAAGCGCCGCCCGCCCTTTGGTTTATCCTCTTGCCGCTCTTCGGTCTCCTCCTCGTCCTCTCCACCCTTGGTCTCCGCAGAGTCCTTCTCCTTCTCCTTGCCCTTATCTTTCTTTGGCTTGCCATACTTCGGATTAGTCGCATCTTCGTCGTCGTCGCCTCGGGTCCCACCCAGGGCTCTCGCTACGCGCACAGGTCCACGCTCCGCAACGACGGCTATGGTGACCCAGTCTCCAACAAGTGGTACCTCATATGTTCCATTTGGCTGTAAGCGGACAACAGAATAGAGCATCGAGGGCGAAACGAAGTAGCGGTCGGCCAAGTAGTCCGCTAAGGAAGAATGGGGAAATGTGCGCGACCTATGATACAGCAGCGTCAGTCATGTTGCAGACGTATGAGAGCAACGGATACTCACGAAAGGTGAGTTCCAGAGTGGGGCTCTATGCGCTCAAATGTCGGATCGTCTACTGGCGGGGCGTGATTGTAAGGGCCGCGCTCAAGCTTCTCGACCACTTTCAGCCGGTCGTCTCGCTCTACGCCGGTATCCGTAGGTTCTTCGAGCCTAAACAGTATATGACGTTCAGATACATGCGTATATGTTTCTTTGACGGGAGAGAAGTACCTTGGCTTGGCATCAAAGGACGTACTTCTGCCTTCGTCCGCCGTAGGTGATGGGGCAGAATCGGGACCACTCAGCTTTGCGAGCTTCGAGAGCAGCGTACTCTTCTGCGGTTGCTTCGGTGGTAGGTCTTCTTGCTTCTCCTTCGCTTTCCGTTTCCCTTTATTCTGGCTCACCACAGTTGTGGGGACGGGAACAGGTGCTGAAGGTAGTGTAGGTAGGTCTAGCCGGCGACGTTCTGGTGACAATCAGCATCAGTAGACAGACAGATTAGAGTCAAATATTTACTGGGTGAAGGACTGGCAGGGGCGATGACTTCTCCGTGGTCCCTTCTCTTCAACTTTCCGCTCTCTGACGCCGCTCTCGGCGGTGGTGTGGCCGGTGCTGGCTCACCGTCGAGCGCAGCTTTCTTCGCCATCAGCGCGGCAATCTGCGCCTCGAGTTGCGCGCGCTCCTCTTCGAGTCTGCGGGCTTTCAGCGCTTCGCTTTCCATGATGGTCGCAATGGTGGTGGCGTGAAGAGAGACGCGTCGGGTTCGAGTGTTCATCGAAACCCACGTGCCGCGCGCGGTCCGATCAAATACGTCACGCGTCATCCTGCCGGATGGCCGCCTCGAACCTTGCCGTGCTCTTCCACCACCAGTTGCGTCTGCTCTCATCCTAATAGATACAGCTATGGCTGAGGACACTACGACAGCGCCTACTATTGATGATCTAAGAGTCCGCCTATGCTATATCTGCCGCGATGAGGAAGCACATGGTGACCCGGCACCTCGGCGATGGGTGCACCCTTGTTCTTGTACTCTGATAGCGCACGAATCTTGCTTATTACACTGGATACGAACCGCCCAATCCTCGACAACTCAATCTCCCACCTCCGCTTTGAAGTGTCCACAATGTGGAGCTGCCTATGTTCTCGAAAGTCGGAATCCACCCTTGCTGCGAATATTGGATGCAGCCAATCGTGCCCTGAGCCGAGCTGGCAGGATCGTTACTGTGACCGGCATCGGCGCCCTGACTATAGCCTGTGTTGGAGGAGTATATGTACTTCTCAGCAGCTATGGCGCGTTCGCTCTGAGGGAGTTCTATGGTCCCGCATACTACGACTTACACCTTGGGGATGATGCTGGTGCATGGTGCGTTCACATTCCCCTCCGTTCAGAATGCAACATGATAACTGACGATGCACAATTTTCCAGGCAATGGCAAGTTTGGCTTGCCCTTCCGCTCATCCCCTTATCTCTTGTCTCGGCCAGGATACCTGGTCTACCTCTACCGTCCCTTCCGACGGCCCTCCTACTTCCCTGGCCTTCCCTGTTCCCAACCCCGGCGTTGACTGCCGCGGGAACATCATACGCCTTGACTCCCGCTGCGCGATCATCACCCATATCCTCGACTCTACTCCGCCGCACTTCACTCTGGCCATTACACCCCGCACCTCTATGGCCGCCAAGTCCAACGCTGTTGTGTACGGTCATGCCCATCATTGGCGGACTGTATGGGAGATTAGTGAAGAGATTGGAGAAGGTCGCGATCGACATTGAGGGAGGGCAAAGCGGTGTAGGTGTAGGGATGCCGGAGCCCGTGAGAAGATTTGTATGGGCCCTCGGAGGCGGTGACGCCGCTGCCGAAGTTCGGATCGACATCGCGCGTGCTGAAGCGCCGGCGGCAGGTCAAGCAGGAGGAGACGCGGCGGCAGCTGAACAGGCTCAAGCTGGCGCGGTCCCGGGTGAGGGAGCTGGTGAAGCGCAACCTCAGCCCCAACCTGGTCTGGGTGAGGAAGAGGGAGAAGCAGCAGCCCGTATCGTGCGCGTAACAGGCGCCTCGCTTGGTCGAGTGCTCGGTGGCGCATTGGCTCTACCAACTATCGCACGCCTTGCCGGAGCGCTTCTCCTACGCTTGTCACACTACAGCCCTATCTTGTCTCGGATTCTCGCAGCGAGACCCGACGCTTCTACCGTGGCGACGGTCTATGAATGGGACTTCGGGACGACGAATAGCGGCGGTGTAATCGGCGCTATCCAGCGCGCAGCCAGGAAAGAGGGTTTAAAGTTTGGCGCTGGCGGTGCATTGATGGTCTTTGGGCGTATGCTCGCGTTCGGACATCGTGCTTGGATGGATGGCGACCCGGTGTGGTGGCGCAACGCGTTGGGCCTGGGTTTGTTCGTCGTCGTACGTCTCAGATTGTTCGTGACAGCGCGCAGTTGTACTGATGCCAGTGCAGGCCAAAGATGCTTTGCGTCTTCTTCACCTCCGTCTTGCGGCGCTTGAGCTAGCCAGTCGTCGGCTGAAGGACCGCGACTTTGCGGGTATCGACCCGGCGGAGCTGGACCTTGTTCGACCGTGGCCCGTACAGGGCCGTGGAATCGGAGTTGCGAGAGCTTGATGTGATTTACATGACGAGATGCCGAATGTTCAGTACTTATAGTTCGCGATGAGGCGACTTATACATGAGACTATGAGATACTGCATACATACACTTACGCGGGGGGGGGCGATTTGGGTGAGACCGTGTGAACTTTGATACGTTGCGCCAACGTCGATTTCCACTGAAAGTGATTTCTCATCGAGATGTTGTACACATCTGGTTTCTGTGGGGTACTGACGGTGTAGGTCGTCGTCTTTCGCTCCTAGGGACCAGGGACAGGCTAGTATGTCACCCGTCGCGTCGCGTCACCGTGACTAGACGCGTACCGCACCGATACGGCATCGTTGACAACGGTCGATCTTTGTCTCCAACCATCATCACTTCCTGTTGAGTATTGACGAGACGTCGTTGTCACTATCATGTTGCGTTATATGCTCTACGACTGGGCTCCTTGGGTACGTATCAATTACTTATCGTGGGCCGGCGAGCTTATTCAAATACCAGTATCACTTCTTCTGCTGGAAGGTCCTTCCGGACCCGTATCTTGCTAGCGGAGGGAAGATCTGGTGACCTACAACTGCGCGCCCAACGACGCATCTACTCATCAGTACACTGAATAGTATAAGTACTTGGATAGGGATCAGCGTCTTCAGGCCCCGCCTCGTCCCTCGACCCTCCTTCAACTCATGGGAATCTCGGCATATCCCTTGGTCCCTGTTGCGAACAGTCTTGCGGCACTGCTCATCATCCTGACCCTCGTGTCGAATGGGGTACATAGCGGTCACAACCGCTGCGTGGTTATGTTCCAAGGATGGGTGCTTACGGGAGTGCTCCTCGTGTTTTTGCAATCCGTAATCTGGAGTCACACAGACAAGAACGTTGCTCCGGTGTTCTGCGACATCTGTATGTCTCGGAGCCCATATTCTGCTTGACCAATACCTTACCCTTCATCAGCAACCCGCTTACAGATCGGGATCAACGCCGGTATTCCGGCGTGCATACTCTTGATCATGCGTCGTCTATGGCTTGTCATCGGAGGCGACTTGGAGCTGGGTGGATACAAGGCTCGTTCATCTGCTTTCAAGTAATGTATCTGTCTTACTGACTCGGTTCTCATGGCTATAGTTGGCGAAGGATGCCTTGATCGACTACCTCTTTGGCATCGCCTTTCCCGTGCTTCAGATGGTACTCTGTATGTCCATATCCTACAAGGGAGGCCGAGTCTGTTGCTTATCTTGTACTAGATTATGTTGTTCAAGGCACGCGCTTTCAGATCATCGAAGGCTATGGCTGCATGAGCGGGGTCTACTTCAGTGGTGTTTCTTTCCTTCTACTCGATGTCTGGCCGCTCCTCTTCGCGATCGGCTCAATATCACTCTATTCATGTAAGCACGGCCTAGTACACGGATGATCAATCATACTGATTGTGCGCTTACATCGAAGGGCGTGTCATGCTGCATCTACAGCGCCACAAACGTATCATCAGCCGCATGCTGCGTGGCCGTGCGGTGTCTGATAGCACGCACCACGTGCGCGCATTTGTGCTTGCCTCTGCCGGAACTTTATTCTCTCTGCCAGTTGCACTCATGACAACCTACGACGTCTATCTCCTAGCGACGCCTACGCCTGTCTTCTGGCCCGGCTGGAAGGTGATACATACGGATTGGGATCCGGTTCTATTGTCCGCTCAAGATTGGCGAGGCAGCCCCCTGTCTTCTACGGTGATCTACTGGGATCAGTGGGTAAACGCGGTTCTATCCGTTGCTATCTTCATCTTGTTTGGGTTGAACCAGAGCTCCCGGGCAACGTACTTGAAGGCATACACAAAGACGAGGCAGATCTTGTGGTCAGCTATGACCTGGAGCAGAAGCAAACTCCTATGCATACTTCCGCCTCAACCTCTCCCCATGACGGGGTACGTGCCGTAGCTTGGCTCATAGTTCGGGCAACTGCTGACCGCAGTCTGTAGTGCAAGACGTCGACGAAGTGCCGAGCTTTTGGCAGAGGAAGAGTGCTGTTCCGACAATATCCTCCCGGAAGCCTGGCTCGATCCGGGAGCGCTCGACGCGCTCGAAAGCGGTACTCGTGGGCTACTAGTGACGGTGGACCTACAGATCGAATTGCCGCCAGCGGCGTATACGCCAAATGATGCGAAGTCACCGGTGCTTATCATTCGCACTCCTGAACGTTGATGTGGTATTCCATCGCACGCACCTTGTTGTTGTACGCACGATTTGCGCAGCTGAATAATGCCCCTCTGAACGTACTGTTCCACTAGAATACAGTCGTGAACCAACGACTGCCAGTGCACTACAGATCCAATGCAGGGATTGAAGAGTGCAAAGAGACAGCACCTCGTCAAAATGCATAGTCAGTGGTCAGTGTCATCGGGCTGGTACGACACGACAACGGTAGCAGGAGTTGTGTTCTTCTCATAATACCCTCGGGGATCTTGCGTCGACGTCCCTATAGCTAGTGGACATGTACTATGTGCCGCAAGTAGGTAAGAACAGTATCCGTGGGCAAAGAACCAGTTATATTATGGCATTGGACTCGCTGGGTGCGACGGGCAACAGGGGAGACTGAATAAACATCGATTGCGGGGGGGATGCAGCCTGATGCAGGTCTCGACGCCCGGCAATCAGCGCAATCGTCGAGTTCGGCACGACCATCCGACCGGTCCGGCATTATTGAAGATTATTGAAGCCAAATCGCGTGTGCAAGTTCTGCATGAGACTACAGTCTAACTACCTTCTCTGATCCCACTCATCTCGGAGAGGAACAAGAGGGATCTCATTGACACACCATGTCGATATACCGTCGCGGGGTACCCCGTTAGTAAACATCCTGAGTAGTAGTGAGCTCTGAGGTAAACTGCTCGTTGCTTGACTATACTCACTCCGATTGTCCATTTTGGCCCCCTACACTCGCATTGAGCGATCGAAACATACGTGTTGCGCATACCGCTCTGTAATATTTCCAGTGAGTGACGAGGTCGAGATGACCTAGTATTGCACTCACAAGACAACAGCTATCGATGGCGAGCCCATGTGAGTAGATCATCCTGATGAGAGGCAAGATAAGAGCCCGCTCACATTCCGGAGTGACGAACATCTAGTTGAGATCACAGCTTAGCCGCAGTGTAAGCCCCAAAGACTAACTAGGCTCACCGCGTTCAGGATAGCTTTGGCAGCGACGCGTTAGGTTGGTCACCACGAGTGCCAGGAAGACTCACGATTGATATCCAAGGCCAGTAAAGCCTGTTAAGACCTGTCAGCTCGGTACGACATTCGCCGGTATCAAAGACGAGTTACCACGAAGGGTATCTCAAACACCGCAGCGAACAAGAGGTAGATTAGACCCTGCTACAAGATGACCAACGGCCCTCAAGGATGTCAGGGTGCAACGTGCCTGCGTCCATAGGATATGCCATACTCGGAACTTGCGAGCATCCCCCCAGTTTCTTTGAAGACCGACGAGAAGAAGGGATAGAATGATGCAGTCACCAGCCAGCATAGCCACGGATGGTGCCAATGCGTCCTCGAGCCCGGTCAAGACGCAAGCCAAGGTCGCCGGGTCATACGATGAATCGATCTATTGCGCGGCTTATCAGTCGAGCATACGCGAAGACTGAGGTATAAAGGCATACCTTGACCATAACTATGCCCGTCCTATTAGGATCGTAGCTTCGAGTTGACATTCTGGTCCACTTGTCTACTCACGATAGATGGACAATGCCAAGGTCACTAGCGCCACCACGACAAGGAGGCTGACAACTCGTTTGTTCCATGACCAGACGGCGGCCCTGGTTAAGGGTGAGTGGAAGGTCTAACGGTCACAACATTGGGGTTGGCAGGCTTACACCCGTATAGATAATAGGGTCGATGCGCAGATTATGTCAAAGAAGCCCGATGCCTGGTGTGGCAATCATCTCAGTGCCTCGATCGCGACCAGTGGTATACTGTGGTATACCGTGAGAACTTTGATCAAAACCTGTGCTCTTAATCAATCGGTCGTCCTTCTCTCAAATGAAAGGTAGTAACAGTTCGTACATGGCAATCCGAGAACACGGGGAACGTGATGACGGATACGCAGACACAATGGATAAGGCAGAAGATCCGACACGCCAGGTAAGTCTTAAGGGAAGTTAGTAATGCTTGCCTGCACAAAGAGCTGTGAGTCACGCACCCACTTCGCGAGACGCGCTACGACGGGACGCCCTGCATGAGGCCGTTTCACAAGCCTCCAATCATGGCGCAGATGCACGATGAACTCCTGCCTGATGTATTTGAGACATGACGCACGGGTAGTAATAGACTTGCTGCACTCACAGCCAGAGACCAGTGAAGAGGAGAGCCGTATTCTGGAGAGTTACTATCCGATTAGTTAGTACATATCGCCATGCCGAGAGTCTAAACCCAATAGTGCCGCGTGATAACGCACCAAGCTGATTCGGGAGGGCGATGAGGGGAGCACCTGTCAGCGACATGCCAGACGAAACGCTGAGGATCGCACGAAGGGTTGGGCTCTTCGCGCGTGTTATATCAACCTTGTCGCAAGAGGGCGTCTCCACTCCCGCGATACACTTCTTCGGCGCGGACGGGAAATGCATGAGAGATTCGAAGTCGCTAGAGATCGAAATGCACCCGTAGAATCCGCATACCACGCCGCATGACCATGGATCGATCGCACGGCGGACGCGACGGGCGCGACCGAATGCGCAGATTCCTGCATAGGTTGTTCTTGAAGCCAGAAGAATCTACGGCTTGCCGACGCCACAAAGTTGATTGAGGCCAAAACAGTCCGTCACTGTTTGTATAGACCCTCGATGGAGCCGGATGTCATCGTGAGAGTAGTAGTCACGGCGGCAATCCTTCGCGCTTCTGTCTGCGGCGTCGCCTCTTATCGTCATCTGTCTATCATCAAGTGACTATGCCAACTGCCCACCTGAGAAATGAGCGGGATACCACGAAAATCCTACTATGGGCAGAGCGATTCCAGTACTGCTCAGAGTATGGATTGCGCGAGCAAGCCAAGAGCGAGTTCTGGCCGCTCGTTCAAGAGGAGACCCGTCCCCGAAGGAGCAATACCTCGCTACAGACCAGTATGTAAGCACTCGGTTGGCGGATGTGAAGAGGTGCGGACGGGACGTACGGTGGGCGCGATGACCGTACGCGAGCGCTACCGTAGGCCTGATCGTGGGCTGCGCCCAATGCGCGCTTCTCTTTGTCTCTAGCTTTCGGCGCTCACACACGATAGCACGATGTACAATAGTCACAGTGCCCGCATCAACGGGGTTGGCCTGGTAAAGCAGGCGTGCTATATGCTATCTTCGTTACAATCGTTCCGGTAGACCTTCTAGACATCCTTCTCGACGATCTCTTCTACGCCATTCTCCTCGTCCTCGTCAAATGGCGGCTCAAGAGAGGGTTCTTGCAGGTCGCTCGCGGGGCCCTTGTAGTACGCCCGTCCGCCCAGGAAGTACCAGATCAAAGATGAGATCAAGACGGAGCCAGTGATGATAGACGCGTAGTTCATCGTCTCCCCCGTGACGGGGAGCACCGTTGGGAGCGAGAAGATGACGGACACAAAGAGGGTCCAACATATACAGTTGATGTTCATCGCCCAACCGAGTAATCCGTCGCCGAGGTAGAACGGCCCGGGTTTGAAGTTGACCTCGGGGTGGTATTCGAAGACGCGCCGAAGGAATATGGGGACGATGTAGGATAGATCCAAGGCCATGGCACACAGCGCGAAAATGGCGTTGACGGCGACAGGTGAGGCGAACTGTAGCAGTCCGGGCAGGATGCTGAAGAGCGCCGTTCCCCAGATGGCATTGATGGGCGTCTTGGTGTAAGGGGATATCCTACTGAAGAAGCCGCGATCGGGGAGACCTGGGATCTGTGGCATCAGACACGGATAGGGAAATATAGGCGTATGGCTAGACTGACCATGATCACGAGAGAACGCGTAGATACTACGCGAACCGGCTTGCAGACCAGATTGACAGACGAAGAATGCGGTAAGGCAGACGAACGTCCATAGGAAGAGTGCGCCCGCCTTGCCCATCCGTAGTACCATGATCTGCAGGAAGGCCGAATCCGAAGGTCCAGGGAGATCCGTCCTTGATCTCTAATCAGGCGAATGTTGGCATGATGGGAAGTTGAGTTACTCACAAGTTGCCGGAGCAAATGACGAGGGTGATATTCAGGAGCCACCCTAGGACACCGGTGCCGATGACTGCGATGAAAATCGCTGCAGGCGCGACATATGCGGCGCGGCGTACTTCCTCTGTGATGTGCGCGGTAGCATCATAACCCTACAGGGAAGCGATCAGCATGCGTTCTCCCGCGTATCATGGGCCGTAGTCCTTACAGTCATGGTCCACTGCACAGAGAGGAGGCCAAGTAGAAACGCCAAACCATCAGGCCATCCGTTCGTCTCGTTGACAATTCCCTGCGAACCAAAGACGTAGGGAGCGGGGTGCATCTCATGGCGCGGGGTTGTAGCTAGGAGGACGATGATGATGACTGGCTTGCAGTTTCAGTATATACGTCTTAAATGAGCTTGTTCTGATACGCACTGATGGTTGCACCGACATTGATGAAGACGAAAGACGCCGCGAATCTCGCGAGATGGCGCGTTGCGAGTGAGTTCTGTCGATTAATTCAGTACAAGCCATCTCCAACCCAGGGACCTGACTTACGAGCAGCCCATGCAAGCAGAGTAGTCCAGCAAATAGGCCTACTATCTTCCCATCCGTGACCTCGTAGGTGCCGTCTTTCGCGATAACAACAGCGGCCCAGATCATATTGGATAGGCCAAACTCGGTGGATGCTAGTCCTGCGATCTGACCCAGTACGTTCAACCATCCCACGACCCATCCAACGATCGCGCGATGACGATCCGGCACCAGCTTTGCGGAGGCCGTGTAGAGGCCTCCAGAAGTCGGATATGCGGATACGATCTCCGCTATAGACGCTCCTATACTCGATCAGTATCGATGATGACAGACGGGCACTGCGGCGAGAACGCATGTCTATGGACCAGCGCTCGCTCTGCTTTCACGAGCCGCCATTGACCAGGAGAGGAACAACTCACCGAACGTAATGCACATCGTTGCGCCTAGGAGCCAGCACCAGGTGACCTGCAAGCGTCATGGTTCAGTGACAGTCCTGAGAACGCGGTTAGACAGGAAAGGAAGTGTGTTACAGAAGCCGGACCGCCCGTCAGAAGTGGAGTATTGAATGTAGTCGCGACCGATGAGCAAACCCCCTGCGGACTATTGAGTATGCTGGAGCCGTAAGAGAGGCGTGCACGCACCATGATACTGAATGCAAAGCTGATCTAGGTATGGCATAAGCGTGCATCATGGAGTCCAGCTAATATGAACGTACAGTCGCGAGATTACTGAACTCGCGCTTGAAGCTGGCCTTGTATCCGAGCGCTGCAAGCTCGCGATCATCGTCGACAAATGTCGATGAGTCGCTGCTTGTCCTGAACACTGCTTGCCTATTCATGTCCATCACGATCGAGGGAACTGGATGCAAAGAACGAAGGGATGCCGTGAATGTCGGCAGGGAGCCTTTATAAGTAGCGGAGCCAGAAACATCAGGCGAAGTATCTGCGGGTCAGAAAATGGGATACATATGATAAGGAGAGCCAGGAGGCGTGAGTCGTGAACCGGTTGCGGGCCATATACAGCAGGCGCGCGCCTCGCGGGTGTTCTTGGGTGTATTTCCAACTTCCAGGTTGAGATTCCAGGAAGATCACGCGGTACGAGTGTCAAGCACTGTAGATAGCATTTTTTCCACATCCCCCATGGACAGCAAGGCGTTGCCTCGTCAAGGAGGAGGGGATGAGTTCGCGGAGTGGTGGAAGTGCAGAGGAAAGCCGGATTCCGGAACCGAAACACATGTCGCACGACCGCCACGTTGGCGCCTCGTGACAGGTTGATCTTCTAAGTTTGGGGCGACAGCAAGTCCTTATCATTGCGAGTCGCTTAAGAGCCTACGGATACAGGCAAGCACATTCAGAAATCGACTCTAGATACTCGTAGTACATGTAGAAGAGAAACGTTAAGAAACAGGTAGGAAGGAAGCAACCTAAGCGAGCACGCCAGCGCTTGAGACTTAGGCGCGCTGAGTACTTGCTGATGCGCTGATGCGTCGCCGGCGCGCGCTTCACAGCGATCACTAGCCGCTGAACACCCCAAATACCACTGCTAACCTCGCACCGCGTCCTACTTCGCCTGATCTAGAATGATTTCGGCAGCTGTGTTGCGTAGAAGTCAGTGCTATGTCATTGGGAAAGTAAATCAGTACTCACCACGCGCGGCGAACGAATAGACCATGGCTGCGAGGTGCACCAAGTATCAGTCCGACTGGGAAGCGCTACGAAGTTCGCACGGAGCGCTCACCTTGAGGGTGCGCAGCAAAGTGCAGAGGGAGAATACTGAGATCGCAGACCCGGACGTTCGAAGTGCCATACACCACGAGGTTCGAATCCACGACGCCGCTCATCTCCCGCGGTAGCATTGAACAAGTCCCGGCGGTGTGGAACGTCGTCATCATGTGCTTCTTTACCCACTTTGTGAGCTGGTCGTCCGTTGTACACTCTGGGCCAGGTAGGACCTCCGCGGCGACCATGCGGGTCCACGGTTCGACTGCGGCCAGTGAGCGTACGAACTTGACGCACTCCAAGAACGTCTCCAGATCTAGAACAAAGTGAGTCCAAGGTCTTCCGTCGAACATTCATGATAGTACTGACCGATCTCCTCCTCAAGATACGCCGGGTCGTAACTGGGATCAAGCTTGGGGTCCGTCGAGACGATATGCTATCGAACCTGGTGAGCGAGGACATTCGTGACGTCCGAACGACAGGAGGCTTACGGTCCGACCGCGCGAAAACTGATGATTCATCGACGGTAACAGTGAGAAGTACTTCTTCCCGGGAGTGCGAAGCGTCTGGAAGGACACATAACCGGGGACGTTCAAGATCTCACAACCAGGCGCGCCTTCCTTCAACCGCTGAATCTGCAAGCGGTACTGCTCGTATAGACCGGGTGGGTACTTATCCTTGTTCGCCTCAATCTTCTCGATTGCGGCTTGCTGTATTTCGTCGGCGCGTTTCGAGTACATCTGCAGTGGGCCGAAGGCTAGACCCATGAGACCTGTCGTATACAGACCCTGCTGTTCTTCGCTGCCAAGCATGATCAGAACAAGCACGTCCTGTATCCCGGTAGACTCACTAGAGCTTGAGATGCTTCGCGGCCAACCCAGGATCTTGGAGAGCATCGACAGTGTCAAAGTCCACATCGGCCTTCAACTCTAGAGGGACGGTAGCATCTGGTTCAACAGTATGTGTTGAGTAGGATCGGGCTCACCGAATGGAATAGGGACAAATATATGCTCTTGCATGTTCTCCCCGACGCCGGGAAGGTCGACAATAACAGGGATCCCGAGTGAGGTCAGCACTTCTTTCCTGCCGATGCCCGAGAGCTCGAGAATCTGAGGTGACTTGAGTGCGCTGGAAAGTGATGCGATCAGACTGCGCCGGACAGTGACGTATCGGAACAACAAACCCAGCCGATAGGATGACCTCGCCGCCCACTCGAACCGTATAGGTCTGATCCTCATGGAGAACCTCGACGGCATTTGCTACGACTTTCCCAGAGACCTGTTTAGTGACGACACGGCTTACAAGTGCGTCGACGGCGACGGTGAGGTTCTGACGGTCCTGAGCGGGAATATAGAAAGCCTGGCGGTCAATCAGTGACCAACATTGCTTTTCAAGGGTGTCACTAGGCACGAACCGAGGCAGAGTAGGAGCGCGTGTACGCTTGAGAATCCACGGATTGTGTGGTAAAGTATAGACCTGTCGGCTTGAGATCGATGAGTATGGTGGATGACACCCAGTGCTTACAGCACACGTACATCGCCTCCGAGAGGATCCTTAGCGTACGGGAAACCGGTGTTGTGAAGCGCCTGCAATGCTCATGAAGCTAAGCTCAACCCGAGGATTTCGTGTTTCACGCGCCTCGTGTACAGCCCTTTCGGCACCAACAAAGACTCCGGAGAAGGAGTGGCGCAGGGGACCTATCTCGATAGCTCAGCGACTACAATCTGGCCATGCAGAACGGGACGACGTACCTGATGTTCCCAATTTCCAACTTTCCACCTTGAGACCCTGCTTCAAAGCAATTTCTTCCGTGGGCGCGATGTACCTATACAATCTTGAGCGAGACAAGCCCTACGAGTACGATGCGTACGTACCCCTCAAGCTTCTTCAAGCTGGCGTCCAGATTCTTCCAGTTCCAACCTGGGTTTCCCAGCCTTTCGATGTCTGTTCGGTGCAATCAGAAGTCATGTCTCCTATGAGATCGACAATACGCATACCGTCGATCTCTTTCGCCGGGGGGACAGTCCACAACATGAGATTGATAGCGCTGCTCCCTCCCAGACCTTTACCGCTGCGATATTCCAGGGTATGAGTCGTTGGAGCATCCTTCTAGGCGCACAAGAGTCTTGTACTCACCGAGACCACCCGTGTTCAATGTCCCCCGCGAATCTCTGGGCAACCTACCAAGAACGTCAGAGCCATTGTAGCGAGTATGCATCGACTAGGATCTGACATACCGTCTTATGCTTCCAATCATACTTGTCGTTCTGGAAATGAGATCCCCAAGACGCGGGACGCACTACATAAGGTAAGCCCTCTGCACTGGCCGTTCAGGAAGATGGCTCACAGATGGCGGGATCGTTGAGATTGGCATTGCCGGCCTCCAAGCATAGAACCGACTTGCGCGCGTCTTCGCTGAGGCGCACTGCGAGTGTAAGGCCCGCGGTCTAAATTTGTTGATCGTCAGCACCATCGCCAGATGATGAGCCGAGGGGAGAACGGACCCCGCCGCCTGAATGGGTGTTTGGAGTCAGTGTAAGGAGAGCATTCTATGCGAAACTACGCACCGACGACGACGTAGTCGTACGACTTGTTCTCGATGTCCTTGATGGAGCAGATGGGCATAGCGGCGCACTGATATTGCGTGGTTGGGGTCGACGTCGGTCCGCCTATAAACTTTAACGGTCACAATCTTATAGGCGTGCTACTGGACGTGATGCGGATGCGCGGGATCTGGACAGCGCGAGCATACACGCTAGGTCTCCTTCGCTTCAATTTACTCGTGATGCACGCCTGTCAAGAGATGGGTTTTCATTCCGTACTCGACGGGTTCGGGCATTGGCGTCTGGACATTTGGGATATCCTTCTGACGATGGAAGCGCACAAATTCCTTGGACTGCTGGGACGAGGGGTCTCCGAATTCGCCAAGGCATATCTTAGTTTCCGCTCAGGGAAGGAATGCATGGCCTTCGCATTTCTCCAACCGCGGTCGCCACCTATTCTGGGCTCGTCTGGACTGTGCGACTGAGACGACCCAGCTGGCCTGTGAAGCTCGTAGATGCCAGAGAAGCCTGCTCGGTCTATAGAACGGATTCTTCGGACATCTCATCTAGTTGGGTGCATAAAGAAGGACAGACAGAAGGGAACGGTGTGAGCGATAGTGGTGGTTGAAATCAAGGTCCACGGCGTCACCGGGCAATCTGTGTCCCACCATCATTGCCGCCTAACCCGTCACCCACGTTCCATCACACCGACGAAGCCTGCGGTACGCGCGGCCAGGACTACTTCGGCTCACACTGAGTGTGCAAATATCTTCTCTGCTGTTCGAAGGTCAGATCTGGTCGCCCCAAAGTGATTGAAAGTGGTCACGTATCTGAATTCCCTGTTGTAGCTCATCTCTCGGTAACATGCGTGCTTCGAATCGGCGACGGAGCGGTGCCTCACGGTACACACGACCTTTCCGGGGACAAACAGGAGGCTGGAAACGCAGGGATGTCAAGAAGGCAGCTGGAAGCACAGAACGGCGCGCGATACATGACGGCTCAATTCAAGTTCAGTCGAAGGCGCGAACAAGACGCGAATGCGGTTTCGCAAACTACCACCATCACCGTTGACACAAAGTGCACCGAGGCTCATCCTCTTAGCTCTGCCCTGCACATGGTTGCTGCGTGAACTACGGAGTATAGCACAACTCCCGCTTATAGTCCAACCACAACGAATAGACGTGTCCATAGTATCGGCTCTGTACCCCTCTCCGTAACCAAAGCATCGCCGCTCAGCATACGGTTCTGCTAGCGGCCTTTCAACACCCCCGCGATTGCTGTCAAGTTATGTCCCTGAGGATCCTTGCGTTGGAACTCTATTCGATACTCGTCGCAGCAAGTTGGATGGAGTGCCTGGAGAGACAGGCCCGTTCTGACCGACATCTCTAGCTCTCGCCTCAAGGCTTCCGAAGTTCACATAGGCTCCCCGTGAAGACGCTACCTTCGCGTTTCTCGGTCTGCTCCTGTGCCCTCAGAGCTATACAAATGAACATCGATCTTTCCACCGTTGCGCCACTTGAAGCCTGGACATCGGCGTTCCCGGAAGGAAGTCAATACCCAGCACTATCCCTGCGTCGGATACGGATGCCGCCCCAAGATGTTCTAACTGTTTCCGATAGCATGAGGAACGCGTTGCCTCTGGTTCCTCTGCGTAGCCCCTGTCATTTGGCAAATACGCCACATTACGGGTACAAGCTCCCTGCGTGTCGCTGTATGATCGTACATGCTTCATCGGGTGTCTCGATTGGTTGCACCCTCGCTGACGATCATCCCAACAGGATGACTATGTCAGCCCGAATGGCCGAGCGTCACGTTTTATGACAACCTCTACCTTCTGAGCAACTCGTGTGCTACTTAACGGGCTAGCACGTTTTCCGGTGGGCGTTGACGGTCCACTACTGCATTTCCCCGCTCCCTACATGTCTTCGGACTCATCTTCTCCCCCGGTACTACTCGAGCCTAACGTCGCGGCACTGTGAGTCATCTGTTCGCTACCACCACATTCCATGCCTGATCCCGTCCGATAGGTACGGTCCCATCGTACGTGACACAGCTCGGATAACATGTGTCGTTTGCTGCATGTGAGGTCTGTAGCTTATCGGGAGCCTTCTCAATTACCTTCTTCTGGGGACTCTATTTGTGCAACTGTGTCTGTGGCCCATTTCTCATGGTGGCTTTCAGGCGCTTTACTCATGTCATACTACAGACATCTACGTCAATAGCGGACAGAGACAGAAAGACCCGATCTGGGCTCGTTCATTGGGTACCGCTCCAGTGATTGAACGCGCAGACTGCCGATGCTTACTCGGCTTGCTAGTTTCCTGCGTCTTTCTTGTGGATCTGGCACAAAGCGTCATTGTGACGCAGCTCACATGGCAACTCCTCATACTGAGCTGGGGGAGGACCGATCTCTTGACTACCAAGATTCCTTGGAGCGGTGCAGTCGTGACTGGCTTTGACGGACTTCGTAAGCGCAGTTCAGGCAACCTCGTCGGGTACATCTCATCTCATCCCTCAGTTGCATGGATGATACAGTCGTTCTACGCATGGTGGGCCTTCCGCAAACCTTCACGATCGGCGACTTCTAACCTCAAACATAGGCGCATCTGGACACTCACTACGACCGGGTGGATACGCATACTGCCTGTCCTTATCGTAGTGGTGAGCGTTCTTTGGACTTGAGTTCTGGTACGGCACTGAGACGTGTGTTGCGCAGTTGTCCATCGTGCAATGGGCTGGTTCGTTAGCTGCTACAATCCTGGCAAGTGCCATGCTCATCGTGCGCACGGATAGTAGAGTTGACGACTCACATCAGATACTCAAGGCCGATGGGAGTACAGCCTCATTAACGCAGATTACGGGTGGTATCGATGTGATTGACTCACTCAGATCGTAGCCAAGATGCCATTGACTAGTTGACAGCCATGGCTTATAGGAAGCTTTATAAACGATATCATCATAGCTGCATGCATGATCACGCTGGTGAGTGCTTCATACCAGGCGCCTCTCCGAGTTCTTGTTCTCATGTGTGCTAGCTGTACAAAGCCCGTTCTCGTACGGTATGGGTACAGTCGAAAAGCCTGTATGACCGGCTCATAACCAATACCATCCAAACCGGCCTCGTCACTGCCCTCGTTGCAGGAGTGGTGAGTTGACGGCGGCAAACATCACTTCTCCCCGGCTCACATTCACTATACAGGATCTCTTCCTCTGGAAACAGTACCCCGCGGAGTATTATCACATGACAGCGTGCGTAGGAAACCCCTTCCTTTAACAGGATAGCTCATCAACGCATAGTGCAATAATCCTCGGAAAGCTCTACAGGTACCACTCATATGCCGGCAGCTCTCTCTCATGCGCTAACTGTCCTTAGTAACGCCTTGTTGTCGACGATCAATGGAAGAGTCTTTCGCGACCACGGGAGCGACTCACAACAATTGGCGTCTACGGGCATTAACAATGGTGCTCCTGTAGGAGTGCAGATACATATAGCACAACAACGCGAGAGACGAATCGACGAGCCGGCGGAGAATCGTAACTCCAACTTGCGCACCGTTGCGAAGAAGGACCAGCGACTTGTATCATGGAAGCCTCGTGTGCGTACGAACCGGCATCGTCTTGACACGCCAGTCTGACACTTCGCTGACCAGACATCGACCGACGATGATGCGCACATCTACGAGTTATCGACGCTCTCGAAGACTCTCCCAGCGACAAGCTCCAACGACAACGATGTGGACATAGTATGAGTCAAACCGGGTGTCAAGACCGCGCGAATCAGTGAATACCTGTTGTATACATATTGCTTTCTTGCCCGTAAGCTCTGCTGCATGTTCAGAACCAATTTACGTATGCAAAACTGTGCTCAATACATATAGTATGCGAGTACGCGTGGCAAGCTCCTGAGTCTTGTTCTACCCCGACGGCCGCCGAGAAGAGTATGCTCGTTCAGAAGCCACCCGAGGGCACCGGCAGTCGTCTCAGCGGGCGTCCCGAGGAGCGAGACGTCCTTCGGCACAGGCTTCGTCTCTCTCCACCTCTCCGTCCTGCTGCGTTTCCACCTTCTCCTCGACTTATTTCACTTCCTCCTCCTCGGGCTCGAGTTCCCGCGGCTGCGGAGCCGGCGAACCACGGACACCTGCTCGTCGAACTTGTTCAACGCGCGCTCAACCTCGCGCTTGCGTCCACGGACCGCCTCGTCGCCCTCGTTTTCGATCCCATCAAGCTGCTCTGAGAGATAGTACAACACATGCTGGTATACGCGAAGCGGCGTGTTGGTCGAGGAGTAAGTGAGGATGCCCGTCGGGCGTCACGAGGAAGCGGAATGACGTGCGAAGCGAGGTCAGGGAAGACCTGATGGACTGGATACGCTCTACGACAAGAGACACGGTAGATGCGGCGGGTGCAGATGTAGAGCGGCGATGCGCGGCACACTAGGTGTTGACGTCTTGGGCAGCGTTACCAGTATCCGCCATTTCCCGCTTCGTCGAGCGAGCGAGGCGTTCCTCAAGACGCTGCTCCAGAATGTCGTGGGTGGGATCCCGGGGAGAAGCCGGCTCCGAAGCAGCGATGCAAGAGACTGGAATAAACGAGTCAGTACTAGAATAATTGTAAAGCGCGAAGGAACATGACGAACCTGATACTGCTGCTGACGAGCGATCTGCGAGCCAAAAAGGTTATAGCTAAAGTCGTAGACGCCCTTCATGTTGGCCTGCTCGGGATACTCCTCGGCCTTCGGCTGCAACTTGGGCGTAGTCACAGGCGAAATGAGCTTGACGGTGCGTTGAGCTTTGACCGATTGATGGCGAGCCTTCTGAGTCGTCCGCGGTGCAAGCGAGCGTTCGAGAAGGTTGGCGACAGTGATGGGGCGAGCTTGCGTTTGACGTGGAGAGCGGGGTGGAATGATATGAGGGGTATCAGTGCACAGTTTGGCGCCTGATGTCGGTATACAAGTCGGTGCATTGAGTTGTTGGAATAAACAGGGCTGCATAGTTGCGACGAGGGCCAGAATAAGGGTAGAGGTCAGATAAGAGATGATGATGGCGGAAGCAGGGAGGGGAAGACACTCATCCGCAGGCGGCCTAAGTGTCTCTGCTCAACCACCACTCCCTCTTCGAGCGGAGACGTATCAATACACCTGTAGCCCTCAATAAAGCAACATGTCGTTCTTATGAGACGAGCTACTGCTACCTACTGCTAAGTACATGATCGCTGTGCTAGCGATATTAGTAGCGTCGGCAGCGCGCACTTGCCGCCGCCTGATCCGCCGGCAGAAGAGTCGTGAGCTTCTGCAACGGATCAACGTCAGTCTCGGCTCCGTCCCGGCGGCGACGACCAAGCTGTCCATCGAGCTGAATGTGATGGGTCCAGCAGCACGGCATTGTCATATGTAAGCTCTCACTAGTACATCCTCAGTAGTCTTCACAAGTACGTACTGTAGCTATACCAGTCATTGAGCAACACAAAACGCTTGAACGCTGAAGACCGAGGTAGCCGAGAACCGGGCCGGGTGACCCGAACGGGATGGTGTCATCTGAGCTGCCTTTGTTCTCGACGTCGATCTTCCCAACGCTTGAGCGCTCGACGCTGGCACCGTGTAGCACTGCTTCAGCAGCCTGGAACTTACGAATCAGTGTTGCGCGCAGGTTTGCTTATATGAACGAGCGCTCCGTACATTTCCGGATGTCAGATTCTTTCCCGTATACCCGGGGCGCTCGATGGCACTGTAACATCTCACTTCGACGGCTCATCCCCATCTGGGAGACTTGAACGTCGCCCTATAGCCTACTGTATACAACAATCCTCCTCATACTTCTGGGTCAGAAGAGACTGCTCACACTACTTCACGCGCCGTGCGCCAGTAGGCGGTAAGTGTTGGCTAGGTTCACTCCGAGAGCCCTAGATTGATCACCTACCAGGTTCAAGCCATGCAGTCTTTGAGAACATCCGTAAAGCCCGACCGCTCCTTCCCCACTGCTCGTGCATCTTCTGCGCAAACTCCCTGCCTCGAATTGCGAGAGAGCGCTGGTTCGCCGCGCGTGTTGGGACCGTCCCTCTGACATGATGGTCCACGAGCGCTCAAGTGTCTGCTGGCTTGTCGACATCCTCAAGCTTGTCCCGCATGGACTGAAACGTATTCGGGCACGTTGAATATGCATGTCGCGAAACAGGTCTACCCTGACCCCTGGACTACGGTCAATGGCGCTGATCAGTAGTGATACTGCACGGACGGGGGATGGCCGTGATGCGCGAAGCCACAGACTGCTGCTTAGTGTGATCGTACCTCTGGATTTTTTGCAGACCATAAGACTACGAGTCGATGCTTTCGGTGTTCGACTGCACTCCTCAACACCCGCGGGCGCATCTCGAAGATGCTGACAGCGGCAAACGTCATCCTCCTCCTCTTCGTGGGTTTGAACTCTGCAAGGACGCTCTACGAAGCATCGGAAGTCAGTCAAACTGACTACGATTTCATCATTGTCGGAGGCAAGTCACTTGTACATGAGAGCAACGGCGTGAATGCTGAAGTCCCTTCTTTCGTTAGCCGGGACTGCCGGATGCGTACTCGCCAACAGACTGTCCGCTTCTCCGAATAACTATACAGTCCTAGTCCTGGAAGCGGGTGGCAGGTTTGTCTGATCATTGTCAAGACAGGCTACAGGCTCGCTGACGACTGTCTTTAGTGATGCCGGAGTACTCGAGTTAGAAGTCCCAGCCATAGCCCCTTCCATATTGGCGAACGCGTCATTGATATGGAACTACACTACGGTCGAACAGCCAGGTCTCAATAATCGTGCTCTTTCCTATCCGCGAGGTCGCGTTCTGGGTGGCTCCAGTTCTATCAGTGGGCACACTTCTTTCGTCGAGCTTCAGACCTCGTCGCTCACTGTGTACAGACTTCATGTACTACACGCGAGGATCACGAGACGACTACGACCGATTCGCCGACTTCACTGGAGATGAGATCTGGTCGTGGGATAATATGTTTACGTACATGCTCAAAGTACGTTCTCCGCTCCACCGCTGCCACCCACTCTAACGCATCGGCAGGCGGAAGACTTTGTGCAACCGATCAACGGACAGCCATCTACGGGGCGCATTGATCCCACGGATCATGGTCATGACGGTTCACTCCTGACGACCACGACTGGCTTCCCATTCCCGTTCGACGATCTTGTCGTCGAAACGTCGAAGACGCCCATCAACGAGTTCAACTTCTCCTACAACGAAGACGTCAATTCTGGGAACACCATTGGAACATGTGCGCATATCATCTTTCTCTTGTTCCCATCCGTACTGACGATCGGCTTTCAGCTTGGATCCAGTCGACAACTGGTGGCGGGGTGAGGAGCAGCGCAGCGACCGCCTACCTACATCCCGTACTGGAGCGGGATAACCTCCACGTCATGTATGGCGCTCAGGTCACGAAGCTGGACGACGTCGGTGGCGAAGCCACTCCGGATTTGCGCCAGGTCTCGTTCACGACCAGCACAGGTACATAACCCTACATCCATCTCTTCTTGAAGCTTCTCATGCGATGCCATACAGGTGAGGCGCTAAGCGCTCGCGCGAGTAAGGAGGTCATTCTGGCTGCTGGCGCTGTGAATACCCCTCAGCTGTTGCTCTTGAGTGGTATTGGTGATCCAACGGACCTGGCGGCGCTCAATATCACGAGCCTTATCAACGCCCCTGCAGTCGGTCAAGAGATGCAAGATCATCCTCTCCTCGCTATACAGTGGACGACGAACTCGACCGCGACCCTTGATTCTTTCACGCGTAACTCCACTGCGGTCGCCGATGCCTTGAATCAATGGATAGCTAACAGAACCGGCTTCGACACGACTGTTGCGACCAACCTCTTCAGTTGGGTGCGCCTTCCAGATAACTCAAGCGCAATCGAGACCTTCGGGGATCCTTCTGCTGGACCGACTTCCGCCCACCTGGAACTTCTGCTTGTCGTACGTCTATTCTCGCGTCCTTATAGCTCTAGCGCTTACTGGCACCTACAGGACTACTTCATATCGTTCGCGGCCCCGTCTCCCGAGAGCGGTGCTTATCTAACGATGGTACTGAACGTCGCCTCACCCGCCTCTCGTGAGTACATCACACATCCTCTATAACTGAATCGTTTATCTGATGCACGAATAAGGCGGACGTGTCCGGCTGGCCTCCTCAAGCCCTTCGCAGTTCCCACTCATAGACCCTGCGTTCCTCACCAGCGACTTCGATGTCGATGCCATGGTGACCGCCATGCATGCCGCCGAGACGTTCTTGGCAACCGGACCTTGGGCGGGTATGAACCTCCAGCGCTTCGGGCCATGGGCGAGCGCAACTACGGACGCTGAACTCGCGGATGTGGCGCGCGCTGGCATAACCACGTTCTGGCACCCCTGCTGCACCGCGCGCATGGGGAAGGACGATGATTCGACGGCAGCGATCACATCTAAGCTGCTTGTTAAAGGCGCTACCGGTGTACGCGTTGTCGATGCGTCTGTATTCGTGAGTATTCGACTTTCTCGGGGCGTTACTATGGGTACTGAAGGAAACTTCCATCAGCCCTTCATACCTGCCGCTCATCTTCAGGCTCCTGTATATGCTATTGCCGAACGTGCCGTCGACATTATCTTCGAAGCGTATGCAGCCTGAGCGTGCGGTCACGAACTAATAGGAGGTGGGAGCCCGTAAAAGACCGTCACAGGCTACTTGGTACTGACCACAACCATGGTCTGCGCGCGACGATGACAGGGATGGCGGTATACCGTCGGTATATGATACAGTCTTACAAGTAGATACAACAGACGATGTGCATGAAAGAATGACGAAGACAGTGCCTGCCGACGAGAGAGTGAAGCAAGCTTTACACTACGTGCCGCTGCTCATCACGTCAGACCTCCTTCTCAGTAATCTCTCCTATATCCTTCTCTCTATCATTCGAGAATGGGGCATCCATAGAGGGTTCTTGCAAGTCGCTTGCAGGGCCCTTGTAATGTCTCCGTCCGCCGAGGAAGTACCATATCAGCGAGAGGATGACGACGGAGCCTGTGATTACAGACGCGTAGTTCATTGTCGCCCTCGTGACAGGGAGTACCGTCGGTAGCGAAAAGATGACGGACACGAAGAGCGTCCAGCAGATGCAGTTGACGTTCACCGCCCAACCGAGCAATCCATCGCCAAGGTGGAAAGGTCCTGGTTTGAAGTTGACCTCAGGGTGGTGTTCGAAGACGCGCCGAAGGAATATCGGGATGACGTAGGATATGTCTAGCGCCATGGCGCATAGGGCGAATATCGCGTTTACGGCCACGGGCGAAGCGAACTGTAGCAGTCCAGGGAGTATGCTCAGGAGCGTCGTTCCCCATATCGCATTGATAGGCGTCTTCGTGAAGGGTGATATCTTACCGAAGAAGCCGCGATCAGGAAAGCCTACGGTTAGATTAGCTCAGTCTCTAGTACACAATCGCGACGGTCGGATGTGGGAACTCACCATGATCGCGAGAGAACGCATAGACAGTACGCGAACCAGCTTGTAGACCGGCTTGACAGACGAAGAACGCCGTAAGGCATACAAACGTCCACAAGAAGAGAGCGCCTGCTTTGCCCATTCGCAGTGTCATGATCTGTAAGAAGGCCGAGTCTGAAGGCCCCGGAAGATCGGCGCTGTGTGACCGGTTAGACCATCATCAATCTGGTAGATTCTTGCTACTCACAAGTCACCTGAGCAGACGACGACGATGATATTCAGCAGCCACCCAAGCACACCAGTGCCGATGACTGCAATAAAAATTGCGGCAGGTGCCGCGTACGCGGCGCGGCGCACTTCTTCCGCGATGTGGGCGGTCGCATCGTAGTCCTGCGAGAGGATCTCAGTAAGCGCCCTCCTGCCTCGTACACATCGAGATGTCTCACAGTCATCGTCCATTGTACGGAGAGAAGACCGAACAAGAAGGCTAGGCCGTCCGGCCAACCATTCGTCTCATTGATGACACCCTGTGAACCGAAAACATAAGGTGCTGAGTGCATCTCGTGGAGAGATGTCGTAGCGAGCAGCACGATGATGATCACTGGCAAGTTTCGTCAGTACGCGCTCTTTCGGTGAACCCGGAACCAGACACGTACGAATTGTAGCACCGATGTTGACGAATACAAAGGATACCGTGAACCTTGCAAGGTGTCGTGTCGCCAGGCAGTTCTGTTCACTCGGTGAGACCGCCGCTGCACAACTCTGCTAGGTAAATGCGTACGAGAAGTCCGTGGACGCATAATAGCCCTATGAACAAGCCTACTATCTTGCCGTCCGTTATCTCGTAGTCTCCGTCCCTCGCAATGACCACGGCGGCCCATATCATGTTGGACAGTCCGAATTCGGTAGATGATAAGCCTGCGATCTGGCCCAGGATGTTGAGCCATCCCACGACCCAACCGACGATTGCACGGTGGCGTTCTGGGACGAGTTTTGCCGAAGCCGTGTACAGGCCACCGGAGGTAGGGAACGCAGAGACTATCTCTGCTATAGATGCGCCTGTGTCGTATGAGTTAGCATTGAGTATAGTCGGCGTATCGCGTTGAGCACGGTTGAAGGTACGAAGATGATGGATGGCAGCAATGTCGATTGGGTGCACCAGTCTCGCGCGTGGGCGGACCAATGGCCCCGATCTCACTTGCACACCTAAGAGGGGAGAGAATCTGACTGACCAAGAGTAAAGCACATTGTAGCTCCCAATAGCCAACACCAGGTGACCTACAGATGTCCCAGATCAGTCCTAAAGAAGACACCTAGAAAGGAAGGGAAGGGACTTGCGGAAGCTGGGCCGCCTGTCAGAAGTGGTGTATTGAACGTCGTCGCCACCGACGAGCAGAGACCCTGTGCACTTTTCAGCGCAGTATCCTAGATAAAGGGGCACAGACGGACCATGATACTGAACGCGAAACTAATCTGTGCTCGAGATGAGTATATCTCTCATACGAATGAGACCGGCAACACGCACGGTTGCAAGGTTACTGAACTCGCGCTTGAAGCTGGGCTTGTACCCAAGCGCTGCAAGCTCGCGATCATCGTCGACAAAGGTCGAGGAATCGCTGCTCGCCCTGATTTCCTCCTGCCTGCCCATTTCGACGACGTACGATGAGGGCAAGGACTGAGAAGCTGTGGGATGCTGTGACTGCTGTCGAGAGAAGACTTATGGCGGAGCCTTGATGATCTTGTCCATAGATTGTATGGCAGAGAGCGGGTGCACATGATAAGGATCGTAAGGAGCGTAACTTGTAGGCCGGATGCGGTCACAGGCGCGCGCCTGTCGGCGGGGGTTCTTGGGCGTCCCATGCCGGCGTCTCAGGCTCTTAGCTTCGCGCTCCGTTGGCGCCATACGCAAATGCATAATGTTTCATGACTATTGACGTGGTGATTTCTAAGAGAACAGAACACGGCACTCGCAAGGAAGAGGCGGCAGATGAGAGTTGGGAGAAAAGCCGGACTCCGGTACCGAAACACATGTCACACGACGGGCCACGTTGATGCCTCGTGGTGTAAGGACACGCCCACAGTGCCTCAGATATGCCAAACAGCCAAGGGACACAGGGAGTAGAAACTATCTAGGCACTCATGACTGGCGTGTACGTCGAGTCTTCATGGGCATATCGGTGCTCATGCTCGTCCAGGATCGTCCGACGGCCAGTCTCTATACTTCTGGGAAATGCATCGCGGGGTTATATTATCTGGCGCGTCTTCAGGCCAAGGATATGGCACCATGGAGATATAGCACATTTCCTGTAAGCAATATTTTGCTTAGCTACATGAGATCTATCGAGATGGAGCGTGGACTCACCCCGATCGCGCACCCGGGGACGCATCTGTTGAACTGCGGCCAGTCCAAGTATTGCAGAAGCTCGCGTATGTGCGTTCTCCATCTCGAGGCCGCCGCTTGCCTCTCCTCCACATGCACGTTCTCAATGTCGAAGGCGTCAATCCATATGAGGCCAAGTCTGCGGCAGATCTCGTGCAGAGTCTGCCCGACGGCATCGCGCAGGAGGCGCTCTTGCGGAGTGAAGAGCGCATCTTTGACGTGGGTTGCCGGCGAGCGAGAGCAGCGTTCTACAACGGGGGACATCCACGAGACATCCGATTGCCCGGGTACTTGAGGTACGTCGGTAGGCCGCATATGGTGAACGAGTAATGCCAGAACGAATTGCCGCGCGTTCTTCATGTGTGCGATAGTGGCGTCTGCAGACGCTAGCGTGTCGTTGAGGGTCTGTAAGCGGTCGGCATACCGATCATAGACAGCCTGGAAGAGGGCTGGCCAATCCAGTCCGCTTCCGAGCTCTTCCCGCGTCAAGACGGAGCGTACTTCCTGTAGTTTGGTAAAGATGTCCTCCGGCGAGATATCCTGTATGTTGTGGTGTGCGCGCGACTTGCCGCGCCGTCCTGGAAAGAGGCTGGAGAGTGCAGGATCATAGAATGATACGACTTGCCCGAAGTTGATGCGTACGCGCGCCTCTCCGGGCAGGCGATCATGGCGCTGACCGGCAAGAAAAGCTTCGATGTAGGTGTGGGTACCGCTCATTAACTCGCCCTTCCAACCGGCGGGACGAGGAGGCTGTCCATTACCAACCAGGGCATCGGACTGGGGCGGCAGGTCGGAGAGTTCTACCAGACGAAGTCCTTCGGCGATGTCGCAGTACATCAACTCGCTAAATGAATGTGAGCAAATGACCGAGATGGGCGCATAGACGATTGGACTCACAAATCCCATTGCATGCGTACAAACCCATCGATGCCAAACTCACGACCCCAGTCGCACAACGCTTTCAGTCGCTGGGGCTCCCAACGAATGCGCTCATGATGGATCGAGCCCCACGCGAGTAGGTCCTGGGTCTCCATATGACTGCTGTTCGGGACCTTAGCGGCACTGAAGCCGTCGAAATACAGAACTTTGAGGTCGCGCGTTGCGACATACGACGCGATGCGGCACGGGTTGCCGCAGTACAAATAACCCACTTCTGCATCGAAGCCAAGCCAGTCGCTTGTAGTGGGAGCAGTGCCATTGGACAGGTAAGTGCCGTGGTAGAGCATGGTCCCTAGTGGTATGCGTCCTGGCGCGATCGTATGTCCTGCATACAACGAAGCATTAGAACAAGAAGTACACAGGGGACCGACGCTTACCATTCTTCCTCATCGTATTCGGCCACCGCAGAGGCAGTCCGCTCATCGAACCAAAGATGAGATGCCCCGTCGCGTCCGGTGGCGGAGGTTGCGCCCATGGCGGTCGATGCGGCTCTCCTTCCACAACCGCGCTCAAGATAGTCTGGGCGGTCCTGGAAGCTTGGGCAAGTAACAGATGGTGGCTGACAAAGTACAGCCTGTATGCGAGGCCAGCGAGGAACATGGGATAGGTGGCGTGGTACCACTCAAGTCCTACAACTGATAAGACGCGGATTGAGCGCGCAGGGGCGAATCGTGATGTACTGCGGAAAGAGGGCCTTATATATTCACCCCAAAAGGCAAGACAAGTGCAATGATCTAGTTGTAATACATGTCGCGACAACGACGTATAAGTTATGAGGTCAAGACTATAGGTGGCAGTGGCGGTAGGAAACAAGTCGACAGGCTGAGTGGCCGGCGCCGCCGCGTCGCGCCCGGGGGCCGCCAGGCCGTGGCGCGGGTCCTCCACCGAGCGGCGATGCGCGTTGTTCTTTCCTGCCATGTCAAACATCTAGTGTGGCATCTCACCGCATACATCGCTTCAGGATGGTCATTTCAATATAACAGTCCTCTAGGAGCGTGCAACACGTCCCGGAAGCTTGCAAGCCAGTCGGATTTGGCGGTTGGGGAAGTTCAGGCGCGGGCGCAGCTTCACAACCTATCCTTCGAGCAGGCCAAAATACATACACAAAGAAGGCTCACTACTGTACTCCGATACTGGTTGAATATCCGCGAGTCCTTATGATAACTGAAGACTTATTTCTACATGAGGCCTGGTATGAAGCGATATGGCACCCTTTTCTCCCACTCCGTCCACTCCTTGCCAAAACTCTCCGATAGCAACTTATCCTCCTTCGTGGAGCGCGATACCACTGACACCAAAATGACTATACAGCACGCCGCACATAGAGCGATAACTTTTCCCAGTAGAGTGTCGAATACATGCGCCTCCATGAACCACGAACCACCGGACAGCTCGCAGATGAAGATCCCAACGACGGTCATGAATAGCGCTGTGTAGGATGGGTGTCGCACATAGGCATATGGGCCGGTGGTGATGAGCTTGTGGTCCTTGAGAAGCGATAATTGGAAGGTGAAATGCGCGCCCATAACGTGATATGACCAGATCCGCACGAGTGCACCGGATAAGGTGCATAACACGCCCAGCACGAAGCCCGGTGAGATGTAGCTTGGCTGATGAGCTGGACCCGTAGCGGCAGGTAGTAGCTGACGGATACTCGACACGTCACTCGCAAAAGCGACTTCCAGTACCATGAGACCAGACACAAATATCTGGTAGATCATGCACTCCTGTCAGCGCGGGTACGGGACTCGTGCCCACAGCAAGTGTCTCACCTTCTGCATCACAGCCCTCAGACGGCTGTAGTTGGGCTGCATGAATGCAGCTCCAAGGGCTGGCCCTAATTTCTGATAAGAAGTCTGCCTTTCCGGCGGAGGCGCCGGGTTGGGCGAAGTGTAGGCGATGCTATAGCTCGTCCAAGCGACGAGGAGAAGAGCTATCCTAATCAGGGCCATAGTGTTGAACGGCTAATGACCGCAAGCCTTATGATGAAGCCGCTAGTAGCAGTGGTAAGGTGGGTGTCGAGTATAAGAAGGGGTGTATCGAGTCGCCATGCCTGCGAAGATCGTGGTGAAACTTCCCCATGACGTTTGTGATCATCACATACCGTACGTAATTAGGATATGTGTCCGGTCTTCCTGTCAAGAAGTGGAACATGCAGAAAATTCAATCAATCCCTGGTCCAAGTATATGCCGTTGGTGAGAAATCGGGCTGAATCCCGCTGTTTCAGTTAGGCAACGAGTCGAAGCGCGAGGATGAGCTATATTAGTAATAGAGAACCGCATGCAGTCGAGAATAGTCGCGTCCAGGCGTCATAACCAGCCGATCCCGATAGGTGTTGATTCGGATACAGCTATCGTACTTTGACAGGCCCCGAGGTTCATTGGAACAGCAGGGATCCTCACAGAGTCAGCGAGAGCTCGGCATGCCAAGGCCCAAGTTGCGATGGTTTCTGCGATGGACCCTCAACCGGAAGGAAGCAGCATGCGGGGATCTCATTCCCGTGGCCTCCACAGACGAACAGCCTCGGTGTGAACGCTTGCTACCGATATAGCGTCTGGCAGCCTTTTGGCGTCTCACTTCCTTCGCTTCGCTCGGATCATCCTGTCCTCTATGACATTGGCAAGGATTGCGACGTAGGTCGTCACAGCACGGATACAGTACAAGCCCGCAGTATATGACTACGCACATAGAGCAGTATCATCGAGGTGTAATCATGTGTCGCCACCCATGAGTATGTAGCCTCACTCGGAAGGATCGGACCCATCCGATATGTATATGTCAGAAGTACACGACGCGCCACCTTGGTTGAACACATCATCTGATCCAATTCTCACAAGACGAAAGAGTAGGAAAGAACCTACGAGCTGGCGATCTGGCGAGTGGATGACCGATGCGCACGGACGGCATTGCGTTCCGCGGCTTTTGGGGTCACCCTCAATAGTAAAGTTCATAGCAAGCCCGCGTCGGGGTGACAGTCAGAATCATGCACCACATCACAGATAGTGATCATGGTGGCGCTCTTCGAGTGCCTATCATCGAGCAACTAGGAGTGGGACAATGGCAGCGTTGGGAGAAAAGCTTCATTTTGGGGAGGCGCAACGCGCGGCGACGCGTGAGACAGTGCACGTGCGCGCGCTTAGGTCCAAATTCGAATCCTGCTCGGGATCACCATCTTCCAGAGATGCCCATGCTCTTGAATTGGATATGACCATCCTTCGGCAGGATGTAGAGCATGCGCGACCTCTCACCCTCAAGCCTTCTCGAGCTCGTCCACGGTTACTGCCTGCAGCTGAGCTTCTATGCGTGTCCAAAGAACCATCGACTCGGTAGTGTTGCCGACTGCAATTCTCATCCTCGGCCGCTATCGACAAAGTACGCCGCATACTTGACTTCAATGTCGGTGTCAATCGATGGCACAGACTGACTGATGCTCGTGCTGCAGCATGTGTGGATGTTAACTGCGTGGCGCGATGATAGCTCTATCTTGCGTTATGAGACCCAGGCTGTCCAACTGTTGATACGACAGTTGTCAATCCCGAAACTGGCGCTCTGAAATGCACCCTTATACCTTATGGGGCTCTCTGCGCCTCTGTCCTGTGTACATCATCACAACTCCCGCCGAGATCAACTTCGCGGGGTCACGGCGGTTTATATGAAGCCCGTCCGAGTCGCATCCTTGGGATACCCATATAGACCCTCCCCGGGCTCGGATATCTGGACTACTCGTCTTCCTGTCTCGCACGTCATGTCAACTGCTGATGTTCCAGACATGACGCTCATGTGCGTCGATCAGACTATCTGAGTATATCTGTTAGCGACTGACTTGGCATGTGATCACTAGAGTAGGGCCAATCGTCAGTCCAAGCGATTATGGACTGCACCACCAGCGCGCTAATGGGCTATACGCAGTATCTAGGTGTCATAGTTGGTTACCTTGTATTTGGCATCTCCATAGTGCAGTTGTGTAAGTCCTAGACCCGGCGGAACACCACTTGTCTGATACTTCGGTCATAGATATATATTACGTCTCTTTCTCGAAAGAGAACAGGTGGATCGTTGGCTCAGGTTAGGGGCAACGTTCTGCGCGGGCTCGTGCTCTGATTTACGACCTTCGCAGTCTACGGCGTGTTTCTTGCGGACCTCCTCCAGAGCATCACTATAGCCGCCATGGGTTGGAGGTTTGGCGTGTCGGGTTGGGGTCACCCAGAACTCCTACAATTTCCCGGATGGCCTCTTGTCATCGTGCCCGGTATCTCAAGTTTGGGTACGTCTATCTGCTCATCATACGTGCTCGTGGCTGACTATCGACATGCAGTTGCTGCGTGGGTACAAGCATTCTATGCTTGGTTAGTCACGGTGTGGCTCTTGGTTCACACAAACAACCATAATAACTTGCTTCAGGCGCATTTACCGATTCGGGGCGTGGAGAATCATACCTATTACCATCATCTTCGTGCGCAGCAAACCCGGACATCCTTGCAGACCTTTCTTCTAACTGCTCACAGTTTGCCTTAGCGCAAACAGGGGCCGCATGGGGTATAGGTATCCAGGTGAATCATTACATCGCTTTGCCACATGATCTCGTTTAGCCCGCTAACGTCTAGCCAGTTTGCCATCATGAAGAATGTCGAATCACTACATCTACCTTCGATGTTTGCTCGCACTATCGTATGCACGATCCCCGTCAATTTTGTAATCGCGCTGAGTGGCGGCTTTAGATTTGGCTCGGCGGTGGTTCCATTGCGGATTTGGTAGGTGGATTCGCGCATGACACCGTGTTTACGGAGTTGATTGAGCCTGATGCAGCTGATCATGTGCTCTATGGTCAAACTCGTATGCTCACTGCTTTACGGGTACCTCGTAGTGTTTGATGGATCTTGTAGCTCATGGCTGCTCGCAATCGCGATAATGGGATCTTGAAAACGGAGCTGCTCATCAATAAGCTCCTTCGCCTGACTGTCGAAACTGTACGCGCACTCTCTCCGACTTCTGAATGAAGCCCGACCAATTTGTTGATAGGGATTTGCATGTGTTATGACTGCTGTCGTCGAGCTGATACTTTTTCTGGTCTATTCCGACAACAACCTTCATCTTTTCTTCTCCGTTCTGCTGAGCAAAGGTTCGTCTTCGCTACATCACTTGTCTGTGAGGGATCGGAGCTGACACACTCATAGTTTACGCCGTAACGCTAATGGTGAACCTCAACTCGCGCAGAACCAGGCTCTGGAACAGAACGGCGACTGAAGATCCAATGACCTTGCCTACAAGTATCTTCTCTGTGGCCGGCATAGAGTCCCGTCAACCCGTGCATCCAACGGTGGTCCATGTAACGTCACAGGTTGAGCAAAGTTCCGAAGGTTCATATGATATGCCGAAGGCAAGTTCACTTCTCAGCGGCACCGTATCGATATAGGCCCTTTCTAATTTAAAGCATACGCAGCCGCATCCTCGGTTTGAAGAAGAGCTTGAGCTGCATCCCACACGCAAATTCCCCCATGCTGCGAGCATCGACTTGCCCCGCTCGTAGTCACGACTCCATTGCTTTCGACTTAGCCCTCTATCGTGGACGCCGAGTATCTACCAACGTGCCTTCACAATAGGTAGTGCGCGCTTCATTGCCTCGTTCTTGGTCTACTCTCCAATTCTGTACGATCGGGATGCCTCAGCTTCTGTACTTACTTCTGCTACCCATACTTCCAGCCGGTCTCAGGTCGTCAGTCCTACTGTAGCTGAGAGTACGCCGTGCCGAAGAACGCGCAGCTAACTTAGCTTACATGAGTCGCGTTGTGCTGGGGCTATTGATTGACTGCAAGGGAGTTCGAAGTCCTGAGGTAGACCGTGAGAATCTATATGTGATCCGCCGGAATTCGCCGTCGTCTGCGACAGCGCGGCAGAGCTGCCCAAGAGCTGCCTCGTTTCTTGCCTCAGACCTTTCATCACGACGAAACGATGAACAGTTGACTTTGCCCTCGAAGGCTGTGACAAGGCCGAGTCCGGATGTGGTGTGCTATACATAGCTAGGCCCAAGGAGAAGCCCCACGTTGTCGTCCCGTTTGGTTCTCAGCATCATCGGGATTCTTCGCTGCCGCGTGCGTCCTGCAACAACCGTTTGGTGGTGTTACTCTTCGGCCTCAAGCTGTTGAAACCAAGTGCACTCACACGCGAGTGCTTTGACGATGCCATTGCACCGAGTATTCATCGTGGGCAGGACAGTCAAGTGCTGAGAATTGCGCTCCTAGGATGGACTAGGATGATTCGAGAAGAGAAGGCCAAACTCGCGTTGCCTCGAGGACAACGATCCGAAGTGATATCATACAACGAGGACTGAGCGTACCTCACGTTTTCTTGTGCCAATGCACACCACCGGCAACTCACCCTTCACAAGCGTGCTCAACCTGGCGTAGGCAACGCGGTTAATCGCTTTCCCCAGTGAACCGGGCTGTTCGGCTGCTCGGCATCTACAAGTTTCTGCGTCAAATATAGCCAGAGTGGTGCGGCCCATAGTCGGTAGACGCTCACCTCATCCTCTCCGTAGTCAACCATGACTGCTGCCCTGTCGTCCCGCCTCGTTCGACTTACCCTCGGAACTGTACTCGCGGTGCACTACGCATCCGCGGCTCTCCATCAAGAAGTCACTCGAGGACTCTTAGACCGGCCCTTTGACTACGTTATTATTGGTGGTGCGCTGATCCGTGGGAGAAATCCAGATATCATAGACGCTTACAACCTCGTCACAGCGGGAGCGGCTGGCGCCGTACTGGCTAATCGCCTGTCAGAAGACGCACGCTCGTCTGTGCTGCTGATTGAAGCTGGCTCTAGGTGAGTCGCTTCCCGCTTGCTATCCATGCCCAGTATGGCGGGTTTAGCACCAGAAAGAAGTGACTAACGCGAAGACCCCCAGTGACTACGAGAATGTCAAGATTGAAGTACCACAGGACGGATTTGAGCTTGCAAATACGATTTTCGTATGTGCTGCGTCACTCCCTTGATAGCTGGAGCTATGGCTTACGTATCCCGTAGGACTGGAACTTCACAACAGTCCCACAACCTGGGTTCAATGGTCGCGCGCTCAACTATCCCCGCGGCCATGTTCTAGGAGGTTCAACTGCTATAAGCGAGTGCTTTCCCAAACCATCCGATCATACTATTCTAAAGGCACGGAGTAGACCTCATGGACTACTGTCGTGGCTCTAGAGACGATTACGACAGATGGGCAAACATCACCGTGGATCATGGATGGACTTGGGATGCTCTATTCAAACACATGCTCGACGTATGGACAAGTTGTGCGTCAGGGGGACTATTTAACTGATAACCTTCATAGTTGGATGTAGTCACCCCTCCGGTCGATGGTCACAACTTCAGCTTCCAATTTGACCAATCTGTGCATGGAACGACAGGACCTTTAAAGATCAGCCTTCCACAATCGCTCCTGGCGGTCGATTTCATAGGCATGAACGCGTCCGCGGAACTTTCGAACGAGTTCCCATTCAACAGAGACTTCAACTCAGGCGATCCTATCGGTATTTCATGGGTGCAATCGACCATATTCGAAGGAGCACGGTTCAGTTCTGCGTCTGCCTTTATTGCGCCCGCCTTGCAGCGCCGGAATCTCGACGTCGTCGTTAACACGCTGGCTACGAAATTGATTCCGACGGGACAGAGAGGGACACCGGACGTGCGCACTGTTGAGGTTCTGAACTCAAGGACAAGCGAGCCATATCCTACATGCACGCTCACAGTGGTACTGACTGGAGGTATAGACGAGACCTTCCACGTAACGGCCAAGGCGGAGCTTATCCTATCCGCGGGTGCGGTGAAGTCCCCGCATCTTTTGCTTCTTGCGGGCATCGGCGATGCGGCCTACCTATCCTCTATCGGCGTCACTCCTCTCGTGCATCTCCCAGATGTCGGTCAGAACCTACAAGATCACGTCTTCCTGCCGGTCTCTTGGAACGTGTCATCGAACGATACGCTCGATAACATCCGCCTCAATGCATCGTTCGCGGCCGAGCTGTTCGGAGAATGGAACACTACCCGTACTGGTCCATTGGCCGATGGGCCCGCCAATGTGTTTGGTTGGCTGCGCGTTCCCGACAATTCAAGCATCTTCTCAGGAACCATCGATCCGAGCGCAGGTCCCACGAGCGCACACTTTGAGTTCATCCTCTCAGTACGTTTCGCCGTCAACGACAAGTTGCTTAAGCTACTGACTCTGTTTGTAGGATAGCTTCGTGAGCAAAGTTCAGGCATCTCCCGCCGAAGGCCATTTCGTGACGATCATCGTGAACTTGATCTCGCCTGCGTCGCGTATGCAAAACATCTCCGGTTTCCTTGACAGGCACCTCTGACCTCTTTGAAGGCGGCAACATCACCCTGGCGTCGCTCAACCCGTTTGACAAGCCTCTCATCAACCCTGATTTCCTGAGCGCGCCGATTGATGTCAAGATCCTGCGCGAAGGAATCAAGGCCGCCCGGCGCTTCGTCTCGGCACCGTCATTCGCAGATTATATCGTAGCCGAATTCGGAGACTTCGCGGTCGCGAAGACCGACCAGGAAATTGAGGCATTCGCTCGCGCCAATGGCGACACCGTCGACCATGTTGTCGGGACAGTGCCCATGGGCCGCGCGGGGTGTATGGATGCCGGATGTGGCGCATTGAACCCCGACCTGACGGTCAAGGGCACGAAGGGTCTGCGCGTCGTGGATGCTTCAGCTTTCGTGAGTACGTTCTCCGCTAGGTGCTGGCTCAAGCTAACGGACGCGCATGATAGCCATTCATCACTTCGGGTCACACTCAAGCCGCTGTGTATATACTTGCTGAGCGTGCCGCCGACCTCATAAAAGCCTCGAGGCCGCATTGATGACCGCGACTGGACGAGATCGTACATGTCTTCCATTGATCAAAGCTCTTGTCGAGGTAGTCGCTGCCTGAACCTGTACTGCCACATCCCATCGTCTGCGTGTGAATAGCGTGATGATCCAGGGAATAAGCACTAGTCGCTGTTGCCAGGCGATGTACATATCGATGCAGGCATGGACGATACCAGGTTACTCATAGTTTGAATGCACAGATCCTTGACCCAAATGTGATCTCGCAAATCTCAGTGCCGGGGGACGGGGTACATGAGCATATGCAAGACGGCCCTATCGCCAATCATAATCTGCGTATACACGCGAGTAAAGATACAGGAATCACGATCCAACTGGTTACAGTATGCCTGGGACAAAGCGATAAGGCACTCTCCCCCTCCACTCCTCCCACTCGTGTCCAAAGTTCTCCGAGAGCAACTTGTCCTCCTTAGCGACCCGAGACACGACTGACACCAGGATAGCGACACAGCACCCCGCGAGGAGCATGATGGCCTTCCCCGCCGGAGTATCGTACGCGCTGGTCTCCATATACCACGATCCCTCCGACATTTCGCAAAGGAAGATGCCAATCACGGTCATTGTGAGCGCGGTATAGGATGGGTGTCGCACGTATGCGTAGGGCCCGGTAGTGACGAGCTTGTGGTTCTTCAGGAGTGAGAGTTGGAACGTGAAGTGAGCTCCCATGGCGCGGTACGACCAGAGGCGCACGAACGCTCCGAACATAGCGCATGCGAAGCCCAGCAGGAAGAGCGGTGAGATGAAGCTGGCTCGAAGGGACGAAACCACGGCGTTCGGTAGTAGCTGCTGTAGGCTTGGGATGTCACTCGCGAAGGCAACTTCTAGGAGCATGACGGCGGAGACGAACGCCTAAAGGATTGAAGAGTCAATGGGAGCGCATCTCAGGCTCAGGGTGAACAATATTGACCCACCCTTTGTGCAATCGTCGCCTTGGGGCTGTACCTCTGCACGAACTTCGCTCCGAGGCTGAGGTGCTCTTTCTCGTAGGACGCTCGGTCTTGTGAAGGTGCGGGTGGGTTTGGGGGTGTGTAGGCAATGAGATAGCTTGCCCAGGCGACGACGAGGAGCGAGATCTTGAGTGTGGACATCGTGGACACGTAGTCTACAGAGTATACACGAACTCCCGCAGCTTTTATACCTCGACTCAAGGCGTGAGCGTGTACGATGGGTGATCATCGCATATCTTCCATGCATGACAGCTCGACAGATCGATGTCATTCGGTGGCGAGCTGACCGCACGCTGTATGCTTGACTCACAGAAGCCTCGAAGGAGTAATGAAGTGGGCAGTCAGCGAACTACCCTTCTTCACCTATCTTCAGATACAGACGACGGCCTCCGTCTACTTCCGTGGATGAGAACAAGATGGATAACGAGGTATACAGAGCGTTCGTACAGGAAGCACAATATCAGATCAATAAGGTCAGTAGGGACGAGCGATACAAAGTCCGACCATGGCCCGCGAAGAAGTCGTGGTGATCTTCTCAGACAAACCGGGGAGTAGAAATCCCCGGAAGATGAGGCCCTCCTCTAGCGAGCCGTGCCAAAAAGAAGTGCACTGATTGAGATCGTGAGTACTCAATAACATGACCAGTGCTGCACAACTGACCAGGATGCTGAGAAGCTTTCAGAAGAGGTGACCATATCCATACTGACGGCCCTCAGAGCGTGACCGGATGCACCACAGAGCCTCATATGCCAGGACCGCAGCACATGTTCCAGACAGGATAACTTGTGTAACGACTGTCCCGCGTCCGGCCGGGGTTCCCCAAGTGACGGTCCCGTCGAAGACCGCAGTAGATGTCCAGACAAGCATGCCACAGGCAACCGTGTAGGTGAAGACACAGGCGCCGAGGAACATGATATTGATGGGTGCCGCGGCCGGCGGGAAGAATGTTGGCTTTTCGTTCGGATAGATGCGCCGTGCGTACCACACTACGGTCATATCATGAACCATGGTGAACCCTGTAAAGAACTGCCTTAGAAAGGCCGAGGTCGCAAAATCGGGATACCTTTTACCTGCTGCGGCTACATTCAGGAAGAAGCCTGCCGTTCCAAGGTCGAGCATGCCGATGATAAAATCCGCCAGCGACATCAGGAACGTCGCAACGGTGATGAGTTGCAACGTCCGCGGAAGCGGGACAATACGGTCGAACTTCGAGACGGCAGCCATGGCGAGGGGACAGCACGACGGCAAGAGGCAAGAGGCTGCTGTCAAGAATCAACTGCAAGTCGGGCATGACGCTCGCATCATGCGGGGAAGCCTTCCGCGTGTCACAAGGGCTCAATTAGCGCCACGCGCGTGCTGTTTTCGGGCTTCTGTACCGCCATTTGTGTCAATCTGGGTGTTGAGCATGATGCTAGAGTGTGAAGGAGAAGTTCTGGTTCGGTTCAGGTGCGCGCACGATAGACTGGTCGCAATAGGCGAAGGCGATGACAGCTCTATGGGGTACGGTTTACTTTAAGTCGCAAGTGTGCAACTCGGTAATCTCATGTATGCCATGCAATTAGTGTGGGTACTGTGTAATATAAGTTAGAAAGTGCAAGATGTGCAGACGGTTTGGGGTGCGAGCAAGACTACGAGGGATGAGGGGGACGATGGAGGATGGGTGTTGCGTTCCAAGATAAGATGTGATTGTGATTCCAGGGGCCAGAGTTGTTCGTGAATGGCGTGTAAGGGCGACGTATGATGATGCCGGGGTGCTATAGTAGGATCTCAGAAAAGTGGCATGGCGTATGTCGGGACTGCGATTGTATGAAGTTCCAGAAGAGGTGTTTGCAACGGTGTGTCGTTGGAGATGGTTGTGGTCACTGGCGTGCTAAGATCACCCAGGAGCGTGCCACCCTCAACGTGATCGACGACCTCGATCTCCACTCCCGCAGGAACTATCACTCTACGACGCAGATCTTGGATCTCCGGGCGGAAGAAGCTGCGCAACCATGGGTGAACTAGCAGCTTGAAGGAGCGCAACCGCGGCAACTCGACGATCTCGTGCGTATTGACCGAAGGCAAGTGGTTACCGACAAAGGAGTAGTCGACCGTGACTTCTTCCAGTGAAGGACATTGAGCGAAGAGGTCAAGCAGCATGCACGCGGGCGTGCTTTGCTCGGAGATGACCAGCGTCTTGAGCGAAGGCGCGACGAATGGGATCAATCCACCACCTCGAAGACGCAGCGTCTCGAGTTCAGGCGCGTATACCCGCTCGGCAGACAGTGATATCTGATGGTACTGATACATGCTCTGCATGAGCGCGAGGTTGGCCGGAGGAACGTCGTCGATGATGAGTTCGCGGAGCTGTGGCAGCTGACGGGCCTTCGACACAAGTTTCGTCCACGATTGCGAGAATCTCCGCACAGATAACGTCTCGACGGACGCGATGTCTTCCGCGAGGGCATCCGCCAGCACGTCTTCGTGTTTCTTGCTCAGGCGCCCGGAAACGGCAACTTTGAGCGGCACTCCACGCGCGCGAGCGCTGACAGCGCGCACGGCCTCTCGGCATGCAAAGGCCCCGTATACGCGCGCCCACAGTATACTGTGATCAAGGCCCACTGTTCGCCAGGAGCGACAGACGTGCGTCAAGCGCAGCCAAGCTAGGCTGCGAGTTGTTGGTTCGTCGAGCTCCGCGACCAGCGCGAAGAGCGTGAAGAGGATGTCTTGGGTGAGTTCAGATGCGTGGGCCCTGCATAGACAGTTCAGTATACTAGGCGCGTAGGAGGGAGAGCGCCAGCGTACATGGTGGTGGTGGTCGTGCGCGGGGTACGTGATGTGGCAGGGGAAAGCTACTGCGGTCTATCCCTGCCGGCACCCTTCTATACGAACGGATAATCGAAAATTGGCTTCATCCACGCTTTGATTGACGTAGCGACGAGATGTTCGGTTGGCGCCATCAGATGAGATCCGTCCAGTTGTGGCGCGCGGACTCTCATGCCCTTTATTTTGGTATGCTCCGGGCGCGCCGTTAGTCGCCCGCCGGGGTAGCATAAGGCAGAAAGTTCAGCGCAGAACGGCTGAAAAGGGTGACCTCGTTCAGAGGGAGCTTGAGAAGCCTTACACTTGTGATTCAGGCTCGACGGACTTGTCGGTGGCTTGATGCAGGGACTGGATGGAACGCGCGCTGGCATTGGGGACCATGGCAGGATCTCAACACAGTGCGCGAGAGAGAACGGTGATGTTTGGAAATGATCATTGTGATTCGTCTACAGCCCTGCACAGCTGTGAGAGCGCTGTCATCAGATTGTGAACAGGCACTGTATATGCGCAGGATCTGCGCCAGGGAGACGTGTAACGGATACGGGATCGTCGGTGATGATATCCAGTGCACATCGCTTGATGAAAGGCGGGCGCGTCCGAGCAATCATATTCGTTCCCGCCTTCATTGACAAGCGTTGTGAATGGTTGGATGCAAATGACACCAGCTGAAAGGGATGCGTAACCCTAAACTCTTCGTTGCAAGTCGACATGTTCACCCGTCGGGACAGCCGAAGAAATGCAATCCTTAATCTGAGAGTCTGAAAGGAAGACAAGTGGGCCAATCTAGTAAGCCTGCAATGCGCATTATATCCCTCGTACAGAGCGTCTTCGACTATGTCCGGAACCACGCTCGCGGATGCGTGCACCGCCAATCGACAACGAGGAGAAGATCCCAAACTTCCGACGCACGACGGGCAACTGCGAGCTCGGACTCAAACCCGGATTGGACAACGGCCTGACATTCCCGTCGCCTATGGCCATATCTTCTTCCATTTCGTCGAAGCTCATCGGAGCGTCCTTCCGGCGAGGCGTCCGTGTACGCGCGTAGAGCCGTGGTCGTTGGAAAGAGGCTAGTGTCGGTGAAGCGAGTGACTGCGAAGGGCTGAGTGGTTTCCGACCCCGGGCCGGAGGTGAGGCGGGTACCGGTGGTGCTAAGAAGTCCCGGTATCAGTCCGCGCGCCCGCTCAAAGGGAAGCGAGTCCACTTACGAGGCATACTTGCGGACTTGCTGGGTCCGGACTGGGATGGTGCAGGCGGTATGACGCTCACTTGTAGGATGTCGGTCTGGTCCGTATCTCCCGTTGACGCTCTATGCACTATAATGCATGAGGAGAGCGGCACGAGAAGTTTGTCAGCGCGGGCTAGAGATGAGCACTAGTCAGTTCGGTGTCTGTCGGTGAAGGGCGGGGCAAAGGATCGACTACCTTGTACGTTTACTTCAGTGATTGCGCTGCGTTGTGCTCGGAGTTCTCGTAGTAGCTCGAAGTAGAGTTCTTTGAGAGGAAGAAGAGCTGGTGCACATGACGCAAAGGAGTACAATCGGACTCCAGCTCGCGACAGCGTTGCCCGCGCGATCTACAGTTGTTGTAGAGAAAAAGGAACAAAGGGCAAGAGTCAGTTTCGCATGATGGCTAATCACATAAATGCGTGTCTTACCTCAATAAGCGTGACGATCTGTGCAGTAGGTTGAATGATGCATTCGGTCAGCGGGCACGGTGGCGATAGTCTAGCTGAAGGGGAGCCTACCTTACGAGTGCGCATACGAAATGCATCCGAGTGGACTTCACGCCGCAGCATGAGAAGCAGCTCTTCGGCCGCGGTCTTAAATTGACGCAATGTGCTCAATCGACTGGCTAGTTCACCAGCATGAGTCTCTAAGTCCACAGTCATGTCAAGTTGTGGGAGTTGGACGTCAGGCGATCGAAGGGTCCGAAATATATCCAGACGACGCGAGAAGCCAGGAGGCTGTGAGGATCGAGGGAGAGAGGACTTGAGAGTGGCAACGGAGACAAGGGCAGATGGTGGACAGAGACAGAGAGCGACCGAATGCCGTGGATCGGTCAGGTTGTAATGTATGAGACGGGGGGCTCCGGGTATTCGGCCCCTCAATGCATGGCGGCATCATCTCTCGAGCATCTCTAGGCGAACCCACTTGGACCTCGATCCGTAGCTGGACGTAAGGGCCCTGAATCGCGCTCACAAGTCCTTGTACAAGTATGCGTACGAGACTACCGCGTGTCATACCAAGGATGGGTTGTGGTCGTAGTTTGTCTTTGAGTGGATCATCGTCAGAAGACGGTGAAGGCGGCATCGCGCCGGATACAGTAATCGGGATTCGGCGCGCCGATGTTCAACTTCGTGCACCACGCGTTTGGGAAGTTCCTGCAAGCTCTTGCAGTTCCACAGTCTCTGCGAGCCGTATCTAGGCTTCTGATATAGCATCAATCTTTCCAAGTTTGCCCACAGCAGGGCAATAGACTCCCAGTTGAAGCTAAGACAAAATAAACCTATGTGGCGTAAATAAACCTATGTGCCGTAAACGGTCCTGTAGTGTAGTGGTTATCACAGCGGATTCTGACTTGCAGAGTTTTCCGCTAACCCAGGTTCGAGTCCTGGCAGGACCTATTATCAGTCATCAAAGTCCTTTTTGGACTCAACATGTAGACGGGCCTAAGTACTAGATATACACTCGATGGCTCAGTAAGTTACCTACTGGTCTGTGAGATCCTTGCTGACGCGGGTGCTTGTACTCTAGTGAGGGTCGATCTTCATGCTGTCTGAAAGAGACAAGTTGTTACAAGGAAAAGATGAATGTTCGTAGTCGAACTACTTTGTACAAGTGGCAAGCAGATACAGGCGGACATATAACTACACTTGCTGCCGTTAGACGGCAGTTTGCATGCGCTTGTGATGTTCAGTATCAGCGACGTTGAGCAGCGTTCTTCGCAGCGATCTCCTTCGATTTCTCTGTCGCAGACTCAGTGCACGTTTGGCAACGCCGAGAAGAGCCACATACCCTCAGCTTCAGCCTTACGTTTCGCCTGAGCGGCCTCGCGCTCGGCGCGAATCTTCGCGAGACGCGCAAGGTCGGTCTTCGCCTGGTCGGTCTTGCCTTGTTGGTGAAGCTACTAGACGATGAGCGTAAGTAGCCTAGGAGGCATGGCTGCAATCATACCTTCCAATACTTCTCTTGCGCCTCCTTCTTCTCCTTCGCTTCCCTGTATAGTCCGTGAGATCAACGACTGATGGAGAAGGGAGTCAGCATACCGTTCGCGGCGCGACAGCTGCTTCGGCTCGTTCAGGCTAGAGATGTCCATCTTCTTGGCCATACGGTTAGGATTGATGAGCAGATCGTCCTCCTCTTCGTCTCCCTCAGCGATAGCTTTGGCCTTGGCCTTCTCCGCCGCCTGCTTCTTCTTGAGCTCTTTACGCTCTTGTCGTGTCATTTCGGGTTGCCCGGGTTGAGAAGAGCCGCCACCGAGACCGTCGTCAGATTCTTCTTCCTCTTCTTCCTCTTCCTCCTCCTCCTCTTCGTCGGAATCATCTTCATCCTCGCCTTGGTTGCGGGGACTGTGGCGTACAGAAGGATCGTCAGAGCTTGTGAATACCATCAATGCGGTCACACCTACCGGCGATCTACGGCTCCGGCGATACCATTCTCGTCGAGCTCAAGGTGTCGGCTAGCAAGCAGATCGAACGCGATCCTAATAACGCGCGGAAGAGCTGAACGTACCTGAAGCTACGACCACCGCCGCGCTTGGCCTTGAATTTGCCTGATCGAGACACGTTCGAGTCCGAACACCATAGTTAAAAACAAGATACACACCTGAGCCTCTGACCATGATGAAAGCAAGTGTAGAGAGGAGTAAGGCAACGAGCCAATACAAGTGACTGCAAAGCGCGGAACCGAACCCACGCGAGACGCACGCGCGCCAGATTACGGGATCCGGCGCGGCGGGAGTCGGGGTAAGCCGTGGGCGGCGACGAGCAGCTTGCCAAAGTCAACCATGAGCACAATTCCCGCACGTCTGGCCCGCGCTGCGACGTCCTCGCGCGGCGACCCGGTAAAGTCGCGCGAGCAGGTCATCAAATTATACCGCAACTGGTACCGTTCTGTGCGTGCCGCTTCCCGCATTTCCTCAGAGTCGAACCGCGCGCTGACCCCAGGCCCCGCTCCGGCAACTCCCACCTTTCCGCGCGCATTTTTAAACCGCAAAATTTATGCCCATCGCATCTTTGTCCTGGACGACCATGGTCTTTATTTCGTCGCGATACGTGGTGTAGGCGCCGGAGATTTGTACTCTGTACGCGTTGAACGTGCCTGCATCACTCGTGCGCTCTCGCGTCCGCGAGCAGTTCGAGAAGAACAGGCATATCACCGACCCCAACGTCATCGACATGCTGCTCATCAAGGGCCATAATGAGTGGCAGGAGACGATGAATTGCTGGAAGATGGAGAGTCATGTGTTGGGCATCTTGTTGGAGGAGCGTAAGCTGCCTCAGCGGAGCTTTATGGATAAGTTCTTGGAGGGTACGTAGCGTCTCTCCGTATTGCATCAAGTCGACGACGGTGCTGACAATTGATAGGGAGGGACGATGATGGTGTTATTCCAGCCAGTCCAGCGTAGGATGTACGGCTCGTTGCTTTCTAGATTTGCTTTCGCGGACTTTCATCTTTACTCGCGTGAATCAAGATCTGGAGGTGGTTAGGTGAGAGAGGATGGGTTGAAAATGCTATTGGTAAGTCTGTATCCTGTCAGTCTTTGTGATGAGAATCCTGCCGCCCCAGTCTTAGCCAGAGGGCGACGACGAACGGTTCAAGCACACAGCCAAGCATTGTGCACTTCTGATCCTGTTATCATGCGTTCTTTACCCATTTATGGCTGACATTGCATCTCACAGATCATGTGTACTGCTGACTTCTCGTAGCGTACATGCAAGGGAGTTGTGTCAAGTGAGGTTAGTCGCTTTCCCGCCTGTTATCTTGATGAGAATCGTTGCCGCCCCAGTCGTAGCAGTAGGCTTTGACGAACGGTATAGCACATAGCCAAACACAGTGCACCACTGACTATTTTTTCTCCGTCCTCCGCATTTTTTTCCAGTGCGCTGACTTTGTTCTTGTAGTCTTTGGTTCGGCGCCGGCATCTGCCGAGCTTCTCCCAGCCTCGTGTTTGGTTTTCGGCCCGCGAGCGCAAGGCATGGAGATCGAGCCTTATAGCGCTCCTGTGCATGATGGAATATGGACGATGAGCAGGATAGTACGATTGGACAGGGGACGGGCTGTGAGTGCGCCGGCGGCGATGGTCCGGCGAGACGCGCGACACGATCAATTTCCGCGTTCTTGACCTCGAACCACGACGAGCGGTGTCTCCGGCTTCCTCTCGCTTCCCCCCTTCTCTATCGGGTCTCCATTGTGTCGCTCTAGGAATACGAATCTGACTCGGATACTATTCTCGGCAGATTTTATTTTTCCTGCCTTCAGTCCAAGCTGACCCGCCTCGAAACCTGAGCCCAAACTCGGCTGTGCACTCTATAATCTTTCGCTTTTGCGTTCGCAAGCTCGTAAATTCTTAGTTTAAGTCCTGGTATACGTGGACATGGCAGTGCCGCCTTCACCATCGCGTTCGTCGCTCGAGTACGATCCACCACATGGCCAGAATGGGGTTGGTATTGACGCCCACGCCCACGCCGACGCGGCAAGCTCGGAGGTGCACCCACAAAGCGACGACCCGATATCCGCAATTAAACTCGAACAACGTCAACACGACGACGGCCCCTTCCGACCACCTTTGTCTACGTCTGACTCGCTCTTCGACACCATGACGCCCGCCGACGTCGACATCAAACCGCTAGAACCCAAGTTCGAACCGGAGAGCGCGACGGTCAAGTTTGAAGATGAAGGGGAGGAGGAGAAGCCCATTGCGACGCCTACGCCTACGGAGAGTAAGAGCGCTACGCCGGCGCCGAAGGCTGGTCCACAGCTCATCGGCCACCTGCCGCGCGCGGAGAACGATGCGTTGAGCACGTTCGAGCAAATTAGGGATAATTGGTACCAGTACAATACGCTCGGGCGCTCGCGAGAGGCGCTGGAGGGTATGAACTGTGATTGTATATACGAACCAGGTGCGTAGCGCCTACCGGAACTCTACAAGGAGGAAGAATTGCTTGCTGACGTGACGTGGGCAGGCGTGGACGACCCTAGCGTGGCGTGCGGAGATGGCTCGGACTGTATTAATAGGCTCACGCAAGTCGAGTGCATACCGGAGGACTGCAGGTGTAGAAAGCACTGTCAGAATCAACGGTGCGTGGTCCTGGCGTGTATACGTGAACGAGGCGCGCTGACGAGCGCGCACAGGTTTCAGCGAAAGCAATATGCGAATATTGAGATCGTCAAGACGGAGTTGAAGGGCTTTGGACTGCGTGCAGGGCAGGTCATACCGAAGTACGTTGTATATCCGCCTCCTCTCTTCCCTATCCGCCTTCCTCCATCCATCCGCCGCTTGCTCCTCCCACTTTGCTGACACGTGACCCGCAGAGACGCCTTCATCTACGAATACGTCGGCGACGTCGTCTCCACACCTTCCTTTTCCAAACGCATGCGCCAGTACGCCAACGAAGGCATCAAGCACTTCTACTTCATGATGCTTCAGAAAGACGAATTCATCGACGCAACCAAGCGGGGCGGGATCGGGCGCTTCGCGAACCATTCCTGCGCGCCTAATTGTTATGTCGCCAAGTGGACTGTAGGCGAGCGCGTGAGGATGGGTATCTTTGCCAAGCGCAGGATACAGAAGGATGAGGAGCTCACGTTCAACTATAATGTTGACCGGTACGGGCATGAGGCGCAAACTTGCTACTGTGGGGAGCCGAATTGCGTCGGCTTTATCGGAGGCAAGACGCAGACTGATGTCGCGGGCATGGACGACCTCTACCTCGACGGTAAGCTCCCCTTCGCATTCTTGGTATCTGCATTGTTCACGTCCGCCCGTAGCACTTGGTCTCACCGAGGAGGTCGAACGACTCGGGCTCAAGGGTAACAAGAAGAAGAAGGGCAAGAAACTCGACGAGGACTGGTCGGTGAGACGACTTCCTATTTCGGTCATAAAGCTCCCCACGCTCACGTCGCCTCTTTAGCCAGACCTCAAGGCTCTGACATCGAAAGAGTGTCCCAAGATCGTCCAGGCTATCCGACAGACGCAAAGCAAGAAGGTCATGCTGCGTCTACTGGGCCGCATTCAGATGAGCGACGACTTGGCCGTCTTCCGCGAGCTCATGCGGTTACGCGGGTTCTCGCTCATGACGAACCTCATGAACGACTACAAGGAGGACGACGAGGTGCTCCTGCTGGTACGTCCACGTCCCCCAGCTCTCCCTTTCGCCAGCAGCTGAAGGTCTACTACAGGCGTTGCAATGTATGGCGAAGTGGCCACTCCTGTCGCGCAACAAGATCGACGACTCGAAGATCAGCGAGCCGGTCGAGAACTGCACGCAGTCGGAGAACGAGCGGTTGAAGAACACTGCACAGGCTGTCAGTTCGTTCTCACACTCTCCGTACGATCCATGCTCATGTGAAAATGCAGTTGTTGGACGCATGGGCTCTCCTCGAGGCGGCATATCGTATACCGAAGCGACAGAGCTCTGCGGCCGACGCAGCTCTCGACGCATATGCACCGGCCAACCTGTTCGGAAGCACATTTGACGAACGACCCGCGAAGAAGGCCAAGCGCGACCCCAGCGAAGATGATGTCCCATTGCTGAACATCAAGCCCCTTGGATTCTCCGGCGCTGCATCTGGCAAAGCCACAGCCTCATCTGTCGTTTCTACACCTCCGCCGCCTACCGAACCGCTCGTCAAGCGCCCCAGTCGCGCGGAGGCAGCAAATGTCATCGCGGCGGCGATTGCAGCGCAGAAAGCGGAGGAGGAGCGCAAGGAGAAGGAGAGGGTGGAGGCGTTGGCCAAGGCGGAGGAGAAGGCTGCAAGGCGGAAGGAGAGAAAGGAGAAGGAGAAGGAAAGGAGGGAGAAGAAGGAGAAGAGCAGGAAGGCGGCGAAGGAGAAGGGCAAGGCGAAAGCGAAGGATAAGGAGGGCGTGGATGCGCGTGAGAAGAAGCTGTTGAAGCTTGTCGGGGCGCAGGTTGTGAAGGTCATGAGCAAGTACAAGGATCGCATGCCGGTTGAGACGTTCAAGAAGCATGCTAAAGAGGTACGTTTTATCTTGCGCGCCGTATAGGTCATGGTGCTGATTGTGTATACAGCTCACGCATCTCATCGCGGAGAAGGAGAAGAAGAGCGCGAGTTACAAGGAGAACAGGCTCGACTCTCTGAGCGACGAGAAGGTGGCGAAGATCAAGAAGTTCGCCAAGGAGTACATACACAAGGTTGTGCACCGACTCGAGAAGAACAAGCGCGCGTCATCTTCAAACACACCTTCCGCATCTGGCTCTGCGTCTACGCTCGCTGGGACCACCTCTGCGCAATCACTACCAGAGGCAGCTGCCGCTGCTTCTCCTAGCGATGGGAAGGAGAAGGGAGAGGAGGAGATGGCGATGACGGTTGAGGAGGCGATGGGTATGTCGGAGGACGAGGCGGAGGCGGAGGATGATGACGAGGATGAGGATGGCAATGCAGACGCCGACGCTGATGGGGACGCAGACTCTGACGAAGAGATGCACGATGCGCCGGGCGAGAAGAATATCGATACCCCAAATGAGCCTGCTGAACCTGCTACGCCTGATGCGCTGACTGCGGTATGGACGAGCGACCAGGGCGTCAAGGGCCACGACGCAATAGCCGTCGTCGACCAGGGCGAGCCCATGGTCCTGCAGTAGCACAGTAGTCGCCTTTCATTGGTACACGTTGTGGTTTTTGCTTTTCATATTGCTGTCACTACCTATTTGATGCACTCCGTACACTTATACATATTCATTACTGTATATCCCGAAGAGAGTGAGTAAACGGCGCGATACGGCAAGTGCCGGCCCGCCGCTGGCCAGGATCGTGTCACGCCAACGTGACTTCTAGGCCACAATATGTTGAACCACGGCTTTCGGCCCAACCACCACCTGCGACACCCTCTCCTCCCTTTCCTCCTGTCCTTTTTGACGTTTCTTCGGTCCCTCACACTAGATTGACGCGTAGTCTGATGTGATGCCGCTCCCTGCGCTTACCACTACGGTAGAGGAGAGCAAGGCGCTTCGCCTACAGCGCCATCAGGCGCGTTACCGGGACCGTGGCGGGTAAGTAGCTCCTGGTTCCCCCCTTCAAAGTCTGGATGATGCTATTATACGTGCATTTGATGCTTATTTCGTACTAATGCGATGATTTCTAGCACGTACGTGCCGCCGAAGGATAATCCGCTCATGGACATCCTCATGGCGCGCAAGGCGACTGGCGAATCACCTGCAAAGCGCCGAAAGTCGAACGCTCGGCCACGAGAAAGTGCTGCAGCTGCTGTGGCTGCTGCTAGGCGGAAGAGTAAAGCTAAGATTGAAGTGAAGGAGGAGGAGGAGGACAACGGTGCGCGTTCTTATTGTACATATCTGACTAAGGTTTAACTGACACTGTGTACGCAGACGAGGTCGTTCCGACGAAAAAGAAAGGTGCAGCTAAGAAGGGTACTGCTACGCCTAAGAAGAAAGCCGCTGCGAAGGGCAAGTCAAAGGCGAAGACCAAGGCGCTAGATGAAGATGCGCCGGCAAAGAAGCCTAGAAAGTCCGTGGCTCCCAAGGCCAAGAAAGCAAAGGCGACTGCTACTAAACCTGTGGCTGATTCTTCTGGTAACCGATCTCTATCAAAATGCATTGGTGACACTATGCCTGATTATGCCGCGTATAGACGACGACGAACCTCTAGTCAAGCCTTCCACTTCATCTCGATCACAACCACCACCGCCATCCCCCAAGCGTGAGAATATGTCCTTATATCTCTACATGTCTGTAAAGCTAACGCGCATGTATCTTAGGTGAAGACGCTAAGGCATCCGGACTGCCCTTTCCCCACAAACCAGTACCACAGTTTATTACATCAAATGACACTCTACCTTTTCCGTCGATGGACAAACCTATCCCGAAACCGAAGCCCGTCGCACGCAAACCCCACACCTCCACCACTCAAGTCGCACGACCCATCGCCACCCCGGCTCGTGACGACACTGAATGGGAGTCGGAATCCGAACCCGAACCGCAGCCCAAGAAACGTGTTAGCTCGAGCAAGCCCTCGTCGAAAGCGAAGCCTCCCTCCAAGAGCAAACCCGCGTCCAAGGACAAGGCCGCGTCGAAGGGCAAACCCGCATCAGTGTCCAAGTCGCAGGCGTCTACATCCATGCCCCCATCCACGTCTAAGCTTCTCGAACCCTCCCCATCACATGTACCACCTCCGCCTCTATCCGTCATTGTAGAGGAAGATGAAGAACCATCATCTGTCGAGGTGCCTCTGGCAAAGGTCACCAAGTCCGCGAAACGCAAGCTTGTCAATGACGCCGACGAGAATGAGAGGGATATTGGTGCAGCCAAGAAGAGCCGGAAGGATCGAATAGTCGAGGAGGTGGTGGATGTCGGTGGTCCAGCGCGGGCTAAGGCGCGGAAGCGTGCCGCCTCTGAGGACGTCGCGGATATTGCTCCTCGTCCCGTGAAGCTGGAGAAGCGTGATATTGCTGTCGACGACGACGAGAACCCACCCCCGGCGAAGAACACCAAGCGTACTCCTGGGGAGGCGGACTCGGGACCTCGTGGACGGAAGAGGCGCCCTGAACCTGCGGATGATGATGGCCAGCCACCACCTCGGACTTCTGGATCCAGAGTCAAGCCGCATTTAGACCCAGCAGACTCTGACGAGGAAGCCGAACCTCGTAAACCCGCCACGTCTAAGAAGCGCGCGCTTGCGGATGACGGTGTGGAAGCAACAGGGCGTCCCAAGAAACGAGCAGCGAAGACGAAGGCCGAGGACGAGGCGGTGCCGCTCAAGCCCAGGAAGCGACCTATCGCCAACTCGGATACGGAAGACGAAGCGCCGAAGAAGGCGAAGAAGCCTAGCTCTAGAGCGGATACGGACGTTAAGGTCAAGACGAAGCCCTCTTCACGGTATGCATTGGCATTCGATTCTACTAGCAGCATGAACTAACTATCTATAGTGTCGGGAAGGAGAACATCGTCGCTCGAGAGGCACCGCTTGTCTCTGAAATTCGCGTTAGTCCGTTGCTTTCTGTACACTCAATTCCAGCTGACATCTGTCCTAGCCCATTCCATCGCCCGTCAAGAAGCCCGCGTCACAAGCTCTCAAACCTCCTTCAAAGGCGACGAAGCCGCCCTCCAAGACGACCAAACCCGCTTCGAAGGCCAAGCCCGCCTCAAAGACCAAACCACCATCCTATCGAGTCCCAGCCTCCATGGGTGCCAAACGCAAGCCTCCGCCTGAGGTCCTTCTTCGTGCCGCTGCACCCGCTCCCGAAATGTTGGACGACGAGCGCGACGAAATCGACTTCTTGCCATGACATTCGCCAATGCCCTTCTTGTGGGCTCGAACCTTGCTGTCGTCGTGCTTTGTCAGACTAGTCAATTGGACCTCTTTTGCTGTTATCGTGTACGAACCCATCGCAAATCCACACCCTGTATATATTTTGTTCTTTTACCCTTCGCACCGGTGACCTTTCAGCTGAGGGCACTGCGATTCAATGGCTCAAACGGCAGCGGTATGCTAGGTTCATAGTCCGACAACATGAATATAAAAAGGTTGTATATATCAACAGCGCGTGTACAAGATCGGTAGTAGGATGTGCGGTATACAGACCCGGGCGACAACATAACTGAATCCCTAAAGGTTGGCGTACGCCTCGATGATGATGTCCGCCGCACGCTCGGCGATAGCATATACAGGAGCCTGGAGGTGAGCGGCGGGGATGAAAGGCTAGAACGCGCGAGTATCAGATATCATATCAGCGATGGCCAATCGAGTGCACTCACGAAGACTGATGCGTCAACGATGCGAAGACCGTCGGCACCCTTCACCAGCAACTGCGCATCGACGACAGCAGTGGGATCGTCCGGCTTGCCCATTCTGGCAGTACAGCAAGGATGCCAGAACGTAGTGACACGGGCGCGGGCCATGTCGGCGAGCTCTGCATCTGTGGTAGCGTTGGTCCAAGGGCCGTATCGCTTGAGGTCCATACCAGCCCAAGGGCTAGTGGCGTAGAAGTCCTCAGCAAGATGGAGCGCCGCGACCATAGCGTTGACGTCGTAGTCGTCGGTGAAGTATCCGGGGTCTATCAGCGGGAACTCCAGGGGATCTGACGACGCCAGAGTGACACTACCGCCTGCTCTAGATCGTGAGTTTGAGCCAGACGGTCAACTCTGCATATCACGTACGAGAAGCTGGAGAGGCGACGTTCAAGACCATGCTGACGTACGTTCCATCAGTCGGAGTAGTCTCAGTGAAAGACGAAAAGAAGGGCTGAGACCGCAGTCAGTATGACGTGGATGGAGTGCTCGGTTGGGTCAACATACGATGGGGATGAGTTCAATGTGACTAGACGCCGGACCTGCCGAAGGATCCCCGGAGTCCTGGATGACGCTCGAGTTGTCTGGCAGGCGCACCCAGCTGAATAAGTTCGCAGATACGTCGGTGTACATGCCAGTCCTATTCGTCTCCCACTCAGCCAAAGCGGCGGCAGTTGCTGTCGTGTTGCGCAATAAGGCATCGAGCGTCATGGTCGAGTTGGTCTCCCATTGGACGGATAGTAAGGGATGATCTTGCATCTCTTTCCCAACAGCCGGTGAATCGACGACGGTGGTGATGTTCAGAGCGTCAAGCTCGGCGCGCGGACCAACTCCGCTCAGAAGGAGGACTTGAGGAGTGTTGACGGCCCCAGCGGCAAGGATAGCTTCCTTCTTGGCACGCGCATTGTACACGGCACCTGGTCAAGTTCAACGCGTGAGCAGGTATGTGCATATCAACAAGCTCACCGGTGTTGTCGGACATCACAAAGGTAACGCTGCGGAGATTAGGACGTTGTGCGCCGCCCACATCAGACAACTTGGTGACTCTGGCGCCCAATAGGATGTCCAGATTATCGCGGCCGGAAGCCGGATGAAGATAAGCCGTCGCTGCGCTGCTCCTCTCTCCACCTCCAGCTGTAGTTTGCACCCAAGCTTCATGAAGTAGTAGTCAGCGCTACGTCTCCACAATGGTTCAGAAGGAGCACTGACATGTGCCGATAGAGTACCCAGAGTTGTAGTCCTGGTTGAAAGAGAAGTTCGACGTGTCGACATAGGTCTCAGATGTCTCCAGTACAAGGTCATCGAAAGGCAATGGGAACCCGTTCGTGGTCGTGAGTAGTGAGCCGTTGGTGCCGTGATCAGATGGTATGATCCTGCCAGACGAAATGTAACCATCGACAGGTTGCACAAAGCGCTCAGCCTGCTCAAGTTTTGGCATCATCCTCGCGTATGTATATGGGAAGCCCACCTTCAGGATGTACGGGAACACAGAATCCCAAGACCAGGCGTCGTCTCCCGCGAACTCCGCAAACCGATCATAATCATCGCTAGAACCGCGCGTGTAGAACAAGAAGTCTGCGAGGTGGATGCTTTAACGTATCGTCCACTCTGAAAGCACATATCATACTCACTGACTGTGCTTGAGCCGCCTAGTACGCGCCCACGCTGGTAGGCGAGAGGCCGGTTATCGAGGTGCGTCTGATTCACTGTCGTGTAGTCCCATATCAACGAGTCATTCGCGATGGTACTGTGGGCAGTGAATGGTATTTGCAACGCGACGTTGCCCTCGTCGCTGTGATATGATTCAGTAACACTTGAAGGCTCAAGGTCGAACAAGCGTACCTTCCCCCGGCCTCAAGAACGAGCACTGTAAACCTGCCATCGGCGGACAACCTGTTCGCGAGTACGCCGCCGGCTGTACCAGCTGTGTATGGAATCAGTAAGGTGCCGTACAAAGGAGAGGAGGCCGCACCTCCGACAATGACGAAGTCATATCCGTCCTCAGCAAGTTCAGTCGGGTCCGTGAGGATCTTGCCGTAGGAAGAGACCGCGAGCAGAGAAAGAAGGATGGCGGTCGCCGCGCGCATGTTGGGTGGAGCACCAGTGCCTGTGGCGCAGAAGCAACGAGAGCCATCCCTCGACACTATAAAGGTTGACGCCTGCGCATTCCCATCCTCGGGCGGTAATGCATCCAGGGCCCGACTGCATGGACGCTGCAACCGGCCGACAAGTCACGACAGAAGACACACGGTCTATCGTGTATATTCGTGGTCGTACCTGGCCCATGAAGCTGTACGTCGAAGTGATGGCCCTGGAGACCGTGTAGTACTAGTCAGTGACAAGTGGGACCAGGGCAAGCCACAAGCTTGAGGTTCAGTCAGCGTCTTCGTCCACTCTTGATACGACGTGCGTCTGAGGGATGAAAGGAGTTTCAGACTCGGTCCGGTCTCAGGAGCAGCGGTCTCGTGGGGTATATAGCACGCGGGTCGAGGAGATGGAGTAGAAGCACGGCCTTCTTGTGCACCGGACGAACGTCGAAATCGCCGACAGAAGTACACGTAACACTACTCCGAGGGCGAGCATCCCAAGCTTCTCGAATTACTGATCTCGTCCAGAGAAGTCAGAGCATGATGAAGTAAGTATATTGAGGCAGGCAACCCGTCGGTTTGGAAGTAGACATGGCTACTGTTCAGATGTGTCGAGGGTGAGGGCAGGGGAAAGCCTGTCGCCAACGCCCAGCGCGACGCGGGCAAGCCGGCAAATGCCGCTGGAAAAACAAACAGCTTGACAATGACACTCGAGGTTCTTCTGCGGCTTATCTGCAGTCTCCGTGTACCGGTATATGAATGGACAAGCATAGGCACAGTTCTGCTTGCGCTAAAGTATTCTAGTCTCAACTATTGTAAAACATAGTATATCACATGCAAAATGATTGAGCTGTCGGGTACGTTGTGGCCGTCTCAGCTACAGAGTAAGTTAGCCGTCTAAGTACGGTACCTATGCCACACGATATGGCCTTCCACCTGCTTGCGGTGGTGGGAAATGACGCCCAGTAGTACGAATTGGACATTGGGGATCCAAGGCCGAGTCTGCCGATGCCAATCACACGGCGACCGGTCTATCAAACTTAGAATCGACGTGCGCCTCGAGATCGTCCGTGCTCGGGAACGTTGATAGTTCGTAGACACGTTCATCACCTGTTCTGTGAACGGACGCCTAGCTGAAGCATTAGCAACTTCTGCTTTCAATTGTCGGGCTGGGGGCATTGCGCACAGTAGACTTCCAATCCATTGCCCTGTTGTCAGCGTTGGGACGACGGTCCTGCAAAGATAAGCGGGCGGGCGTGCCAACTTCAACGCGACGCTCGCGGTCTTGCGATACGTGGATCTGTACTCCAGGAGTGGAGCCATCTCCTCCGGTGGATGTATCTTGAGAAGAAAGCTGTTTCTTGCGGAAAACGCGACCATTCACCGTCGAAAGAAAGGCGTTACTAGGTAGGAATCCGAGTCAGCTCACGAGCAGTGCAGAAGGACGTTTGGGCGTACCTGTAGAGCTTGCCGAGAATGATTGCTCTGGCGTCCGTTAGACATGGCGACGTCCCCGTACGAACCAAGACTTACGGAGTTTGGTGATAGTTATCTTGCCTGTAATGAACCCAAAGGAACAAATCCTAGGCAAGAGTTAGAGATGCACCGCGTGTGCACAGGCAGAATGACAACAGACCACTCCTGCCACGACAGCCGTAATCATGCCCGTCTGAAGCGTATTGATGATAAGACGATCATATAGACTCTGCGACTGTACCCACACAGTGCGAGAACGCGCCTGATACAGCTGCAATCCAGGTCAGCTGCGTGGAGACATGGTGGGACTGAAAAGGGCACTCGCCAGCCATATCATGCAAGTAGCAATGATGATATCGTTAGCAAAACTACCGGCCAGCCAGATCTATGAATCACTGCTTTAGTATCAACTTCCGCCAGATCGTAGCATCACGGAAGAACGCACGTCAACGCTGACTATGATGCGTTCTAGTGACGATGTACTGCCGTTGGCAATGAGGACCTGAGATCGTTGAGCATTACAAGCTCTAAGTTGAGAGCTGGGGCGGAGAACTCACGGTGGTACTCGCGGCAATCGAAGATGAACATTGCATGAGTGCTATCTTTGGAACCATGTCAGCTTCAGTACGCTGTGATATCGCCAGGATAATCCCACTCACGACGGCTATAAACGCCGCGGCGGCGCGGATCCATACGCGTCGAGCCAGAGTCCAGATACGCCTGTTGGTGAGCGCCCTGTTAGCCAAGCTGGGGTTGATAGCAATGGGCGCTCGTACCAAGCGTAGAACACCTGGACCATGCAGGACACTGGTGATAGTGAAGAGCCACTCTGTAAGTAATAGTAAGAGGCGATGATTGGCACCAGCTCACCCACACCGTCGAGGACAGGAGTCAAAGCGCCGGTCCACGGGATCTTCGCTCCCAAAACTTTTGGGTCGCCCCAACTCGCGATGCTGAAGAACCAGACCTCGGCCATGACCATTATACACTGGAAGAGGTCCACAAGGAATACACCTGATACTGTGGGCGTCGCGTCAAATGGGCTAATCTAAAGTAATGATGAGCATACGGACCAAGCAGCTGGACCCAAAGAGGGTCCTTGCGCCGCTGCTGGCTATTCACGTATATATCTGCGGACAAGTGAGTGTACGCTCAGATCCTATAGGCGACAGACTGTAGTACATAGCTGGACCGCTAGAGTGCCCAAAAGGAGCCAGTTGATAGCGTTACCGATGTACTATGGAGCCGAGCCAAGTCAGCACCAAGATGGCAAACTGTCGGTGCGGGACGTACAAGTGGCCCAATTCTACCGTCGTGGACGTGAGTAGACGAGACGCACGAAGAGCAGTCTGGTCTTACATTGTCTTCGGGTCCTCATGAAGTGTAGCACCGCCCGAACCAGGTACAGATGAATTGGATGACATGCGCAGACCGGTCCTGCCAGAAGAATGGGGAGGGTTCGAAAGCCCGCTCGAGTACCCGTTACGCGCAGTTAAGTATGTGGCTTTCGGAAGCCATATAGCAACCCCACAAGGCAGTGTGAACTCGACGGCGAACGCTGATGCGATTTGTGTTCTGCGGCGTCGAAGATTGACGCCCAATATACGTGTGGGTCGGGTGGGTCGGAGATGGGAGATGCCGAGGCGAAACCCGGACTGGACTCGAAGCTTGCTCCGATGTTCGGTAGCCAAGGCGCTAAACTCAGCAAGTGAAGTTGGCCAAGTCAGCTGGCGGCGAAAAGACCCACAGACGACCAACTGAGTCTTGCAATTGCTTGAGGATGAGCTGTCTCAATCTTGAATACGGTGTCGAGCCTGGAAGCGGTTGCGAACGGCGGATAGCCAGGTCTACGTAGGGACAATCAAAGGTCCTACTTCGATTCACGCACGAAGGTCTAAAGCTGATCAGAAATCAGTCACGACGGGCGGTCGCCGATCTTCCAATGCACGAAGACGCACCAACCTTGTCTGACGAGCGAGCCGTCGTAGATCAGATGACAGTGACTAAACGCCTGCGGACTAATTTGTCGTCAATTGGTTGTCAACGACCTAATCGTCAAACAGACGTCGCAGACGCCTCCAACATGGCAGAGAACCCAGCGCACCTAAACGTCTATATGGGACTATCCATATTGGGCGCAGGTCGAAGAGACCGATCAATCCTCGGCTCGGCTAACGGTTTAAGTTTTCTGATGGGGAGACCTACGGGAGCCTGCAAGCCCTCCCAAGACGACCGTACACGTATGAGAAGTACAGTTGAGAACTTAGTAGGTATCGAGACCGTCTCTTATGTTGCAAGCCTTCGGAGTTCAGAGGGTCTCCGAAGCCGACGGAAGGAAGTACAGGCATTGGGCCCTCCTTTGAACACCTTCGCGATCGAGGGCTCTAGAGAGTCTCGAGATGACTTTTTCTACCGGATTTTTTTCAAGNTCCTCGTCCTCGTCATCAGCTTCGCCACCATCTCGCGAGTGGTCAAGTCTCCAGCCAAAACCCTGCCACTCCTCGCCATCCTGATGATGCTCGGCCTCAACCTCGGAGGATGGAGGGTCTACGAGTGGGCGAAGGTTGCGGAAGGACAAAGGAGCACTCCGCCGACTCGCGCGCGATGTGACCGCGCGGAGGGCGGCCTTGTCACGCCTCAAACCCGCACCATCGTTCCTACCGCAATTACTGCACCCACTCACGGTGCGGAATTCTGAAATTACTATGGCACCTTCAATCTGTCGCAATAGAGACGGCTGAGCACTCAAAAGTACAAGAACCTGTTGGGCAAACGAACAACGGCGAAATCTTCAACTCGCGGCATGCCTGTATCATCCTTCGAAAACGGGTCGTAGCGACGTACAGTCTTCATATCCTCGTAGAAATATTTGAGTTTTGGATATGATGTATTTAAGATCATTCTGTATGTAAAGTGAATTTATTGCTATTTATTTTTCGAGTTTTAGCACTGCTAGGCCGACTGTTCAAAGGAGAGCCCCAATTCAAAGGAGGGCCCAATGCCTGTACACGTTCATGACCGCGTGTACGCCACAAGCAGCCCGACAGATGGAGATGCCACTACGACGTTGCGCTGTCCTGTATCACAGCTGACCAACCCGGGCGAGGCACGAAGCGGCATTCTAAGGCCTCCGGGTGGCTCGTGAGACCACTCGTGAATTCGCGAGGCGGAAGATATTCCTTCCCATCTTCATCCCTTGGCCGCTCGATGGTGAAGCATGATAAAATGGAGGCAAAATCCAGCCAGAGACTACATATGCTGATTGAGTAGCAGTTCGAGCTCAAGAAGGAAAGAGAAACCTCACATGAGTTGGGCCAAGTGTCGTCCGGGACAGATACGCGCACCGAATCCAAACGCGACGGTGTCCGGATCCTGTTGTTTGTTGGCCCCCATGAAACGCTCCGGTCGGAAGACGTGCGGCTCCGGATAGACGGTGTCATCGTAGCACATAGCATATTGATTGGGCAGGATGACCGTATTCGCGGGTATAAACATGCCGTTGTATACCTGACATTCGAGTTAGTCCAGCTCAGTTGCTCACAACAGTAGGGACACTCGCGTAGTTCACTCGCGATACGTGTGGTAGTCCGAATGGTGCCACTGGATGCCACCTCAGCACTTCCTTGACTAAAGCATCAATATAAGGCAGCGATGCGCGGTCCGAGAAATCCGGGAGTCGTCGACCACCAGTGACACTATCCAATTCTTGTTGCGCCCGTGCTTGGACCTCTGGAGCGTGCAACATCGCAAGTACAAATGTCAGGAGAGCGGATATGGTGGTGTCCGACGCAACTGTACAGATACAAAGTCAGGTGCGAGAAGAGACTTGAAGGGCAAGCGAGACGCACCTGAATGAAAGGCAGCGCAACTATCACGCACAATATCCAGGCTGATATCGCCATTTTGATATGAGTCCATGAGCCTCGTGAAGAAGGATGATTGGGTCTTGCCCTCCTTGTGTTGCTCCAGCGACCACTCCAGAACACCGGTGCGCATATTGTCCACTAGTTTGTGTCCTTCCTGGGCCACGCGTCGAAAGTTTGCACCAGGAAACCACGGTGGAATATATTTCAGAAGGGGGAACACATTGACAAGCCAGAAGCTTCCCGGGCGCATGACTGCGACAATTGATTGCATAGCCTTCTCGGCTGCTTGCACATGTGCATCCTCGGAGTGAGCGTTAGGGTATCCATAAGCTGTGGAGGCACGGCAAGACAGGAACGGGAGTGAGTTGTAGTACTAGGGCGCTGTATTTGGACAACGTACCGATGGCCATATTGGACCCGACGACTTGACTACATATACATGAGTAACTTGAGGATGTGGGCAAACATTGAGCTCACCTACTTATACAGGTGCTTTCTGAAGTCTTCAGGTTTCTGCACGAGTTGCCTCAGGCAGGTATGAGTCTCGTGCTACAGTCGGAGGAAACACCGTCAATAAGAAGGCTTGTCAGGCAACAGAAAGATGACGCACGGTGATCGCTTCGCGATATGTATTCATCGTGTGGCTACTGAACTCTCGTACAAAGATCCTGCGGAAGACTGAAAACGCGGGATCCGTGAAGTTCATAAGGGAGAAGGCGAACTTCCAACCCATTCTGGAGGACTCTGGTAAACGAGGTGTGAAGGGGGGACGTGCGCACACTCACAGTTCGCTGACCATGACTGACTGGGGGCGATCCGAATAGTCTTTCGAACGATGTACAAATAGATCCTGTGCGATTTGAGGAGTGCTGATGAAGATGATCCTGCTCCCCAACGCGTTGATCATGAAGACGGGCCCTGCAATATGTCGATGAGAGAACTTGAAAGCATATGGAGAGACATCGATATCGTACCAAGCTCCCTCGCCCACTTCGCCATCTCAAGCCATTCTGAGATAAGATGCATGAGTATCCACTGACCTTCCCATACTGCATTAAGTAGAAGAATCGCACCTTGTCTCGTGGGCATCTGCAAGGCATTCCCAACGAATGGAATCCAGCTTGGAGGAGGTGTTGGCGGGAAAGGAGCCCTGCATCTGGCTCGTCGTATGCCAGAGAGACAGGCAAACGCGGCGCAACAGCAGAGAGCCGAGACTATGAGTTTACCGAGTGCCATGGGAGAGAACACCAGCCAACGAGGTCATTATCTGTATAGACCTTTTGAACGGATCGATGGCCCTCGGTCTCCGAGTGGTACCGACTTATGGTTCTCATGAGATCAGTGGCAGGACAGATGATCCATCAGCATGTTGACGGCGAGACCAGGCCGAAGCGGCGCTACAGGTGTTGAATGACGTCTGAACATGTCAGGGCAATAGATACAGGAGTGCGTCTGTTCCACAGAAGACCATGCGTGCCCACTAGACCGAACGTTGCACGAAGGCGTATGCTCAGGCGAAGTCTCCTTGTTTCTTGACTCCACTTCATCAAGCACCCTCGGACCTTTTCGGCGCCGCTGAGACTGGGATTGACGCAAACGCACGGAGTGGGATGGGAACGACTTGGTCGGAATGTCAGTTGAGCGTCCTGCGAACAGTGAACGGCACAACGCACAGCCTATAGCACTGCACTATCCTGTATGATAGTTGACCAGCCGGGACGAGGTACAAAACGGCACTGGAAAGCCTCAGGGCGGCTAGTCAGACCATTGGTCAGATTGGTCGGTGGGAGGTACTCTGCGCCTAGGTCATCCTTCGGGCGCTCAATCGTGAAGCAGGATAGAATACAAGCGAAGTCGAGCCAAAGACTGGCAAAGGCAAGGTTAGCGATGCGTGTCGAAGCCCTGCATGCAGCGGCATCCTTACATGAGTTGCGCGAGATGTCTCCCGGGGCAGACGCGCGCGCCAAAGCCGAAAGCGCTGGTGTCCGGATCACGTTGCTTGTCAGGGCCCAGGAAGCGCTCAGGGTTGAATCGATGCGGTTCCGGATAGACGCTCTCATCGTGCGCCATGGCGTACTGATTGGGAAGTATGATGGTCCCCGCCGGGATGAGCATGCCGTTATAGACCTGACCGGACGTGAGTTGGTCGATACGCTAAGAGACGCGCAACAAAACAGCCAACTGACATCGTCCTCTAAGGCAACATGCGGTAGTCCAAGTGGTACCACCGTTTGCCATCGCAGCACCTCTTTGACCACAGCATCGATGTAAGGCAGCGATGTGCGGTCGGAGAACTCGGGAAGTCGTTGCCCGCCGGTGACGCTATCCAATGCCTCCTGGGCGCGCTTCTGAACGTCCGGTGCGTGCAGCATCGCGAGGACGAATATCATGATCGCAGCCGTGGTGGTATCTGTGGCGACTGCGCGTGATAGGCTGGTTAGGTTATATAGTCATACGAACTCGAAGTGTCCACCTACCAGGATGGAATGTGGCGCAACTATCCCGTACGATGTCTAAGCCGATGCTGCCGCCTTCATGCATCTCCATGAGTTTAGTGAAGAAGGACGTCTGCATCTTGCCATCCTGGTAATGCTTGAGCGACCACTCTAGTGTTCCAGAACGCATGTCTTCAACGAGCTCTCGACCCTTGCGAGCGACGCGCTTGAAGTTGGCTCCAGGGAACCAATCGGGTATGTATCTCAAGACGGGGAATATATCCACCAGCCAGATGTTTCCCGCGCGCAATGCGTCGATGGCTGAGGCCTGCGCCCTATTAGCTACCTCGACATGGGTATCAGTCGAAGTGGCATCGGGATAGCCGTATGCTGTGAAGGAGGGGTCAGAAAGAGAAGACGGGAGCGCTCGATGATTGGTACATACCAATCGCCATGTTCGCCCCAACGACCTGACTATTCGGCTATAATGAGCTGAGGGTCTATCGTGTGTGGTGTAGTTCAACGTACTCTGTTAGATGTTTCTCAAACTCCGCCGGACTGCTCAGAAGGCGATCCAGGCAGATGCGTGTCGCATGCTGGTGAAAAGAGAGGATGGCATGAGTGTGATAACTACGAACGCCAATATGTACTGACGTACCGTGATCGAGTCTCGGAACGCATTCATGGCATGGCTACTCAGTTCACGGACGAAGATCTGACGAAAGATGTGGTATAGGGGGTTTGAGAAATTCTGCAGAGCGAAGTCGAACTTCCATCCCATTCTGCATGGCGATTTCAGAGTCGGCGTCATTGTTTCAGTAAGAACCATAGACGTACAGTTCGCAGACCATGATTTGACGGGGACGTTCGGAGTAATTCTTGAATCGCTCGTGGAGCAGATCTTGAGCAGCTTCAACCGTGTTCAGGACGAGGAAGTTGGCCCCGAACATATGGTACATATAGACAGGACCTGAATGTCACTGGATGAGTATGAAAGAATTGATCCGAGCGTGCAAGGACTGACCGAACTCCTGACCCCATTCCGTGAAAGTGATCCATGCTATTAAAGGTGATGAGCACGGGTTAATCGCCATATCGGGAGCCAACGAACGTTGCGTGAGTGAAATTTGGAAGGCATTTCCTACGAAGGGAATCCAACTGCTTTGCGGCATAGGCGGAAGAGGCGCACGACGAGCGCTCTTGCGCACTGCCCAGAGGAGCAAAGCACAGACACATGACACCAGAACTGTAATGTTATCGATTGCCATAGTGGAGGAAGACAGGTAGCAAAACTGGAATCGAGCTGCGCTTTAAAAGGACGGCCATCTTCTCACAAACCCCAGCCGAGACCGAGCTCGTCATGCTTTCAGTGCGGCGAATTCCAGATAGACACCGTGCTTCTCGTAGTGCCGGAGGGAGCCCATTCACTACCAACTGGGCTGTGAACGGGAGGCGCACGCTTCCGCACATGTATATCCTCGTACAACAACCAAAGAAACTTTTCTTAGATACAACATAGATCTTCAGGGCGTCGTCAGTAACAACTACTACATCACAAGTGGTAGAGACTCACATTTACACTTGTACGATCGCGGTACTCTCTGCGACTTTCTTCCCGTAATCACGGAACTGAGCGAGAGCATCCCATGCTTTCCCCGATTCTATTGCCTCGCGCGCCAGCCTAACGCCTTCCTTCAAATCCTTGGCTTTTCCTGAAACGTAGAGTAGTGCGGCAGCGTTGAGTAGAACGAAGTCGAGCTGTGGCCTCAGGCGGTCAGGAATGTCCTTCCCAGAGCACAGCAGCTCGCGGAACGTAGTCGCGTTCTCTGTAGGCGTTCCGCCTGCAACTTCGGCGAGCGAATGCATAGGTAGACCGAATTCGGATGGATGCAGCGAGCGCTCGGTGATCGTTCCCTCGTTAAGCTCCCAGGCGAACGTGCTACCCGCGCAACTGATCTCGTCGAGGTTCTCGGCGCCGCAGACTACGAGTGCCCGTGCCACACCCGCATCGCGCAACGAAGCTGCGAACGTACCGCCTAGGGCACGTTCTGCTACGCCGAGGACCATGCCCTTGGGACGTGCAGGGTTGATGAGGGGTCCGAGGATGTTGAACATCGTACGGAAAGGAAGCGCCTTCCGGTACGGGGCGATGAATGCCATCGCGGGGTGATAATGTGGCGCTAAGATGAAAGTGAATGGCTGCTTCGGAATTGGCACGGCCGTCGAAGCAGATGGCGCAGTGAATAGACAATCCAGCGATTGTAGCAAGTCGGCAGAGCCAGAAGATGACGTTGACGCTCGACTTCCGTGCTGCAGAATAGAGGATTAGCCTACGGCTTCCATGAAAACAACCTGACAGGTTCTGTCTGCCGATCCGCGTCGAAGCCGCGGATAGGCACCAGAACCAGAATCCCGCTTACCTTGATTACACGAGCGCCGGCGCCAGCAGCCACCACCGCCGCTGTGGTGCTGACATTAAACGTATTGTGCCCGTCGCCACCGGTTCCGACGATGTCGACCACGAAGTCGGCGTCCCAATCCTCAACATCCGCTTTCAAGGCCCGCGCGCGGAGCACTTCGGCAGCAGCAGATATTATCTCAGGCCTCCTTTCAATACGGTGCAGGTGCTGAGCAGTGATAAATGCGCCGATTTGTTCGGGAGGTACCGCGCCAGGGGTGAAGATAGCTTCAAGCGCCGCCTTCGCGTCCTCCGGGCCGAAGAACTCTGGAGTCTTTACGAGTTTCGCGAGAAGAGCCTTGAAGTCGGTCGCCTCCATGGTAGTTGGTAGTGGTGGTAGTGCAGAGCTGACTCGAGCGCGGAAGACATGGCGGTATCTGTGCGAAGATGATCAGAGCGGAACGTTTGCGCACGGCGCGAGTCCGCGTCGGGCGAGCTTCGGCCGCGCCTCGCGCAGGTCGCTCTTGACCGCCATCACCGCCATGTCTAGTAAAAGAGAAAAGCCGATTCACTCCCTCATCGCGGGGTCTACTGCTGGTGCCATAGAAGCGTGAGTGCCGCGATTTAACGCGTAAAAATACGCTGTCTCTGACTGAAAGCAAGCATCCAGCTTCGTCACATATCCGACTGAGTTCGTCAAGACACGTTCTCAATTCGGGGGCAAGGTACGTTCAGAACGAGGAACGATGAAGGCGCGTGTCTGACTACGGCTGTAGAGGGAAGGTCCCATCGCGATCATCAAAAATACCATACGCACACAAGGTGTTACGGGCTTGTACGCGGGATGCACTGCTCTTGCTGCCGGGAACTCTCTCAAAGCTGGTGTGCGCTTTGTGTCGTATGACTACTTCAAGAGTAAACTTGCCGACTCGGAGGTAATAACCTGAGCTCTCCCCCCAGCCTCGCCTGCTAACTAACTGTTTAAGGGTAAAGTCAGTGCGCCGCGAAGTCTGGTCGGTACGTCATGCCCAGCGTTGATCCTGTGGTCACATACTGACTTGATCATACGTAGCTGGGCTCGGAGCAGGCGTCATGGAGTCTATCTTCGCAGTGACACCCTCTGAGACCATCAAGTACGCGGTTCGGGCGAATTATAGTCTTACAAGAACTGAGTATATTCTAGGACGAAACTCATCGATGACGCGAAGCGGCCAAATCCTCAATATCGCGGTCTCATCCACGGCTCCGTGCAAATCGTGAAGCAGGAAGGCATCACGGGCATATACCGTGGCCTCTTCCCTGTCGTAAGTCGGCTTCCTATGCCAATGATTCGTCTCATTCATATTCCCCTGCAGATGATGCGACAAGGAGCAAACTCAGCTGTACGGTTTACGACGTACACAACGCTCAAGCAGGCAGTTCAGACGCGCACACGACCAGGTCAAACATTGCCATCTAGCGTAACTTTCGGTATCGGCGCTATCGCGGGCATTGTCACTGTATACACAACCATGCCTCTGGAGTAAGTGCATGAGTTAGAGTGCGAATACGTTCATGTACTCAACCTCCGCAGCGTTATCAAGACGAGGATGCAGTCTCTAGACGCCCGTGGACAATACCGCAACTCCGTCCATTGCGGGTACCGCATCTTTACTGAGGAAGGATTACTTCGCTTCTGGACAGGAGCGACACCTCGCTTGGCTCGTTTGGTGGTACGCGCAGTTCATTGACCTCTGGCCTTCCGAACGCTGACCTTTCACCGACAGTTGAGCGGTGGTATCGTCTTTACGGTATACGAGAACATCATAAGGGTATTGAACCCCGCTCCTTTGTGATGCGCATGTATACCTGGACAGAATTCTTGCACCGGCTACTCCTAAGAATCTACCTCAACCTCGCATGCGTGAACCCCCGGAAGGACCGAGTTGTGGACAGCCGTTGACTCCGTCGACGCTGCGTCAGCACGTTTAGTCATCGTCCGCGCGGCTGCTGGTCTTCCGGATTAGGGAATTCGATCACTTTCTGGCACTTTCCGGCATTGTTCCCCGACTTCACCGCCACTTTCTAGCACGCTCTCCGACTCTGTGGGCGGGCCGCGCGTCGGGACGCGTACGACCTTCCTTGCTGCTGACTGATCCAATGCATAGGGTACAAAAGCCTTGGCCCGGTTGGCGCTCCAACTCACTACTCTTACTTCCCGCATACACTGCACACAACTTTACCACCGATACACCCAACACACCCGCTCAACATGTTCCTTCGTCCTTCATCGACTCACTACACCTACCGTCCAACCGCCTCGCCAGCCCGGGACCGTCGCGCTTACAAGGACCTGCCCGCTTCGCTCTACAACGTCGAGCCCGACTTCGACCGTCTCAGCTTCACCCCCAACTTCTCCGACGACGGCATCGCTTTCCGTGCTCCCACTTACCCCGACAACCTGAGCGCTGAGGAGCGGTATCGTCGTGCACTTGAAGAGGCCTACGCCGCGAAGCAAGAACTGCGCGTTCAGACTGAGGAAGCTCGTCTCCGCGAGGAGGCAATTGCACTCCAGTCCGAGGTTGCTAGGCTTCGTGCCGAGCGTGCTCGTGAGGAGGCGCGTCTCAACCAGATCCGGCTCGAGGAGGCTCGTCTCGCTCAGGCGATGCGCGAGGAGGCGCGTCTGATTCAGGCTGCTAAGGAGCGCGAGCGTCGCGCTGCTGAGGCGGCTCGGGAGGAGGCACTCCGCCGCGAGCTGATTACTCGTCGTCGCGCTGCTCTCGTTCAAAAGGAGCGTGCGCGCGTTGCCGTCCGCCAGCTCTTCGAGGCTCCGGCTGCTCCTGAGGTGGTTCGTTCTCATGCTCGGCCTCAACCTCAACCGCAAGCTCGCCCCATCACTCTGGCCGACCTTCTCGAACGCTCGCTTGCACAGCAGGAGACCCCGAAGCCCCGCCCTCAACCGGTCAGGGCACAGCCCACTGTCAAGTCTCCGTCGCCTGCGACTGCGCCCAGGGTGCAACCGAAGGGCGAGGAGTCTCCCGAGCAGGTCAACATGAAGGAGGTTTACGACTTCATCTACAACCTTTTCAGCCCGCAGGTTGCTCAGCAGCAACAGCAGGTTCGTCGTGTTTCTCTACGCTGTATATCTATCCCAATACTGACTCGTCTCTTCCAGCATTCGACGTCTGCTGCGCCCACTTCGACCGCGATGCCCAAGCCTTTGGAGAAGGGCAAGGCGAAGGCTGCTCCGGAGCCCGCTTTTACTCGAGCTCCCGCCCACGATATATTGAAGCAGCGTCTTGAGGAGCGCCTCGCTCGCGAGACGGAGCAGGAGATGGCGGATACCGCCCGCGCCATTCTCAACAGTCTGCGCGATCAGCACGCGGAACCGTCGGCTACGTCTTCTCAGGTTCGCTCAGATCTACTTTCCTCTTTTAACCCAGATGCTGACGACGCCTCGAAGGTCAAAGTCGAGAATGCTCCCGCTTCTGCCTCGACTTCTTCCGCCGACCTCAAGCGCGTCCCCGAGCTCTCCGGTAACGCCGCTCAGGACGTCAAGGCCCAGTACGCCGCACACCGCCGGTCTACATCTGCTCCCGCCGCACCTGCCACACCACTCGAGCGCATCCAGTCCATCAGGGCTTCCCTGATCTCGCTTCGCACGACATTCCATTTCCCCGCTACGCCCGACTACAACAATACGACGGGCACCCTCTCTTACTCTTCCGCCAACACTCCACTTCGTGCGTACGAGCATGCTTTGAACGATCTTCTGGAGCAGCTGGATGGGATCGAGAGCGAGGGAGACGAGGCCGTACGTGGACGCAGGCGCGAGGTTGTGAAGGAGGTCGAGCGCGCGCTTGAGGAGTTCGACGAGCAAGTTCGTGCGGCCTCGCCTGTCCGCGGTTCGCCTGCTCCGCAGCCGCAAGAGCTTGAGCCTGAGAAAGAGGGGGAAGTAAAGGCAGAGGGGGAGGTGAAGGCGGTTGACGTTGACGTTGAGGAGAAGATGGAGACACAGAAGGACGAAGAGGTGAAGGAAGAGTCGACGACTGTGCTGGAGAATGTCGAAGCGGAGGCGCAGGAGGCGCCCATCATTGCCGTCGAGACGCCCGCTGAGACGCCTTCCCCGGCCGCGGAAGCCGTCAACCCATCGGTTCCCGAATCCTCCCGTAACACTGTCGACTCCGCGCATCCTCTCACCGACGCCGAGGCTTCTACCGAGACCTCATTCGACACAGTCCCGACTTCGGCAGTCGATGACGCCTCCCTACCCACGGAGGAGCCGGCTTCAATCGAGACGGCGGCGCCTACACCGGTTGTTCTACCGGAGGAACCTTCTACTGTCGAGGAGCAGCCTGTTGCCGTAGAGGAGTCCAACTTCACCGAGCAGCCCGAGTCCAACGAACCCTCCGGCGCCGCCGCCGAAGAGCAACCAACGGTAGAAGCGCCCACTACCCAGCCCATTAGTTCTGAGGCCGCCATCAAGGACGATGTGACTGCGCCTGCGCTCGATACCGTGGCAACCATTCCCGACGAGCCCGCGCCTTCCGCTGAACTCGCACCCGCACCAACCAGTCCACAACCAGGGCAGCCGTCCTCAGAATCGTTCTTGACCTCCCTCTCGCATGACCATTTCGCCGTCCCGCCAACACCCCGGCACGAGGATGTCGACCCAGATGAGCTCGAGGATTCGGTGCTCATTGAGAAGGAGGACGATCGCGACTCGGAGCACAGTTGGTCTGAGGTCGAGTCGGAGTCTCCATAGTGCCCGCCTTGCATTTCTGTTTGTTTCATGGCATTCGTTGACCAGGACATTGTTCATCATCTGGGCATCTTGTACAGTATACTCTCCCGGGCTTGTATCTTATATGTGTACCTTATAATGCATCTCTTACTCTCAAACTTATCGAGCCTTTTCCGTGTGAACCGCGGTTGAGGTCGAGATGAACTCCTGAGAAGGCGCCTGAGACTCAGATGGACTCCTCAACAATAGAGGTAATCGGTATAACAAGTAGGAAGGGGTGACCTTCGGTACTGCAGCTGCGCGAGCGCCGAACACGCTGTTGATGGTGTTCGCGATCGGCGCCTTTTTCTTCTTGCCTGGGAATGGAATACGGTCTCGAGTCTGACAGCCTGCGACGCGAAACGTACTGCCGACCTACAGTCATGACGCACGCACGCCGCTGATATGAAGAGAGCCTCTCCCCTTCACCTTCGTCCTAGGAGACTACAACCATGACTCTCCGCATGGCCGATCGTTCTCAAGGCTCAGATGAGTTGCCGCTAGTAGCGTTTGTGCCGCGCCATTGTGCCCACAGGGTGTTCTGTATCACACATGAGCTCTCTCTACTGTCTATGACTGCTCAGACTATTGCCAGGAGAAGATGAACGCTCTCGACGCTACACCGTCGTAGCTTCGATGAATCCGATCCGCGCCGTCAAGCTCAGATAGCGGCTTCCTCTCTTTGGATCGTTGTTCACATCTACTCAAGCCCTGTGACGAAGGTCCTGCGCCCTCGCCAGTCCTGTGGTCATACGCAGACGCCCTGTGTGGTACAGTAGAAGCTCCGCCTCTTGCCCTGACCGGCCTGACCGAGCAAAATAGACGCATGGCGATAACGCGCGGCGCGGAGTCGGACGAAGCGAGCGCGACTTGCGCAAAACGACCATCTTCTAGGCAACGGATCGCCACAGCCTCCTTACCGTCCACACACCGTCATGTCCATCGTGAACGTCATCCCTTCGCAGCTCATCAATCTCATCAACTCGCATATACTCGAGAATGCCGGCCTGGCCTGCTCAAACTGTCTACAACCTGCCCCATCAGGCGCTACATTGCTGAAATGCTCGAAGTGCCATCGCACCTCCTACTGTACGCAATCTTTGATGGATCTCTCTTCCCATGCTGATTCTATCTTAGGTAATTCCAGCTGTCAAGCCAAGAATTGGAAGGAGCATAAGCCACTATGTGCCGGGATTCAGGCTCTCAATAACGCTGAGAAGAGAGATTGGGAGATGTGGGGCCGCACAGGAGAGCTGGATCGAAAGCTGCTGTTCGATATCCACGTGAGCTACTTTTATCTCCAATTCTTCCCTTCCTCAGCCCTCAGCCCTGATCTTTGGCAGGGCGATCGTCAAGTCCGATGCACGACTCAATTCCAGCTTCCAAACAAGTACTACGTTCAGTGAGTTTTCCTGACGCACTTATGCAAGAGTGGCTGAATGCCATCTAGACATGCTGTCAAATGCGAAGGCTGTTGGCGTACCCCGTTCCAACAACCTGAGCGTCTATCGTTTCACGCCTGTCCTCGTTGCGAGCTTGCCTGGTGGTGCTTGTCTGAATGCAAGCCGGCTTTTGACAAGGAGCACACGCGTGCACAGTGCGATGCGCTCTTTGACGCCTACATCACCGAACGATTCAAGATCGACTACGCCATCGCCCGCAATCGTCAAAGCCGCCTCATGCTCGAGTCATCCCCGCGCTCGCGCCACATACCTGTAACCCCAATGACCGGCTGGGACCAATATTTTCGCCGAGCTTTTCCGGAGCATGAAGAGATTATAACTCGCCTTGGGAACGAATTCAAGAAGACCAATAAAGACGCGACTCGCGCAGCCATGATATTGTCGCGAGGGACGTTCTCCATGCCTTTGACAATCGCAGAGGCGCTGGAACGCGCGTACCCAGATATCGCGACCAAGACATCGCTCTCCATCCATGTTCTTGGATCTGAGATACGCGAAGCACTCGGCATGGGCGTGACTGAAGAGTTGCTGCACATCTTCCCGAAAGTTCAGACCTTACGAATGTACCACATCGGCCCTCGAGCGCGTCCTCAACCTGAATTCTTCCGTGATGACAACATCGCATGCGTGTCCTGTCAGAAGCGCGGTCGCAGCCGCATCCACCGCGCCTCAAGCAAGCTTTACCACGACTGCAATTGGTCGAGGCCGAACAGTGCATCGCGCGCTGACCTCGTGGTTGCATTTAACTCAGGCATGTCAAACGTCGATGAAGCGGGATGGGAAAAGACGCTCAACCTGATCTTGGATAATGGGACGCCTGCCGTGTTCACGGCGTACTCGGAGATGGAGTCTCGAGATGAGGAGCTGCTGTTGCGCAAGCTCGGCGCCCGGTTCCTACTTCCTGCAACCGAGAACAAGTGGAAGGACGGTGAACCCATTGTCAACGTATACTGGGAGGCGTCTGATGCCGTGAGTAACCCCCTTGGTATCATCAGTGATGGCCCGCACACAACGTCTTGTAACAATAAGCGGATTCTTATCGTGCAAGGGCGGGGATAATTGCTCTGGGGATGATGGTCAACTCGATCCTTACCTACCCCGTAGAAATGACATGTATCATATGGCCGCTTCCTGTATTCTTATTTCTCGTATCTGACCATACAATATATACGTATGCGCTATAATGGAAGTTCTTTCAGTAGCCTGTATCTCATGTGACCGCGCCGACTGCGCACGCGCATGTAATCCTGTCTCTTGATTGCTATCGAGTATAGTAGCCCGCAAGATAGACATATCATTTTTTGGTGCCATCCTTGAACAGTTAGTAGTGCAAACTCGTGTGCCGACATCCGGGGTACGGTACAAAATTTATTGTTCTTCTCCACAGAGATCTGCTCAGGATTCGAACCTGGGCAAGCGAGATGTCCATAATGATAGAAATCCCGCCGTGTCCACCACACCAACAGACCTTCTCCTGTGTAGTAAGTATGTACTGACCGACGCCATGAGTCTTCACCAAGTAAACTTCCCACTCGTCATCGTGCAGCCTACCGGGTACCTCAATCTACGCTGACTTCTCTACGTCTTCCCTCGGGCCTCGACCATATACCGGAGTTCGTCTGTAAACCGCGACGCAATCGGGCGGCACCTTTTGTCAAGGCGGCCCTTGCACACGCCGTTCACCTGAATCACCCCTGGGTCGGGCCACGCAGAGCAAAAGCCCAGTTGGGAGCGGAAAGCACATCAATCATAAGTCAAAGCAGCGCTGGCCTGTAGTTCGCCGAGTCTTCAAAATCCGAACTATATCTCTTCTCTTGTTGACTCATACTAGGCATGGTGACCACTATCATTTGACATGCCGTACAGTACAGCATTCTCGAGCTTTGCATATATCTTCGTGCGCGTCTGTAGCCATGCAAGGCTGAAACGAGGCGAATAGCCCTTAGGACTGAGTTGGCTCGGGTACACTATTGTCCAGCCTTACGCCTGTCGCTGTTTCGAAACACATCGTCGCCGTCGTTACCGGTACATTCAGACTTGTGGAAGCATGCCTCAGTATGAACTGATATAGGCAGCCACTAGTCTGCTCACCTCTCGATCACATGTGTGTAAGCCGCAAGATCACGGTACATATGTGTCGCGCATATTGCCCTGTGATGGGTCCGATCAGTCAACGGAGACAAACGTGTATCACGCAGAGGAACTCACAAGGCAGCAACTTCAAATGGTCCTAGAAGCTACCAGAGATTGTTAGTGTCGTAACCATGGGCACGAAAATACCTGTACGAGTCTGCGTACATCGTCCAGGGGACCTAGTACCAGAGGACGTGTTAGGCGAGTGCGCGGCATCTCAGCTTGACTGGCGCTTCACGCACCGTTCAGATCAAGTGCCGCGAGAACAAGGTTGGGTATCTCAATCACCATCACAAGAATCATCCAGAGTAAGCCCTTCCGTAGATTCGTTGGGTTACCCTGGCCCTCTTCAAGTTCGTCTATTGCTTATCACATACCGAGTTGTATAAGTGCCTGGTTATTCCGAAGCGTCGAGCCTCTTCCATGCGAATCAAGCCGACCATCATGATCATGATCAACAGGAAGTCCGTGGCAAATAGGGTGCTCGTATTCACGAGCTGTCCAACACTTGATTGGGGACAGCCTGAAGATTGCGCGCTACCTCCTACTGAGGAGAACGCTCCGCCGACCGCCAGCTATATGGGTTTCGTCAGATGCTGAGGCAATCTGGGGACGAAGATGGGATACGCACCGAGAACAGGTATTTCATTCTGACGGCCACGCACGCAACAAGCATTCCATACGCTATAAGCATGATAATCTTCTTGCGTTGCCATATAGCCACACTTGTGTTGTGCGTCAGGCATCAGAACTTCTAGGACACAATGCATAGGGGTGAGTCTACGCACGCACGGAGCGCTATCATCAGCGAGGCGCAAGCTAGTATCATGTACGAAACGACCTAAAAGTACTTCAGCGTCTTACGACCTGCCGCGCCATGTGCCCGCGCACTCACCGACACGGTCAGAGTGAGCGCCTGAGTACCTTGGTAGCATTAGCTTTGCATCAGGAGAACCACCGGATGGAGCGACCTTCAACTCCGTGCAGTCGGGTTGGGTTATCTCGACAGCGAATGATAGAGCAACCCACGCCAGCAGCATGAGGCGACAGGCAGCGTGCAACTCAACAACGATCAGCGGCTGCGTTTGTCAGGCGAGTATCGCTGCATCTCACCCAGATAGTCCACAGATATCTCCGTTCTCCTTTCCAGACACTCCATTCGTACTCCATATTCGAGACCAAGTCCCAGCTGCAAGAGCAATTCAGTCATTCTCCTCTACGACGATCAATTCAATGAGTACCCACAGGATAATACCGAATACGATGTGCCCGAGCCTGAGAAGAAAGACTGACACGATGAGACAACGTCGAGGGCAAAGATGGTGGTGAACTCACGCTCATCTTTCAACACCTCCTGCGGACTAGTTTCGTCAGGCATTTCGGCAACAGACCGTCAAGGCGTATCGTCCCGAGACATCTGCAATGGATGGAGTTAAGAAGAGTCAAGACGCGGGATGTTCAGGGCATTCTGAGGTGAGGCGTGTGCCTCAATAGAGTAGCGGGAAAGAACATCACGATGAACGTGGTGCATAGCGGTGCATTGCAAGAGGTCCGCTGTCGCAAATAGGTGGACACTAGCCACAAGTGACTATAGCAGCCGTACAAGCCGCACATCGGCTCGCAAATCAGCGCTCGTGGCCAAGGGGCTCCATCTATACAGGATAATCCCTTGGTATGTGCTGAAGCTTGACGTGAGCGCTGTACATCTGGAGCGTAGTGTATGCAGACTGTGAATGATGCCATCGTGTAGCCATTGTGTAGAACTTCGCAGACGGACACTATGCCGCAGAGGCTGCATGATGGACGATGTGAACAAGCACATCTTCCCGCTATCTACGTCGGCGTTCGATCGCTCCGGTCACATGCGAACTAATCGGTTCGTTTGAAGACGTTTGTGGATAAACATAGGAGGAAAAGCCGACACTGGATGGTGGGTGGGATGTCTTCGCCGAGGTCGAGGGCAAGCAGGCTGGTGTCGGCATCGGCATTTGACCACCTGCATCCTTTCTCTGGCACCGACGACCACGACTGTGCGGTTTTCAGTGGACACCACCACCTGCATCCTTCGTCCATGACACTTCGCTGCGCAAAATATTCGAAGAAGGATATCGGCCTACCGCTCGCATTCTACTAAAGTGTGGGTGGGAGAGGGATGGAGAGGAAGTAGACAAGGCAGAGGATACTCGACGGCCAGCGGAGGGATGTACCTGTCCATTCGGCGCGCCACCTGGCCCCGGTCCCTCAGTGCTGGACTGTGGTACGAACGTGAATTGGTGGATACGTCTACATCTGGTCCTTCACTCGCCGCGCGCCAGGCCGCGCGGTCTCCTGGGGTTCGTTCGATTCGACGCTCTGATTGAAATATGTCCTGTCAAGCTAACCGAACCATATACTGCAGGTCATTATTGCGCGCCTGCCTCTGCTTAACCATTCGGTACCTCTGCTGCTGTCGAGCCAGTACCGTGCAACGTCGCTCGGCTACTGGCCTGGATATGCGACTGCAGGCCAGCCCATCACCATTCATGTCGCCCCACTTCCCCGCGAGGCACGACTCCATGAACAAGATGTACCGCGACATGCACACGCTCAACGATCATCCGGAGTGATTTGATGCTGTTGAGAGTGGGCGGAAGAGGCGGAGGCACGAGGTTGGAGCAGGTCAAGCGTTCACTCAAAGGATTCGACAGACGAACGCCTGCGGAATCGTCGCTCGTCTGCTGTCCGCCGCAGCCGCGTGACATTGCTATTGAAGTCAAGGAGGAAGCCGATGCGAAGGCTTCAATCGAAGGGGGCGAAGAGGAAGGGGAGGATTGTGATACACTGAGCGGCAGGAGGCGATCGAGCGGTTGCACTACACGGACTCGGCCTACCTTCCAATCGCCTGTGGCGTTGAGCGCTCCCCCTTCAACCACTGTCATTGCACCAACCGCCAAAGCCTTTCGACGCTGTGCACCAAGTACGTGGACTGTATTGTCGACAGGAAAGCTCTCGATTGACACACCACCCCTTAGTTAACGAGGTCACGAAAGCTGGTGTCACACCGACCAATATGGACCGCATGAGTATCGCCGAGGGTTTCGCACCATCGAGGAGTCTGTTCTCAATAAGCGATACATTCGGCTCACCCCCGTTTGCCGATCGGACCCCCTCTGTACCTGTTGTTGCAAACGGAGTTGATTGTCCTCAGATCCAAATGAATATATGATGGGCTATCTGCAACCCCTGCAACCACTCCTATGCTAATACAGGTCACGCCCTTCATCGACTTGGACGGGAGGGCGCTTGCACTTTGCATTTACTCCGTCGTACCCGGGTGCGGCGCGCCGACGTGACCTCGTTACGAAACAACACCACCGGATACTACCCCGAGATGCAGATTCACTAAGCGTCTCGCACTCAGCGGGTAGATATCGGTTCGCTGATCTCTCGTCTGACAGGAAACGCCTCAGCGCCTGATAGTCAACGGCCCACATCTTCGTCGTTCTGTCCTGCAATGGCTCTCGAGGTGCCGTACCCCATGTCAGGAAGGCCGGATCGCGAGTGCCCATCACTTTCCACGGCTGCTACTGATGATTCTCAGCCCTCAGCGCCCAGAGCCTAGGATAGTCGTACGCGCCCTACATCTGGAAGTACCGCATTCCACTGGTACGTGTCGCCCGTAGGCTGTATACTTGCGAGGTTCGGCTGATGACATCTATCAGCGCTCCCGCCTCGTACGCCAATTCTCATGCGGACTTATTAGCGGGCACTACGGTCATGCGACTTGCCCCGATAGACTACATATATCCCCAACCTATCCGTCTTTACTTGCATCGATACCCGTGTTTGCACGGCTTATTCCTCATCTGCCCGTTATGATTGACGCTCTCCGTCACCTGACTCACGCCACTGGCTCTGAGAATCCTTTCGCATCTGCGTTGGTGTGTCTATGTTCGAGTCTGGGCATCGTATATGCCGCATATCTCTATATCGACTACAGGCGCCTGATCCACCGCCTCGGGTCAGCAATGTTGCGAAAGCGCCAGCCAGAAGCTGACTTCTCGACGAACAGGAACCTCCCCGGATTCACGACCTTCCCTCAACCCTTATCGATACTACAGGGCATCAATGAAAAGGGTCTCGGGAAGGACCCGTTCATCGTTGTCAAGTATCAACGTGCGTACCTAATGCGCATCGTTCGTGGTTCATGCTGAATGGGATATTGTCGCGACAGCCTTCCAAGATGCAGGTTGTGACGCGGTGGCGTGGGTAAGTCCGACACCACTCCTACCTTACTATAGCTCATGAATGTCGCTCCGGCCCTGCAGGTTAGCGTATGGCCGAAAGCTCGACTCTCCTACGCTCTAGCCGATCCAGACGCCATCAAGGTTTGCATCTTCGAGCACAAGTTTTGATATGGACCTGATACCGTCACTTGATAGGATGTCACTTCTGATCGCACTCGTTTCGTGAAACCCTCGGAATGCTACACAGCCATCAATGTATTCGGAGAGAACATCGTGTCATCCGAAGGTAACCTCACCGCCGGTGCCCTTTCGCCCTCTGCTGACAACAAGCAACTTCCGTTTCAGGCGAAACTTGGAAGAGGCACCGCAGGATCATGGCCCCAGCGTTTTCGGAAGTGAGTTCCTCTATCGTGCGACCGACGCAGTGTGAAGAGCTCATACTGCGCTCTCTTAGAAACAGTATCAGTTGGTTTGGAAGGAGACTGCTATCATCATGGATGAGCTAATCGATCGAGTCTGGAACTCCGCACCTGAAGTAGTGATACACGACGCGAAGGACATCACGATGCCTGTAAGCCGCCCCGGCTTGCCAAACGCATAATGACGTGCTTAAATATCGGATTCATAGGCTGCAATCATGGTGATCAGTGCCGCCGGCGAGTCGCATGCTCGTCTCGACATCCTCTATATAATCCGACTGACTTCACCAAAGGGTTTGGCCAAAGAATCTCCTGGTATGACGAGGACCAAATCCCCGAGGGTCATCGCATGACGTTCAGAGATGCCTTGGTCAAGATGAGCCCCGAGCTTATAACCCTCATGGCAATCCCCTCGTGGGCAATGGGCCTCACTGCGAAGTTCCGTGCTGCTCGTTTAGCCGCGAGCGAGATCCATGTGCGTCGACTTCGTTCTTTCGCCACGGATCCACAATGACGAGTTGCAGAAATACATGCTTGAGATGATTGCAGAACGACGTCACAAGCAAAGTGATGGTTCAGGCCACGACATCTTTACTTTACTCATGGAGGCAATGGATGACGACGACGTGAAGGTGACCGAACGCGAGTTGACAGGTTCGCGCACTCTTGATAGCTGTCGTGGCGCTCACTAAGTATCCCTTATGACGTCCAGGGAACGTATTTGTACTTCTCCTAGCCGGACACGAGGTATGTGTTCCTAACAACTCCCAAAGAGGCAACCTATGCTGAAACCCGGAAAAGACGACGGCGCATACGCTTGCATTCACGCTTGCATTCCTGGCACTCTACCCCGAAACTCAGGAGCACATCTTCCGCGAGATTCAAAGCATCACCGACAACTTCCAAAGAGAACTGGTAAGCCTCCGTCATCTTTCTCGCATGCAACCAGGAACTCACTGTGTATGCTATATCGAACTGTTCAGTCATTCTCCGATATGGGCTCACTCACTTACACTATGGCGTACGTGCTTTGTTGAACGCTACATCGGTCTTGCCCTGCTGATCTGAGCGGGTGCAGGGTGTTCTATGAGACTCTACGCTTAATGTGAGCTCTTCGCTTTAGTGCGTCGGACGTCACTGACATACGTGCAGGCCATCTGTAGGTCTCGAGCCATGAAAAGGAACACGCTCTCAATGTCTGATCTGCCAGGCCACTTACATCCCCAAACGGTGCACCGAAGATACCTCACTCGCGGTGGCCAATCTCAAGGGCGGGAAGACCGTCATCCCCATCTCGGCAGGAACATACATATTGATGGACCTCATGGGTCTTCATTACAACCGTGAGGCTCGAATTTGTGTCAGATAAAACATGCTGAACTGTCGTGCAGCTCGCGTCTGGCCCGACCCCTACAGCTTCAAGCCAGAAAGGTTCCTGGGCGAGTGGAATCGCGATGCATTCATGGCATTCAACACAGGTCTGTGACATACATGCTTCCAACACGAGCTGGATGCGATAACGCTTTCAGGTCCTCGCGGCTGTACTGGACGTAAGTTCGCGGAGACTGAAGTGACCGTGATTCTCACCAAAATTGTCGCTCAATATACTATTGCGATTACCGAGAATCCGACTTGCCCAGAGGAGTCTTTTGAGCAACGCAAGGCGCGAGTTTTCACCATAGAACCGGGAATAACTACCACGTACGTCGTCTTTGCATCGAGTCTTGATAAATTCATTGCCAATAGTGACCGTCTGCCGACAGCCCCGCCAGAATCCCACTTACCCTGAGACGCAGAGACTGAGTCGACGCGCATGCATACTGGGACCGGGACGAGCATCTGCGTTGGCCTCACTCCAGTAATGCATGATGGACGGTCCCAGCTATTGGGAGCTCTTGTTAAGTCGTGGCGTGAGCCCATCTTTCATAGTATGATATCGATAAAAGGCTCGGCCGCTGATTATAATGGTGAATGTCCGGCATTTGGAGCAACTCTCATACATGAGGTTGAAAGAGTAGCAATCAGTTGGGACGGTGTTCGTCGACAAGACCCACGTTCTGAGCGTCGATTGACGCAAATCTCGTATGCATCCGACTCTGAGACGACGCCTGCACCTGCTGCTCCACGGTTGGCCAAGGTCATTCAATATCAAAGTCAAAGCCGGTCCTCTTATGGGACATCACGGTGGTCAACTACTACTACTACTGGTATTGAATGGAGGTGAGGTTTGGCAGCGCCGCGAGCCGGTGGGGAACTTTCAGTCCTGCTCGGATCTTGTTGCGACATCCCATCTACACTGATGTTTCCTCGTTGCCTCCTTCAAGGGCAGCAGTATCCATTCGTAAACTTCCCCCATCACTTGTAACACAGGCTGTGAGCATTTCCCTGATCACAACAGATATCACGAATGCACAACTACAGAGACACTCGGCGCAGCGCAAGCTATCGGCGGGTGCGGGTCAATGAGCGTGCTTCTCCCGCACGCTGAGTCGACGTTCCCGGGAGAGTCAACGGTCTATCTTCGCACTATACGTGCGCGTCTCAAAAGCTCAAAAGCATCGACGCCAGCTAGTTCCTAGCATACCCCTTCATCTCATGATAGTGAGTACGACGAATCTCTACGTGCATGCTTGGGCCATGACAGATCATCCTATTTCACGAACAGGTTCTGTCATGCACGTCATCTTAGACATTCCCTCGATCGTCTTCGTCTCCATCAATCTCGGCTTGCTCTTCGCATACGTTACTGCGACTTTCGGCCAGCCATCTAAGCGCGCGAGCGGCCGTCCGGCGATGAAAGTGAAGCCTGTAGGTCACTGCCTCGACGTCTACAGGAACTGTAGGAAATGATGCGTCCCCTCAGGTCACCGCGAGATCTTGCTAGTCTCGCGACGATTGATACAGAGATGTGACGAGGGGCTGGGCTGGGCCTCCTTTAGGTACTGCTGCACATCCCCGCTCGCGCCCGTGCGCGAATGCGGGGTTCTCGTGAGAACTCCAAGTCTGGCTAAACACGTGAATCTGGACCAGCCTCATGGCGTTGTTTGTACTATTATCTGCTCGTTCGCTCTTCATTGGGATGCCGCAATCTCAGGCCCTACCTGATATCAGCGAGTCCATGCGGGTACTTGACAAGAAAGAACATGTGAGATAGCGATAGTAGTACATAGGATCCATGAGGGGCACTCGATCCGAAAGTAGTCTCCTTCGCAAACGGAAATGATGCGGTGAAGGCGGAGAGGGCAGCCATCCGAAAGAGCCCCCACGTGCGGATTGTCGTCTTGTTCGAGCTTGAAGCTTGAAGCTTGACCGGTGATCCATCAACTCACCGTCACTCGATTGGAACTCCCATGTCACCCGATGTGTCAACAACAACGCCTACATCTAGGCTTCAGCTACCCCAACGCGGGACTCCCATACGCATATTGGTCGAAGTATCTTCCTGTGAATGACCGACCCTGCCGATTCCCTCGAAGATCTTATGCCCGAAGAAGGCTCGCACAGCCTTGAGCGATACCGCTGTGTCAATCGGAGGCCGATGTCCTTGTGGTGCAAGGATGACTTCTCACTGTCTGCGGGCGCAGGCGGGCGCAGGTAGAGCGGTCGCGAACTCGGTGGAGGGTACGTATCGTCATCACTTCTTGAGGGTGGGCTTCCCGTCGTGTACTGATTATGGTAATACAGTTCCATTATTGGACGCCGGTGAATTCGGACACTATCCGTACACGTCCGCGAGGCGAACTCTCCACATCTGACTTCGCGAGATGAGCCGGGAGAAGCGAAGAGGTGGTGGACGTCCTGGAATGATTGTCACATACGGCGACGGCTATCGTTGTTCTAGGGTGGGGCTTGCAGTGCGTATTTTGGAAGGTATCCTTTTGCCTCTATCAGCCACGAGGCGCCAGCAAGCTAGATGCGGTTGCAGATCCACAGGCCCAATGGCTCGATTGGATCGAAGACGCGCTGACAGGAAACGATGGCCGCGGCCCATTTCACAACCGTGCCTCTAGGACCTAGGTGAGTTGTAGTCTGTTGCAGTATGAATCCCACGCATACGTTCACGGGGATCCCAACGCTGACGTCTTCTCTAGAACCTACTCTTGACCACGCCAGTCAGCACCGGCTTGCCCGACGAAGCTTCGCTTACAATTTGCTTCTTTCGACTGCCCGTCATGTCCGCTCTACTTGATCCCTGTACGCTCCGCAGCCTGGCTCCTCGCCACCCTTCCAGTATGTAACTGATCCTCTCCCATCCGCCCGTAGGGATCCCCGCTGGACTTCTGCCGAAATGGCAGCTTTTGGTGGGCGGCCTCGCGTTCTTCAATACGGCGCAGAACTTCTTGACACTCGACTTCACGAGACGGTTGTACAACGGCGCGCCAGCGAACGCGCCCGTTACGAGATTACAAGCCAGAACATTCGGGATCTGGACCCTCACCAGTGGTATCGTGAGGTGCTATGCAGCGTATCATATGCACGACAAAAAGTCAGTAGCGTGTATATCCCGCCCGTCGCCAAGTATCGCGCTGACGCTGATGTGTGTGCGTCTTAGGATGTATGACCTTGCGCTCTGCACGTATCTCCTTGCGCTTTGCCACTTTGGCTCGGAGATCTTCGTCTATCGCACTGCGCGCCTCTTTGGGCCTGCGCTCAGCACCATCATCGTCTCGAGTACGTCTCGTCTCACACCTTATCATCATCCTCCCCAATCCTTCACGTCATCTGGGCCGTATCTGCTTTCTTGTGCGAGATAAGGCTAACACTGTTGCTTTGGCATTGACAGCGACTTCCTTGGTTTGGATGACCATGCAATACGACTATTATGTCAACGGCCGCCTTTGATACACGTATGTTCATAGGTCTGTGATGTACGACATACTAGACGCGCGCATGTTAGACCCAGCACTATTGTGACTGATTCGATCTGACGAACGTGAATATTAATGCAGTCCGGCTTGCAACCCCAGACCCGGATCTTATCGCAAGTTAGTGCTATACAGGTACTCATACGGGGTAAGCGCCTCGATTGCGACTCTCGTATCCAGTCGAATGCGGCGTGCCGGTCCTTGGGATGACGCACAGGCTCTTACTGGAGAGCTACATACCTGCCCTCTATGAACAAATCGGACCTCCTACGCGCATCCACTGAAGACGATCCACATCGGAGCCAGACAGGGCGCCATGCCCTGTAGTATCTCTGGCACCGTAAGCTATGGTGAACGAGCCTTGGCTATTGCTGGCAAACCCACGCAGCGAACGAGTCTGTCGGGGCCAACGGTTGATACTGGATAATATTGCCAGCTTGTTTCTCAATGTTTGCCTTGCGATATTATCGAGAGATATTAACCACGAACTCGGTAAGTACTAGGCCTGGCCATTTCGCAACAGGTCAAAACGAGATATGCATGAACATATGATGCTGAGAGACACACGACAGTGAAGGTGCAAACACAAAGACTTAACGTACTTAACGCCGAAGAACACGTAATCACGGATTCCGGCTCTCAAGCGGCCCGAGACGCGGCCTTAGCTTCCTCTGCATGCCACCACTGTGAACGGACATCTGTCAGATTGACCGAACGTGAAGAACTGCTTAGGACAAACCTCCATAGACCTCCTGATGCCTTCGTCTAAGCCTACGATGGGCTCGTACCCCAGCGCCCTCCTGGCCCTCTCGATATTGTGCCACCGATGCGCGCTGACTATCGCAACGCGAAATCTCGTGAACAGCGGGTCCCGCCCAGTGATCCAGGCGATCCCTTCGGTGACGCTGGCGAGTACCACGCCTAACGAACGAGGGATGACAACAACCTTCCGAGAAGGGTAGTGCTCCGGGTCTGCGGCGCGCCAGATTGCCCGCATGAGGTCCCAGAAGTAGACGGGTTCACCGTTGGAGATGAAGAACACGCTTCCGGCCACTTGCAAAGGGTTCTTGTCAGCACGGGCGAGCGCGGCGTCACTCAGAGGATCGAATCGCGCACGCTCCGGTGCGCGACGCGGCGGTGGCGGGGCCCTCCATGCGGCCTCAAGGGCGTCGGCATTCGGCGGACGCTCGACATATGGGCCGAGAGGACGGGCGGCGGATGTCGGGATGCGACGACGGGGGGTTGAAGCATCGACGAAGCCCAGTGGGCGGGTGAGCTGCGCGCGCACCTTGTCGATATCGTACGGCTCCGGAGGAGAAAGCTTTTCAGCAGCCAAGATATGGGCGTGGACCATATTGTCCACGTATGTCATGTCGAAGAGGTTGGTGTTGGAGCCGATCTGTACGTGAGATTTGCCTTCTCTAAGGGCCTTTATCGTGCCGACGAGCATCTGCTTGTCACCAGGACTTCGTAGAGTATGAGATCGATGGATGTCGCATATAGTAATGACAAGACACTTGCCCAAATATACCCGCGGGGCGGATAGCGACGGTCAGAAGACCGCCCTTCCCGTTCGCCTCGAGAACGATCTGCTCCGCTTGGGCCTTCGAATCCGTGTACGGGTCGATTGGCTTTGCGGGGTACGGCAGACGTTCGTCTCCATCGATGATGTCGTGGCCATCGAACGGCACACCTGCTGAACTCGTATACACCAGCTTGCGAACATTGTTGGCCACAGCTGCAGCAATGACGGCATTGGTTCCTTGGACGTTGACCTTGAACAGCACCGGTCCCTTCGCGCCTTGATGAGGCGAGGCAGTGTGGAAGATGCATGTCGCGCCGCTAGTCGCGAGTGCGGCGGAGACTTGGTCCTTGTTGCTGATGTCGCCGGAGTAGAAGGGGGTATCGTCATACTGCTGGACGATGTCGAAAACGCTGACGCTTTCACCTCGCCCGAGTAGCGTCTTGACGATGTGTCGGCCTAGAAAGCCGCTCCCGCCAATCACCATGTACACGTCCTTGGTGCTCATCGTCGTCAAGCGGCTCGGGTATGAAGAAGAGGACGAGGCGAGGAAGTGAGCGCCCAAAGGAAGCTGGTAGTGGGGGCTAATTGAACCACAGAGCTCGCACGTCGTCGTACCACTCGGCCTCGAGCGCTTCAGAGGATTGACGCTGAATCGGCATCCTAACAAGGCCGGCGTTTCCCAAGGTGTGCTGAAGCGTGGGCACCCGTCGGAGCCTTACTAGGGTATCTTCCTGACATCCATAGCATTGCAGAAGATTCAGAAGTCCTAACACCTCGGAATTGGACCGCTGTAACAGCACGTAGCGGGAGATGTCGCCCCTTCTTTCGGAAGATGGCAGACACCGACGAACACGCGGATAGATGTGTGTCAACAACGAGGGGAGATCAATGAGAGCCGGGAGAAGCTGACCGACTAAAAATACAGATGCATTGTGGTGATCGATGTGCTGGCCTCGGACAACCGTCACCGAGATCATACCACGCAGACGCATGACATGGCGAGGAATGAAGGACAGCTTCCCTTTGACGTCTTTCCGACTACTAACATATCATGGTCAGTGGTCGCCGCCGCGATCTTGCAGCTCACCGCTGCGAGACACGATCGCTATACAAGAGATGCATAATGCTCCCTTTCGGCGCATTTTCGGCTCCATCAGATCGCGGGTATGGGATATGACGACTGCTATGATGATTATTACGCTGAGACTGCACGACTCAACAACGATTTCGGCTAACGAGCGAGACTACAGTACTACCGATATTTCAAATTGAGTAGCGCCGAGCCATGTATTTTCCTGCGATACCTGAACACCGCGGATCGCGACGTCTTACTTGCCCGCACTAGGTACGAGCTCCCGCTAGGACCGCAAGAATCACTAAAACACCTCCGAAGAACATCGCAATCTTCCACACACCAGTCGCTGACAAGGTCTTCTCTGCAGAGACCTGGTCGTCAATGGCTTGACCAAGCGCGGTCTGCGGGTCTCTGGCGTTGGCGTTGAAAATGATATGAGAGCGACTGCGGCCTTGGACTATCGGTACGAAGGAGGGATAGTAGTGTTCCGCCCATTGTTCAATCTATACACAGAGATTGATCAGCGAACGTGTAAGGAAATGGTATGCAGCGTTACCTTGCTGGTTGAGACTGCCAGCGGGATGAAATTCGGATCTTTGGGTGACAGCTTGGCGTGGATTGCGCGCGCAAGATCGCGGAAAAGGTATGCTACGTCGCGCATGCTGTTCGGTTCCATCGTGAATCGCGCTACCTGCGCCACACGAAGCTCGACAGTCTTGTGGAACATTTCTGGATTCATGAAGCACAGCTCGAGTGTCCCCATCGCCATGACGGCCGATACCGCCACAAACCGGAAGACGGTCGGGTCACGGAGGAAACGAAGATAATCGAGTGTGTCAGGCGCATGTTGAAGCGCGTCCATGACCATCACGGTCTGGACCCACGCGGCGCGCGCCTCTTGACCGGGTGCGTACAGCTGTGCAATGGTGGAAATAGATGCGCCATTGCCGAACTTGGGATCTGCCCAAACCTCGCGCGGCCACAAGAGTCGACGGCTGTCAACGTCCGTGCGAAAGCCGCGGATGATGTTGGCTTTGTGGAGGAGGAAGCCTACTGAGTTCGAGAGTTCGAGCTCGTCGGCCAGCCAAGGTGCTTCCTTTCCTGTAGCGGAGAAGATACGTGATAGGCCTTCGCTGGTGAGACCGGCCATGTAGTGACAGTACATGTCGTAGTCCTCTAGCGTCGATATCAAGATCTCTCCAGAAGCAGCAGCGAGATTCGCGTAGTCGGCCATGCCGATCTCTCTCTTTTGGCAGATATCGACGATGATATTGCGACAACTACACCATGTATCAGTCGTTTGATAGGTGTCGGAATCATGTAGAGACAACATACTCCGAGTCCAATGCGGCGATCTCCTCGACAACGTTCGCGAAGTCGGTCAGGATGACACGACCCTTTGCGTTCGGTCCGTTTCCAGTGAAGCTCCAACCAGGTGTGACGACCTTCTCGTGAAAAGAGCGCAGCAGGGATTGCTTGTCTTCCTCCGCCAACGCCCGATCGTCCATGATCGTGTCCAATGCTCCCAGTATGACGTAGAATAGACACATCTGAAGATATGATCAACGAAGTGCTCGATAGTCCATCGTCGCCGAGCCGTTTGATGATCACAAGAACTGAGACACGTACCACACGAGCGAGTTCACCGTCTAACTCCTTGACGATGTACGAGGCATTCTTGTTGGTCGTGTCGAGCAGTTCCCAGCATCTCTGCATAGTTTTCTGGTCGCGTCTCGTATTTGTGAGGCTGCTCTGTGGAGCGGAGCGACGTTGGTTGCTGAATAACCAATATTGGGCAAGTACGCGGAGGTCACCAGGTTGCGTGAGACCGCTGGCCAGGATATCTTTCATGCCCATGATGAAAAGAAGGGTTGCAGGAAAGCGAACAAGTCACGAAGGAGGTTGTGGTGGTTGAGAAGCAAAAGTAGTTTCCTGGCGGCCGCTTAACGCGTCGTGGCACTCGTACCATTCCGCCCAGCGCTTGTTCCTGTATGCAGGTGCAGTCAATATGGAAGTTAGATTCGGGAGAAGCTTGAAGGTGTCTCACGCAGGTAGTCCGCCCGCCGAAACGAACGCGGTGGGAAGTTCAACCGAGGCCCTAGTAATTCGGTGGGCCACGTTGTGTTTGAGCGCCAGATTCGAGTTCTCAGAGTGCGGGAGCTTGGAGACACCGAGCGGACGGCTGTCAAAGTAGGTGAGAGGCGGGAGAAGCATCAATTGCGGGTCCCTACCGAGGTTCTTTCGACGAGCTATCGGGACTACCACTTATGGACAGTGGAGCTTGAAGCTTGTTGTAGCATCACATCTTATGCACGCTGTTGCAATCCATGTCATGCGGGAGATCCATGCAGGCTGCGGTTGATAGAACGAGTGGACGAAGGTCAAGACGGCCCAAAGTGAGAATAGTCGGAGCAGAGCAGGTGAAACACATGGCACGGCGACCATTACTGTAATAGAGATACGAGTAGATGGATGATCAATGCCATGGCGAACGTGCCAGTACTGCCCCATGATGGAGGTTGGGAGGCGATCGCGAGGTGAACGGCCCGGCGAGTACGGGCATTGCCACGCCTTCTGCATTCACGTGAGAAACCGAGGTTGACAGCAACCGCCGTCGCGTTGCACGCCGCCGACAACGGGTTTACTCTCGAGTTATCCTCTCGCTTATGACTTGAGAATACTGGAGCGCGGGCCTAGAGGCTACCATGCCCAACGATGACGCTTCCTGCGTGTAGATCGAAGTAGACACGCAGCCGGGTAGAAGGCCCGATTACGCCTGCGCTGATACAGCGGGGACGTGTCTGCAGCTGTGTCGGCTAGTAAGGCCGGCAGTTGCGCGCCTTGCTTTGGCTCTCGGTGTTGCCGGCATCTCCTTCTGGGCAACTGCAATGTACACGGAGGAATACTTCATCTCTTTACCCTTCTCCACCTAATCGCAGCTTTCTTTCGATCGGGTAGAGCTGTACCCTGCAAGCCCTCCGGGAAGCAACATGTGATGACGTCCCCGAGATGGCCTTCAACTGTCCATCGAATGCAACAAGTGCTATCGATTAGCATCTCAGCTCCCGTTGACCCATACCTTTGGACGTGACATTCCATTCGTGGTGGTACACCGGGTTATCTCAACGGCTTTCGGTCCTTGTACGTTCACCGCCTTCCAGCAGTGCCCTTCACTCACATGAGCATAGTAACAGAGCATCGAGAGTGGGAGGTACTCGCGCTTGACAATATCCACGCCAAATTGGCAATGGTCTACTGCTTCGGATTGCCTGTAGGTTTGCTCAGTGTACTTCTGGTTATAAACATCGCTGAATTCCTTCCGCTGTATGCTAGGGTATGGCGCCGTATCTGGACATAGGCGACATTTCTCTGATCATCTGCCTGATACCAGAGTCATGTAGCGATGCGCTACCCACGATACGTGCATGCGATGCGAGGGAGCTGTGAAACGCTTGCGGGACCGTTCCGTCTTCTTTTCGTCTCGGATGATATCTTGTGCCGTACGGACCAACCAGTGGACCACGTCTAATGATGCAGAAGCATCGCTATATGTTGATGTACCCGACAAGCATGTGGGTGCATAACCAAAAGCATCCGGTACTCGGTGAGTCCGATAGTCACCACCTCCCGCCCGGCAATAGGTCTCATGATGCATACGTGCCGATGGTCGCCCCATACCAGATCCATAGCTATCTCGAATCCTGTCTCTGATTGTCGGCTAGATTCTAGATCATCATCGTGCCGCGGTGAGATGCTAGATCATCATAACTTACCCGTAGGTTCCCTGCTTCGTCTTGAGCTCTAGTTGGTGTGAATGATATAAGGGCCCGCCTACTATTTAAGAATCCCTATCAGGAGTCGGACCGGCGAGCAATCCTCTGACTAGTAGCAACTACTTCAGACTTGTCTCATCGCTTCTATCGCCCATCTCACCTTGATCATGCAGCTACTCGGCTTCGAGATCTCTCTGTCTACCGCGGTGGCCACGACTGTCGCGCTCTACGTGGGACGACAGCTCTTCGAGGATAGGAAGGTAAGCCGGCACGGGTGCATGCATGGCGCCATATACTGATCCTGGAACGACTTTCAGCTGAGAGATATACCGGCCATCGGATACACATTTCCCATCCTCAACTGGATAACCGCTGTGCAGCACATTTTCAACGCGCGTGTGCTCATCTCCGAAGGGTACAAGAGGGTATGTGATGTTGTCTCATGCTTACTTTACCGCAATGTTGACGCGAGCCCGCAGTACCCAAACGGCGTCTTCCGTATAGCAGTGCACGACGGTTGGCTTGTCATAGCCTCGGGGCCGCAGCTAGTGGAAGAAGTACGCCGCGCGCCTGAAGACACGCTCAGTTTCGAACAAGCCATGGTCCGGAGGATCCAGCTTCGACATACTCTCGGTGACGATGTGCTGGCGATACCGTATCATACTGATGTCATGCGCGCGGCGCTTACGCGCAACATTGACCCACGATTCAACGATATCCGTGACGAGATCGTCTGCGCCTTTGAGGAAGAAGTGGGTGCGGAAAAGGGTGAGGCCACTGGTTGATCCAGGTTGCGATTACAAAGCTGACATGCGCAGAATGGAAGGAGGTGCCTGCAATCGAGACGGCAGAGCACATCGTGAGCCGCGTGAACAATCGCTTCTTCGTCAACCTACCTCTCTGTGAGTTGAAATCGCTTATACCAACTTGAGCGCTAGCACACTAAGGTTGAATAGGCAGGGATCGCGACTGGATGAGGTTGAATGTCAACTATGCTGTGAATGCCGCGATGGTCGCGGTGCTTCTAAATTTTCTCCCCGTCATACTACGCCCGTAAGATTTCACCATCGCTTGCTCTCTATTCTGGCTGAAAATCAGAATTAGACTCGTCAGTCGGGCATTTCTCTCGTTTCACACTGAGCGACGCCGCGCGAATGAGCTCGTAGGTCCTCTCATCGCCCGACGCATACAAGACTTCGCCGAAGACGGCGAAAAGACAGAAGACTTGCCTGTACGTGTTCTGCGACCGATGCATCGCTGTCGTCAACCCCATTGACGTCAGCTTCAGAACGATCTTATAACCTGGCTCTTGGATGGCTGCCCGCCCGAACTGCGCGAAGTCCCTTTCTTAACTAATCGAATTCTCATAGTGAATTTTGCTGCCATTCACTCATCGAGAGTCGTAAGTGGTCCGTTCACGGCCCTATCTTTGTACGTGGCGACTGAGCCATGCTGTATAGACATTCCTCCGTGTCCTCTACAAGCTCGCCGCGAACCCTGAGTGGGTCTCCTTGATGCGAGAGGAGGTCGAGCGGGTCCTCGTGGAGGAAGGCTGGTCGAAATCAGCTTTAGCCCAGATGCGTCGCTTGGATAGTTTGATCCGCGAGACACAGCGCATGGAAACGCCCGACCTGAGTATGTTGTGCTCTATTCAGCCCATTCCCATGCTCATGACTACGTTGAAGCCTCAATGAACCGCTGGGTGTGCAAACCCTTCACCTTCTCCAACGGAGTTCGGATTCCGGCCGGTTGCCTTCTCGCATGCCCTGCAGATGCCATGCACACAGACGTGCTATACCACGGAGAAGATGCTGCCGAATTTAATCCATGGAGGTATTCCGACCCCACGAATGATTCAACGTACCAGATGGTTGCGACCAGCCCAACCTACCTCGCCTTCGGGCATGGGAGAAACGCGTGTCCAGGTAGGCACCTCGCGGCGAATGAAATCAAGGGAATGCTTGCGCATCTTGTACTGGAATACGATGTACGCTTCAAGAACGGCGAAGGGCCCCTATCGGATTGGGAGATTGGGAATAATATACTGCCACGTGACGCGATACTGGAGTTCAGGAGGCGGGCTGCGGCGTAGGTGTTCCAACTTGGCGAAGGGTGTATAGCTAGCGATGCGATATAGATCTATTTCATGACCTCGAAACATTGAGATACTCGTGACGGAGATGGATTCCAATGAGACAAGCCAAAAATATGTTCGTTTGTGAGTCAAGCGACGAAGGGATCTTTAGTGGGCGCTACATGGTTGCTCGCTTGCGCGCGGCGACGCGATCATCTTCATCTCAAACAACGATGACGCGCCCGCCTTTGAGAGCCTACTAGACACAGAAGCCCATGGAAGATGGATCTTAGCGTGGTCCTGTGCGATCCGCGATAGGCTGGCACCAAGCTCAGATCAAGTAATGCGCCCCGAGTTGACCGAGAGCGGATGGTGATTCACGTCAGTGATAAGTAGTATAAACCCCATTACGGGGCTGTCCTAGCGGTTTGTCCTAGCATAAGTCCAAGTCCTGACAGGAAGGCGTGATAGAGCAAAATGTTCAGAGTGCTGCAAACAGCACGTAGTGCTGTGACAGCCCAACGGCAGTAAATTTTCTTGGCTCTCGGACTGGGGGACATGTGAAGCAAACATGGGCCCCTGCAGGTCGCGCGCCCGCGTCATCTCACAACATTCCCCGTACGATTCCCGCCACAGAGGCTTCATGTGATATATGAAATGACTGCGGTACATCCTTATTATTCCGCACTGATATGAAGCAGAGACGAGCGCACAGAAGAGACAGACTGGCAGCACGGGGACTCCGGGGCCAGATGTATGTACTTGTCGTACTGCTCAGATTGCTCCAGTCATTCTCGCACCCCGACCTCTATGACGCCAATATGAATGGAAAGACTAGATAGCAATACATATGCAAACGTGTATCATGCGTGAGAATGAAGAGTAGCAGCTCGGACGTCTCTCGAAGAGCATTGAATCAAGTTCTAGTCCGGTCACCATCGACGCGGTCACAGACGACAAACTAGGGGCAAACTCAGAACCGAAGAGCCATATTGTACAGTAGCTGTCACCTTGTGTAGACATACGGCGAGGTACGACGACCGCCCTTGGTAAATTCATCGCCTTCGGAAGACTCTCAGTCGTATGCCATTCGATGGGTCGTCATCATGATGCCCCGGAATTGATTTCGCATGGGTAAAATGTCTGTATAGTATGAGAAGGCTGACGATCAGGACCAGCAACAGCGAGTACGCACTCAGCATCCTCGTCCTCTCGAACGGTAGCATTGAGTGACCGGAACATGCGTGTCGCGCCTATACCCCTGCTCGAAATCAATGTGTGCCCATACATGCCCAGAGCGATTGACTCACAGAACGAGGACTGATGACGGGATATGGTCAGCAACCGAGGGGACACAGCAAGAGAAAAGTTCATCAACCTTCCACTGTGACAAGCATCTGACCGAATCAGAGTCAGACATCAATAGTGCAAATATCAACATCGGAGTGGTCGACTTACCCCGTCCATCGCATCTGTTGTGTGGATTATACATCAGCTTGGGATGAAATTCATAGATAGACACTGATATTACCACTGAGGTTCAGGATCAACAGCACCTGCAAGAATGATCAAACAGAACACTCGTGAAGTGCGCGAACTTGCTGCACGTACCAGTGCTGGAACTTCCACCGCTGTCGCTAGGAATAGATATAGTAGGCCCTGAGATTTATTTAGAACGATTCTCCGGGATCGCAAGAACGACGCACCTGGGACCAAAGTATACGCCACATGCGGAAGTCGCGAGCATCGCGCCACTTGAACTGCAATCCTGCGAGGAGAAGAGTGCAGATAGTACAGTCGCAGACAAGGATGCCTATGGACGGTGGGAGATTGACATGTACCACATCACCGAAGGTGCAGCCGTCTATACTGGCCCCATGAGTATTGAACTGAAGACATCATCTGTATGTGAAAGATACTGATATGCAAAGAGAGGACAGTACCGTGAGTTCTCCTACACACACTATCCACGGCCCGTCAATAATCAGCTCTCACAAACGATATTCCCCTGCATGTAGTAACTCACGGTAGATTAGGAAGCCTAGCAGTGCTAATAACACCGCCGTGAGCACTGCGATGATGCGCTTATCCCATCTCCAAACGGCCGCACTGTGGGCGAACTTCAGCGCTTGATACCAGTATAGGAGAATGGCACATACACCCTGATGGATAACAACGATGAACAACAAGAGATAGATAGAAAGCTGCTGATCTATAGCGGATGTCATATAGATGCAAAGCACAAGATTACTGCATGAACCCACGGTTTGAAGTTTGATCATGGCCTACGCACTCGAATCAGTGTCAGCCGTACACAGAGCGCAATTATCACCTACTCCGCAATCCGCTTGCGATAGAAATGTCAACAGTATTTGACAAAGTTCGGCAATTATGAGGAGGAATCGGCAAGCGAGGTAGGTCTCGAAGAAGGTCAGGATGAAAAGTGTAAGCAAGTTTCAATGACTGTACTCGCCCACTTGGCGATGCGCGCCGCAGGAGCACGATCCTTTTCGGGGCGTCGAAGGAGATCCCAGTCGAAATCCAAGTGGGCGATCAGATCCTGACTGATGGCGTATGAAACTTCGAGTACTCATCGCACCGGTGACGGACATACAAATATATACCGGCACAAACAAGACTCAGGTTTTGTACCGAAACTATTGGTCGTTAGCAATGCATTACAACATCAGCGTATCAGAGGATCGCGAGCATACGAAGTTGGTGCAAAGAGGCGAATAAACCGGGGTCCGACATGTCGAGAGGGCGAGGAGATGGTGTCCGAGCTCCACGTACATACATCTTCTTAAGTTGGCACCTTATAGCAAGTCGCGGATCTACAACAGAACATGTTCCGCATTGCGGAAATGATCAGTATGCTACGTGCGTATATGAACCTTCCATCTCGAGCTGGCGGCTATGGCGCTGAGCATATGACGAAGCCCTTTTGCGCCTTTGAGATTTGTGATTAGCCGCGGTATCTCCGGGGCCCAAGATTCTGAAGACTCACGGCGGCATCGCCGGCATGGGTCGCGGTGCGTGGAATCATAGATCGTTCACAGCAGATCTATCCCCGAGCATGTGTGGGCCTGGACGGCGTCATTACACGGGTGGGCGTAAGACCATCTCTTCGGTGTATCGGGACTGTTACTAGATGACAGCGGGTCAGAATCAAGGATACCGGTGTGTCTGTTTGACAGACCGCCACAACGATGCATCGATCCATTTGGGGCCTTAGAGAGATGCAGTGCACACTGCACAGACGGTATCGGGAAGATCCAAATGGTATGCTCCTATCAGCCACGGTGGCCCTATGATCGAGGTGTTTAGTATACGCGTCATCAACAAGCAAAATGAAGCCCAAATCGGCCGACGCAGCTCATGGGACTCATCCACTCTTCCGCGCTTGGTGTATTTGCGATACGCATGAGGGATTGGATCACGGACCGGTGCGTGGCATAGGGAAGTCTGTATCAGGTAATAGCTGGAGCCCGTCCCTTACCCGTCGCCACGAAGAACAACCTGATACGCCCGGGCAAATCGGCGTGTCACTACTGTGTAAAGACCATCGGGGACTATCTCTCATGATGATAGAAGGCTTCAAAGCACCAGGCCCAGCGATGGCGGCTTGGGTAAAACGTGCATCGGCGGTACACGCTGTTCTCGAACCGATATCGCGAGCCCATTTGAGCGCTTTGGATGTCACCTGTGGGATACGCGTTAGCATTCACGTTACTAAATTCGGGAAAGACCGAGCACTACGCACCCTAGGTTCACGGTTTCTTCCTATCTATCTTATTGCGACGAGCTACGTACGCATCAACCTCATGGCGGAAGAGACATAAGCTGCGGTCGCGACAAGCCGTCCATTCGTTTCGTGACATCATCATGCCCACGGTTCTTCGCCACAACGGCCCAGAACCCGAACGGCGACGGACAGAGGTGCTCAAGTCTTCTCGTAGTACCTCTAGAGTGCGCTATAGGACTTTAAGATAAGCGAGAACGCGATCCCTTGCTATCGTTCTGAATGGCTGTATCGAGGGGCCGCAGCGGCGAACCAGATCGACACAGAGCGGCGGTCCGGACATCGCTCATCCTGGACGGGTTATCATCTCTAACCGGCACTCACACTGTAGTCATAGAACCATCATCGGGACTATTCTGACCTAGATACACTCTCTCCTGTACGCGTACGGTCTTGCCTAACTTGCTGCAGGGGGAAAGCCACCGAGAATGGTCATGGACCGTGAAACACGTAGAATATTCAGAGTATATTTGACTCTTATTCATCGCATCTTGATCGCCCAACCTAAACTGCAACTTCCTCATACGCAGTGTATTGAAAGCGGGTACAGTAAGGGCTGGTCCTAATGGATTCTTGAAACAGCATCCGTAGGGACCTGGGCTTGAACGACTCTACAAAGCTTCATACGTCGTGATATGGTCGGGTCTGGGGTAATATCGGCATGTGTCTAGTGTGAACGTTTACCAGAGAAGATGCGGACCCCGTCCGTCGTGGTAGTGGTCGGTATGATCATCCATAAGGCGCGCGGCGCGTTCCGCTGAGCAGCCGAACAAAAGCGAACACCGTCTCCACAAGTCGCCTCCAGTCCACGCATGATTCCCCACTGAGGGGCCTATGTCCATAGGTGTCGCGCCGATCCGCCGAGGTTAGTATGTGTGTCCTCGTTGTGTCCAACTTGCACTGCCGTGGTTTACTACATAACCATCCAGATAAGAGACGTGACTGTCGAACAGATACCGTCAGACTCTCTTTCCACCGACCCAAACAACAGTGCGCCAGCAAGGCACTTTAGATCGAGCTCCGGATTATGGAGTACAGGGAGACGGGAGATGATGCTCACCAGATACGACGATGATGCCGAGCATGGGGCCAAATATGTGTGCGCGGCGACAAGCAGAAAGCTCCAAGAAAAAGGTGCAGAGGGCAAGTATGTAACTGTAGAGTGCGACATCGTAAACCCTGAGGACAAAGTTTTCTGTCAATAGGGCGCTCGTCGTATCGTACATTTGGGTTACGTACTCCTTTATGCGCATATGATATGCGATATAGCACACCAGCGCACTCGCGTGTGTCCATATGCCATACGCCTTTGTATGCGACTCTAGGACAGATGTATTCGTCGGCATAACAATATCCGGCCCTCTCGCATATTCACGCGCGAAGGACTGTTGTACTGCGTTGAAGAGCGCAACGTAGCCGACAACGAGTTGCCACCTCGGAACAAAACCAAGCGAATTGACTGGGGGCGGATCCGACATGAGTTATTGAGTGGCTCTATGGAGTGGCGCGCAGAGAGCATACCTGCGTCAAGGAAGGGGGGCATGAAGACGAAGGGGAAGGGCAGTCGAGGATGATCGATCTAAAGAAAGCATCAGCTCTTGCATACTCGTACCCGAGTTTCAGATTACATACGATGATCAAAGAAATCTAGATATCGTCTCAACTCTCGCTGTGCGCGCAGGACAAGACCCCATATCGGTCAAAGACAGATGTATTGCTGGGCAGCCGGTACTGCACGAGGCGGGCCGAGCGAGAAGGCGCGGATAGTAGGGCTGATACGTTGCGGGTATCTTGATTGGATTCTCCCGCTGCATCGCATGGTGTCTGGAGCGAGTCGAAACAAGGAGTTGGGTACCCGCATGTTCGCATCCTGCAAGTTGCCGTTAGTCGCATAGCACCGCAACCCAGCCCAACAGGTAGAGAAGCAACGCCCCAAGCATCACCGTATACATATCACATGTCAGGATTGGCAGGGCGTCTCCGCATGTTCTGCGCCGCTGTCACAGGGTTCCAGGGGTTGCCCGTCTTCCCTTGCCTAGCTCAATATGTGTTTCGGCGAGTCGATAGTGCGGTATGAGCTACTGGATGGCGAAGGATACCAGGTGGTGTGATCGATGTCAGAGGATGGGGCCTGGGTGCCAACGAGCAGGCGTTTTCCCCACGCGAAAGCCACGAAACCCGCGTTCCACGCCCGGCCGACCGGGCCGTTCGCTTTTTGCGGTATCTTGCACTGCTTCAAGCTTCGGCTCTCATGCTTACAAGTCACTTGTGGTCGCGAGACCCGCCATGGCTATCTCGAGCGCTGTGTCTCCTCGCTGAGGACCCGGCGCGAACGCTTAGACTTCCCCGCGTTTATAGACGCGTGACCGCTATTAGGACCCACTGCCTTCCTCCGAGAGCGTTCGATAGCGATGGTGCGAGGATAGCAAGCTTGATTACGCGTAGATTGTAGGCCTACGGCTGCGACTAGTTGCGAAACTCTCATTCTCCTTGAAGATCCGTCCCAATCTCAAACACACGAATCTACCGTCATCGCCTTGGTTTATTGTTCGAGATACGTAGCACTATTACGTTCGCGTCAAGCCTGCTATTGGCAGAGCTAAGCACATCGGGGACACGACCTAGTATTGACGTGGGTTAGAGACACGGAACTACGGTGTTCATCCGTGGAAGCGTCGCACATAGTGTACCCCTCGTCAGACTCTACGTATGAAACTGAGCGGAATCCCGGCCGGCCTAGTAATTGTCACCAGGTTATGAGCTTGTTACTGTCCTTGCAGAAAAACTCAACCGTGGACTTACGTAGTAGTCATACCTGGCTTCAGCGCCATGACCCTCGCCTTCCGTTGCTCAAACGATGCTTCAACGAGGTCGGGCGTCTCCGTGATTTTGACAGAATAACGCGAGATGATCTTGGTGAGGATAGCAACTGCTTCTGTCTCCGCGAATTTTCGGCCCATACAGCCACGCACACCTGGCTTCATCAGCCATCATTTGCTCCGCATGAAATTGTACCGAAGTACAAACCTGCACTGAATGCCAGGTACGCATCCTTGTTCCAGTCCTCGAGGAATCGCTCAGGTTTGAACTCGTGAGGATCCGACCAATAGCGAGCTGCGGGGTCATCGGCATCGTTACGAGAGATAGAGAGAATCACCCGCACGGTTGTAGTGAAGTCCCATTGCGTCGAGTAACACGTACGTCCCCGCAGGAATCGGAATGACGGTCTTATCGCCGGAATGATTGTGGACGGAGATTGAGGTATCCTCCGTGCATCGTTTCGGGATCGAGATAACCTGCCGGAGGATGTCAGATCATCGACCAAGGCCAGGATCCAGCACCTACGGCAGGTCTATATCGTTTGAGAGGGCATCAGGAGGTATGAACCTGGGATGAATTTGAAGCTCACAGCATGCGCAAAGTCTCATAGAAAACACTTCGCGCACGGGTCAGGATGCGGATGTCGGTGCAAAACGAGATAGAATGACGTACGCGACGGTGTAAGTGAGTGAACTGATATCGTTGAGTGACTGTATGAGTGGTTTGAGATGAACTGTGAGTTATCGTGGCTGGCGATCAAGTGATTAAATACGAACCAGCTCTCTCTGGAAATCATCTGTCACAGCCTGGATCTCGCGGAAGACTCGATCCTGGGTTTCAGGGTAAAGTGCCAAGAATCCCAGCGCGAAAGCAAGCGTATGTGCGGTGGTCTGATGATTTTTGAGCCTACCAATACGCACTCGAGTGTAGGAGAGTTCACAAACTTCATGTCCAGCCAGAAGGAAGACAAAGATGTTCCCTAGGCACGGACGATTGAGCGTTCGTGACCCGTTGGAGGAATGCGAGTGTTAACAAACCCATTAGTTCGTGCTCAGTGGCTGCCTCCTCTCCATCCTCTAAGTTGCCCATCAAGAGAGTGAAGAGGTCATGGCGCGATTTGTCGTCCAGGGCGTAACGCCGCTCCTCGATCATCTCAAGCATGTACTTCTGCGCAAGCATTTCAATATATACTTGTCAAGGACGGAGGATATACGTACCTGTACCTCATCGATGGACTGGCGAACCACGCGCAGTCTGCTCGTGAGGAACATAGCCCAACGCGGTACGGCGAAAACAATGATGAGTCCAGCACAAAGGCTGTGCAGGGCCTCTCTGAACGTCATCTGATGTCCTTCCGGAACTGATTCGTCCTCCTGCCAGGAAAACCTCTGGCCAAATCCTTGGATCGTTGTGATGAGCTGACATGTACTCACCAGGAGTAGAGGGACTCACCAGCGGCACTGATGACCGAGATCGCAGCCTGAGAGTGTACCATGTCAACCCTCACGGAATACGAGAAACAGTAAAACGGCGTACGGGGAGGGTGAACTCTTTTGCATCTTGTACGTCCACTCTGGGCGCAGACTTCCAAATGTTCTCAATCAACTCGTCGATCACCCGGCAGGTCTCGTCCCACACCAGCTGGTTTTGTTTCTAACAAAGGCATCAGTCAAGATCCACCGTATCGACAGGATAAGAGGGCTTGCCTCGGAAAACGCCGGAGCAGTTATCTTGCGATGCCTCTTCCACACCTCACCTGTATGATTAACGTATGATGAGAGAGACACTGGAGGAATGAAACTAGAGGCTGCACCTTCCGACGCCACAATGTTGTCCCCGTACACGTTGATAGTCGTATAGCATTCTGATGGCTTCACGTACCGGAAACGATCGGAAGCCACTTCCTGTCCGGTGGCCACGGTCTCAGACTTATACCAAAACACACACAAGCGGTAAGGCAGACCTTGATGGCATCAGCATCAGCGAGGACATAGGAAACTTTGGCCCTCGGCCACCAGTTGATCTTGACCACCAGGGACGTCAGGTAAGGTACTGAGCTGCTACTCAGCGCCTGGGACGTACCCAAGAAATTGCTTCACATCCCGCGTTTTCGAAGACTACGATGGCATCGGATAAGAGAGTGAGCATGGAACCATCTTAAACGTGGGGTCTCGATTCACATGTATATTTTCCAAGAAAAAGGGGGTCATTTCCGAAGCCTTTGTCGCTGATCCCGTGCAGAATCGAATACGGATGACAGATGGTTCTTAGTCCGGGGAAGTCCCTATCGCGCAAAGCAATTAGTTTCCAGATCCCAAACTCCGACATACACTCAGCCTTACCTGACAAGGCGCATGACGCGCTTGTAATCAAGGTACAGATGTAGGGCGTATGCGAGGCCCAAGCCAGAGCAAATCAGTACCGTATTGAACATGGAAGGGGCTCTGAAGACGGCTGCGAGATACGCGATGCGAGGGGTAAGGCTCATACAACTGACAAGGATTGGACACAAAGTCCAGGGTTGATACGTTCGGTAAAGCTTTCAGGAAAGTGTTTATATGACCACATCTCGGTGATCGTCAAAGGTGATTGTGCCTACCGATAACGCAGAGGACGGGACCGTGCATCATTGGAGTCGGGGCTTGTAAGCCTGCGACGTATCGTAGGACGCAGTGCCGACCAGTTGTGGTCCCATGAGATGAGTTCGACAGCGTGGGAGCCTCTGATGAAGGTCGAGAATAGACGTGGTTCTTCCGGTAGAGGGCAGATGTGGCAGAGTGGCAGATACCCGTCGCAAGATGCGCCCAGTCATCGCAGTAACGGCGATCACCCGGAATAAGCGGCTAGTAGCTACTCGAGACAAGTTGAGCGTGGCAACATACGAGACGATCCGGCTTTCACGCGTGTACTCAGATGAGCTACATCCCAACTGGACGTATCTGCCCATGTGCGCTACAGCGCTACAAGCTCAAGGGGGATGCTGGTGGTTAGAGCCAAGCGAAAGATCGCGACCTTCTGCTACGCCGCGGCACGCGGTGGTTTCGCACACCCTCAGACCTCCTCAGACTCCCTAGTCCGCATCCTTGGTAGGGTCACGGCGCGCGCATAGTGTAGGCTATCGCCATACGACACGCTCGCTGACGTTCGAGGGGAATTCCGCGTCAGTACACCAGAAGGACGACAATCAACCTGCAGATGCGAGCTTCGAACTACGTGCTCCTGATTTCCTCAGAACAGCATTCTGCCATCATGATACTACATAGAACTCGCGAGACTCTCGCGCGGACAGACTAGCGCGCTACGCATGGTCATACTTGGTCATACTTGGGCAATTGCCCGAACGGCGATCTTGATCTCGTCACTCTCCAGGAGGCTATCCAGGATTCCTGTGACATCGGGGCGCTGGTTTCCTATCACGTATCTATCACGTATCACAGAACTACAGTACCTTACACATGACTGTATAGTTGACTAGGTTCGCCCGTAGATGGCCCAGAGAACTCTTCGGTCTCCCCCTCGACTCCCTACCCCATCAACTCTTCTCCCGTCACCTCTTCTCCCGTCGCCTCTTCTCCCGTCTATCCATCTCTCATCAGTCCATCTCCCGCCATCGCATTCGTCCACTACTGCGTGCAAAGCCACCAGAGAGCTTCGATAAGCTATATCTATTCGTAAAGGTCGAAACACTAGACTCCGTAGTATCGTGGCGCCAACTTCGATGGTCACCGGTCATGGCTCAATATTGAATTGCCAGTGTGAAGGAGCCCTCGCGGCTTTGCGCCAAAGCATGTTGCCGGCCCGATCCAGGTGCACGATTCTCGGACGCGCTGTCCCCGTACCCTGCTCAGATGCACGCGATGGCTCGGTGTATCCGAGGCTCGACGTGGGCGTCGACGATCTCGTGTCCCGAGCGCGCCGGTCGGCAACTGTCGGCAAACCCGGTCTAACACACGTAAGCATTCTTTGCGTGAATGGCGCCTAATAGCCTCGCCACCTTCCTGCTCTCACCATTCGTGTCCCACAGAACTCGTCGAAGGTCGGCGTACCCTCATCCTTGTCACCACACCAGAGGTGGGCCGGCAGCACAGTCTGTTCCCAATCCCCACACGAACACCAATCTTGACGAACGTCTGGCAACCCCGCTTTCAGCTGCTTATCGCCGTTCATCGAAGTAGCCATGGGGCATTTAGACGGCTAGAAGACTTAATGTACACAATCTTGTGGGCTCCATTATGTGTACGGAGAGGCCTGATATCCTGACTCAATAAAGATGAAGATTTTGCACCCTCATCCCAGTACTACTTTTGGATCACACGCAGGTCGCTCATGTCGGGACCCTACTTACTATTGATCCCCACAATCATAATGTCATGTTGTCCTCACATATAGCCTTAGTTTGGGGGACCTCAAACAAGAGCTGCTGTGCAGTATTGGGGAGGGTCATAAGCACGCCGGTGCACGCCGGTGCGCGACGGCGCATCACGATTCAGACGGAAGGCCTTCGACCGCCAGTTGTAGTATTAAAGTATTGATATCTAGACTGTGGCTCGACCCGTAGCCCACATAGAACGACCCACAACACCGAGACGCGGGCATCAATATATCGACAGAGCACACTGTCTGACTTGCGTCGAATCCAACTGTGTGGCTATCGGCGCCTACAACGCTTCACGATAGTCTCGTAACCAGCCTGCTCTCGCATGGGTTGGTGGGTGGAGGGCCCTGCGCAGAGTTCTCCCTCCCCTCTCATGCGGTAGCAGACTGGTTTCGAGGCTAGCTTCACGAGTGATTTGAAGAAAGGCTACATAGCTTGCGACGCGCGGAATGAGTTATTTGAGTCTGAGTTTGATTGTCACATGTCAACGGTGAACGAAGTTGTCACCGTGAGGATGGGCAACATGAGATCGAGACCCGGGTCGACGACATGACGACTCAAAATAAGTAGTGCGCAGAAAAGGCGGGAGTGGTAAGAAGAGTGGGTGGGTAGCAAAAGAGGGTGTGTGGTCTGACGTGGACGATGGGGAGAGGCCGAGTGATGGAAGGCAAGCTACGTGAAGCCTATGAGGGTCACGTTGTGAGTCTGGGTGTGGGCAGAGGCCGGCGACGTGGCTGTCGCGTGAGGTTAGGGTTTTGTCGCAGGACGAATGGATGCGGCAGCTCACTCTCAGGCGATGTTGTACAAGGACTTGTAGCTCGTCAGGTTGCTCTCCAATCGGCAGATACCGAGGAAGAACGTGACACCCATTCACTCAATGTGGGTGGGCCCGCTGTGGGGGCGGACCTGTGGCAGTGTATCAGCCTAAGGTTAGCCAGACTAGTACAAGAGTTCAGACGTACCACGTCGCCGACATCCGTGAAGGGGTCACTATAGAAGGTCCTCGGTTCCACAAGCGATGTTGCGCTCGCCTGTAACTAGCAGTCAGCATCTCAATCCCACTTCATCGTGCAAATGAGAGATACGTACGCACCTAAAGGCCCGCCCGAATCATCTACAACGTGACTGATCCCCCAGCACTCCCAGAATACTGTCCTACCCGGCACCCGGCCCAGTGACCGGTAGCCCCGTCTTCCAATCAACACCCCAAATCGCAGGGGACGCCGCCATCCTGAGAGCAGCAACATTGCGCTCTCACACCGGATCCCGAACTCGCTCGCATCCCGCACATCTATACCGGGCGATGGAGGGGCGGACGCGCTTCGGACCCGATGATCGTCTGACCCACCGCGCCGTGATGCATTCTCGACGCGCCGCCCGTCTTGGACGCTTTGGCGGTTCACTAGCACCGAGGTCCGACGAGCCAGGGCCGGTACTGTATTCTGAGCCAGGGATCCGGTCGATGCTCGTGTTGCTGGCGCCGAACCCGCGCCAGGCGGCTGTATGCGTCGACAAGCCGTCGTCGGTGAGCTCGTCAGCTCCCTTGAACCGCGTGCGCATTCACTGCATGACCTTCCGCGCCTTCGTCCTGCTGGCCGGTGCATTCTGCACAGAGCCAGGTACAAAGGGTGCGCCACCCGATACAGCGAGACTCGACGAGGAAGGCAGAGTATGTAGAGTCGTGGAGCAAAGATGGCGTAATACTAAATAGTAGCGGACCGCGATTGTCACTTCGGTTGGTCGTTGTCTTCCAGCCAATGGGAGTCGTTTACATTCGCCTCACAAAGCGGGCGGGCCGCCGCCTACATCCGGTCGTTTCGTTGTATAGTTAGTTGTCGCATCTTGGATTGAGGCAACTCCAGGCGGGCTGGATCCGTGTCCATTACGCGAGTAGTCCATGCTATGGAGCTCGACACGTATGGTGGCTGGTGGGCGCGATGCAATCGATCAGGGATATTGCCTGAGCGCAGAGAGGAAGGGGGATGGAGTGAGTCCAGCCGTAGCATGCTTCCCTAAGCAGTAGTGAAAGAGACGTCCGTGCGCGATGGCACAAGAGCAAGCGAAGGCCCTGGTGTGCGTGAATGGCAGCTCGCTGACACAGCAATAGCCATGTGCGCGTACTTGAGTATGGGTACTCGGACAAGATAGATCGGTCGCAGATGTACGTCGAGGTGACTGTCCAGGACGACTTCGAAGGCGGCCGTAATTGAGGTGCGCCAGCTCCGGTCCGATGCCGCCGGCAGGTCGCGCTCGCTCGCACCCAAGCTTACCTCCTTCACTGAGGAAGGAGACATCTCGCGAGTCCAACTTTGACTACACTCTTTTCGATATAGTAGACTGTGATTTTACTGCCCCTGCGTAGAACTCTCTCTTCGCCGTAATCGTACCTTTTCAATGGATCAGAACGCCATGCCATTGCCCATAGACTATTCTAATGGTATGATCGTGACCAGTACCCACACAACGTGCGCGCCCAGTGACACCGCACTTCCCGTTGATGACGACGCAGACCATGAGTCGGTGCTCGTGAACGTTTCACGCGCTCTAGGCGACTCGGCAAGATTCCCCTCCATAGCTCAAGACTTGCTTCCAGTCATTGCAAACGTGGATAGCACCAGTACACCGGATAGATGGATCGCGCCCCATGGCATCTGGTGGCCGTTCAAACCTGCGAGCATTGTATCATCTGCCGGTGGTAGGAGAGGCTGAGCTGGCTTTCAGTGGACGTCCATTGTTCATGAACAAGAGTACACGACGCACCGATGTTGAAAGTGCGCCTCGTTCGCACTACTGGTTCAATCTATCCTGCGGGTAGTCCGCGTATGAAGCGCAAGCAGTTATACTATGAGCATCGTCAGAATAATCGCGCGCAACTACTCCGGGTCTGTGAACTGACCTAAAGGAACATCGACACGGCGAGTGCGCGATAGTTTGGCCCTGACCGTACATATCCGATGACTGAAAGCACAGATGACAGCCTTGCTCTTTGGTATTGACCCCAATGATCTGGTAGCGTGAAGACTCCTCGATGAAGAGAGCGACGGGCGGCGTGTCCGGGAGTGGCCACGCTTCGAGAAAGTCCGCGCCTCTATCTGCTGTGGCAAACGTCAAGCACCGAAGGGATTAGAACGCTTAGAAGCGCACTGTACGTTATGGCTGTGGGGTTGATAGTCCATGGTAGAAGAGCTGACACGATGTTGAGTGCAGCGAGCGTAGCAAGCGTCAACCAAGCCGCTCTCGGATTCGAGTGACAACGCGTGCTTATTGGTGACAGGTCGGGGCATGCCAGTTACGCACTATACGCGTCGTAAGCGGACTCGAAGGTAACTTCCCATACGCCGCTGACTTCGATGCGCATGATATCCTCGGTTTTGAGATCCTGGTAGGTAGTAAGTGAGAAATGGAAGAACGATTCTGAGCTGGGAAACCCGATGGCAGGGCCGTACGAATTGAGGGCCTCTTCCGCAGCTGTGCGTACGATCAGCTCGTGGGGTATCTTCGTGTCCGGCTCACAAGAACTGCGATACGGTGAGATCCGGGACGTCAATCTTCTAGGCGCAACCTTGAATTGAGCCCCTAAAATTGCAGAAACCCAACCGCTAACCGCCCCGCGAAACCCGAATATCGGCATGCGCATGCCGAGAACGCCGGGACACGGAATACCAGCGGGAGTCGGTCTGCGATTGTATATTTGAGACACCGCCTTGTGAAGCCAGAGGGGAGAGTGAGTACGGGGAGCTTGTCGTTCAGTTGATCCACATGGCCGCACATCACGCCGAGTTTGGCTGTTGCCTCCTGTGCCAAATGTCATGAATTGGTGGTATCAACATTTAGCGTTACACATCTCACATTATGCGACAAGACGTAACCTGGCAGAATGAATCGTACAGTAAATGTTAATGAGTCCCACCATGCGAAGAGGGGTTCAACTAGGGATGGACGATGGACGATGCACCAACCATAGACCTGGCAGTATCCGTCAGTCTCTGGGGAAGAATAAGGAGTATTCTGTCGTACCTGGACCTCCCTTCTGTGGAGTCTGCCACAGGTCCGGAAGATGATCCCCCCAACGCGCGGCAACTCAAAAGACTGGGAAGTGCCGGAAGGGTATGCGAACTCGGAAGACTCTACTGTTCAGTTGCTGGGTATCAACCTCTACGCGACAAGGTTGTGTCAATCCGGAGGCTGCACATAGGATGGTGGGCGGACGTCAAGAGGAGGCCCAAGGTGCACTTGATGCATGTATGGTTGGCTGTGCGAAGGCGACATCCGAGATCCTTAGGCGCGCCCGAGTGGAATGTGAGACTGAGAAGGATAGTCCAAGCGAGTAGCGCTCCATGCCGAAGTCTCCCGCCCCAATTTGTACGAAAGTACTTGTCTATTGGCACAACGTCAGTGAAGTCGCCGCACACGGTCGACTCTTACGACGCGCACCTCGACATCCGTGCGAATGTGCCATTGCGATGGCGAGATTGAGCCGAAGAAGGGTTGACGATCGTGCCACTCGAGATAGATGGCTTGAGACGACGTTCTTATTGCCACTCCTGTAGCGACTGGAAAGCTTGGAATGGGTTGTGGCGGGATTGTAGCAGGATCGCATGCCGCAGGGTCCAAGCCAATGTACGGGCTAACGAATTCCAGCTCGGTCAAATAACGAAAGGAAGTTGCGGCCTGCTTCTCGCGGATCTTCAGATAGTAGATGCCGGTGTTATTGGCGATGCAGGCTAGAGTAGTCGCAAAGGTCCTGTACATGATTAGGTCTGTTGCGAGTAGCGGGTCTGACCTATGGACTGGATGAATCATCGAGCTCTCGTAGGGCGCACATAAAAGTCACCATAAACATTGCCGTAGTCTTGCTCATCGTCTCCTCCGAGCCCAGCGCCATAGACGAAAGATAACTGTAGGCGGGTCAAGGACACATGATGAAGTTGTCAAGAATGTCCCCCCCTTCCGAGCCCAGTAGGGCGGCGGTGACTTAGAGCTTTCAATGATATGACGCTCTGCCTTTTTCTTGCATGATCAAAGGGTACGGCTGGTGCAAAGATGTACAATTGTATACTCTGCGAGAGGACCATGAACGTTGACAACAGACCATGCCGCACACAACTCTCGACAACCGCCCACGCCGGATCAATTTCCCGCAGGCGTCGCCGTTTGAAGCACGTGGCAGCAAGCTGCCAGGAGAGGGTTTCCTCCCGTCTTCCAACACAAGCGAGTACCGGTGCTCCGCACGGTTATCGTGAAATGACTATCACCACTTATCTGGCAATGTTCGATTACCGTTGCACACCAGCACGGGGCTCTACGGGCGCGCTCGCCTCGAGCCACGCGGAGTGCGGCTCCCGGACAGTCTCGGACCTGCGGACCCGTTCTAACTGCAGTCTGCGGCACAGTCGCAACTCCCGCCTCTTGGATATCACTGGCTCAGTGAACTTCACCTCGCGCAAGGCCGTTAGAGTGGGGTCAAATCTCGCAGAGCCTACAGGCCGAGACGTAGGGCTCTCAGCCAAGCGGAATACTGCTAGCTTTTTCACGTCATGCAATGTCCGAAGTCTAAAGAGTAGCAGCCCGTGTCAGCAAGCGTGGACTAGACGCAACACGTGCCTCTCGCGCCGCGCGGATCACTGTTCAAAGCTGCCTCTCCGCTCACTCCCCCCTCCTTTGTTTATACTCTCGAGCATGAACACCATCTTATTTTCCAGCTGACAGCATAATTTGTCTCGTCAAATACCTATCGGACTCTTTTGCAGCTTTTGGCGAGGGATGGCACGAAGGCACTATCGCAAATACATCTCCACCTCGCCGTGCTCACTGCTGGAGGGAGACCGGACACGGAATGTCTCAAGTCGCACTGAATATGTGTCCTTCCAACTCGCAGTGGCATGCATCCGAACCGCAGCTCGGCGCAGGTTTAGGACTAGGCGCGAGCCCTGCCACATCGTCAGATCTCGCTACGATGGATGGCACAATCGACTGCGATCATACCGAGTAAGAGTAAACGCCAATCAGTGGACTGGTAGACAGGGTCATTGGTAGGATAAGTGCAGCATAGGCATGGCGACTCACGGCATGGGTAGAGCTTGTATCGCACCCCTAAGCAGAAGGGTTATCAGACACGCCAAGAGAAGCGCCACTAATCCTTCGCAATGAATGATAGATTGCATCTAACTAGGGATCGGAGCGCACCAGTAATCCTTCATACAGAAGTGATATCAGTCGCAATACCATGAGGAAAGGCATTCCTTACAATATGAAATAGATCAAACCATCCTCGATGAAAGCCGTCATCAGTGGCGGCAAGACCTGACCTAGTAGCACAGCGCGGAGATCGAATTGATCATTAGAGCTCCTCGCAATAGCCCTGCTTGATTGAACACCGCTGTATATCGTCAGTCCGCAGAACAATCCTGGAACCACATGAATGTCAGATATGATGAGGGACAGAAATATCTTAACCGGCAGCAAGAAGACAGGGGACCCTATTGTTACGGTTAACTTGCTTGATCGGAGGAATTCAATAGAACTGTATCGTACCAGGCGAGAAGAGTTAAGGCTGGCACTGGGTTATCAGCCAGACACCCTCCCATCGGCATCTCCAAAGGTGGAATGTATGCACTCTTGGAGGCAAGGATACCTGCCCTCACTGAGATGTAAAGTTCGGCCTGGGCGATTCAGTGAATATGTATGCTCGGGCAGGGTGCAATCGATGATTACGCACCGCAAATTCAACTTCGACGAGAAGGGTATCAAAATCTGCACAGAGGATGGGTGATATAAGTTACCTGTGAGAATAAGCAGTAACAGAACGAGGACTGTGGAGCAGAATCATGAGAAACGGCGTGGTAACATAGCACGCAGTATGACGCACTATTCTTCGCTTGATGATAGAGAGCCCAGATTCTTAGAACCAGTATGACGTTGATCACTGTGGAAAATACGATAGCACCTCCGCTAGTGTGCATCAAAATGTGAGATTTTGTCGAGAAAGTGCATATGACACACAGTGAATAGAAGTAGAAGAATACACGACAGCTGATAAGACTTGGTTAGCAGCCAGACTTCATGACTCCGTAAGTATGACTCACAACTCTAGAGGTCTAAGTGCGAGAAGGACCCTGTGAACTGAAGTACCCACCTCAACCGTGTAGTTGGTACCCACATTAACTGCAGGTGATGCTTCGTCGGAACGAGATGGAAATGATAGGGTGGGTAACGAGACGGACCTGCAAGATGTAAGCTATACAGTGAGTCAGCTGTTGGTAAGGCGTCATGAAAGTCAAGGCAGACTGTACCCAAGGAATGCAGCACCGTAATAACGCGCGAATAGGTACATGAACTTCGGCCAAGACCAGCGCGCCCTGCAACGTATCAGCAACTGAAAGTCGATAGAATAATAGAGCAACATACGCCCATATGTATCTTACCTACGACCGTTAGCAAGCACCTCGCAGTAATCAACCGAGCAGGCTCACTTCGTCATCCATTTGCAGGAGGATATCCCATACAAGAATGACAATGGATACCACTGTATTCACTTCGATCAGTCTGGCGAGCTCTGAAGTAGATGTATCCTCACAAGTGACGTAGTTTTCTGTCCTCGTTTGACTGATTGCCGTCATGAGTTGCCTGAGCGCCGCCTCGGCAGCAGCGGCAGGATCTGTTGCTTGCCCGAGATGTGACATATTGGGGTAAGTAGCTGAGTGATGCGAAGACACAGTAGCCGATAATGAAGGGGTAGGGAGTCGCCCTCTTAAAGCCCTGCCCATATCCCCAGGATCAGGAACGATGGGGCTGCAAGACAACTTAGATATCTGTCTACATATATCAGAGATTGCATCTACTCCTCATTCCCGATCGCGCTCCCGCTATATACACTTGCGGACAGGAATCATACCTGGGGCTTGATGGCGTTGTAGGTGTTCCGGACTTCATAGGCAGATGATCCCCAGTCAGGAATGGCTACAAAATCGCGATCGTGTTCTCTCCTATTGACACGGATCGCATCTCCCGCCTCACAGCTTTGAATCAAGCGCTTCGGGAAGGCCAATGGGACACGACGTCGTCCCGGCAAGGTCGAACTATGAAGACCGTGCTTCCCAACATGCGGAGATGGCAGTGCAAGCTGTGCGGTGCTCCCGAATTCACCCTCCTAGGCCCCACGACTACGATGCAATCCTTATAGTTCGCAGAGTCTGTGAAGAGCTTCGGGACTGGTCGTACATATGACGAGCATGTGGAATGACGATGGTGGGTGGTGAAAGCGACGCGTCGGATGGTCGCTGGCGCGCGAGTGCGGATGTCGGCCCGGTCGTGTGGTGTGCAGCTATCGTCCCTTCTGGCCACCGATACATCACCGTGAGTCTAAACCTCAAGAGCGTCACCACTGACACTGCCTGGTCTTCAGTCAAGTGGCGACAAGGAATGCGAATACCGCGCAAACATATTGGATAGCGCCGATCTGCAGTGTTGATCGCATCATTTGAGTGGACCGCATGCGCGCAGAGCCCTGCAGAGCCTGTTTGTCTCCAGTACATCCTTCCACTCTCCGCCCCCAGCTCATGGTCAATAGTGCAGTCACAATCTACTGCGTATGCCGGAAGCTCGCACGTACGTGAGATACAGTATAGATAAAATATCGTCATACACCAGACAGCGACTAGAACCACTTAAGAATAGCCCAGAGGCCCGAACGCAGAAAGCTACAGGATCATCATCAATTGTACCAGACTCAGAGACGATATTCACAGTATAAGCCACATGCACACTGACACGCTGTTCGTATCGTAACACCGAAGCTCAGCACTTCATAGACTTGTGCGACGTCGAATCTTGATCGGTGGGTAGGACTCAGGGTGCGCAGCAGTGACCGACTGTCTGACCGGCGAGGGTATCGTAGTACTCCCCTGTAGCTCAATATCGTACAGTTGGAGGAGTATGATGAAATATAGCTTGATGATACGCTGGGCGTAGTCGCGGCCCTTACACTGAGAGCTCATCAGCGAGCAACAGGCTGAGACGATCGGACAACTTCACCATGAACATTCCTCCGCCCCATGGTATAAGGGTCTTGACGCCTGCATGATTGCCATACTTCGCCTCTGGATCGAGAAACCGGTCCACCTTGAAAGCCGTTGGGTCGCGATGGTAAAGAGGGTCATGGTGAACACCTCGTACGTCCAACAATAGGTGCTCTCCCTTCCGTACAGCTTGGGTTCGGCCATCTTGCAGCGGGAGCGTGATGTCAACGAGCGTCACACGATCAGTGCCCGGAAGCGCCACCAGGCGTAAGACCTCCTTGATGGCGGAGTCGAGGATGGGAATGTCATCGAAGTGCTCGCTGAGAGATTCTGGGTCTGGCTCAATGCCAGGATGCGCAGAGCGCACTGCGTCACGAACACGGATGAAGGCAGAGGGGGTTGAGGTGAGGTAGATCATGAGCCAGATCGCAACCTGGATGATGTTGCCGTTGATCCCCCATAATATGATGACAAGACACCGTGCAATCTCATCGTCGGTGACACCGGACTCTTCCAGAATCCGGATAGCTTTCGCTATGATGGTGCCACCCTCATCAGCGACATCGTCGGTCGGTACCGAGCGGTGTTGAATGAGATAAGAATGCATCGTAGAGACAAGGCGTTCCCGCGCTCGACGTCCTGTACGCCCCAAGAGCGGCACGTCTCCTACAACGAAGAACATGTTCTTGTCGTAAATTAAGAAATCCGGCAGCAGTTCGGGTACGCGATCGCCCCAAAAGGTAGTGAAAGAAGCGCGAAAAACGATCCGTGTTACTAGATCCAGCATATCGACCTGAACCATCGCGTCTGTGTTGTGCGACAAACGGCGCAGAGCCCAGTCGAGATTGAATGCGGTTCGTGCAGTAGACCCGGCAAGGCGTGTCGGTGTGAGCGCGTTGGCAGCGACGGGATAAACGTGGCGATGAAGAATGTGGAAAAGATGCGGAACGCGCGCCTCGGATATGCCTGAGATAGGGCCTGTGCGCTGGTATTTGAAGGGACCGAGTTCTTTGGGCGATCGCGTTTGTAGGTGGAGGATGGCCACGGGGTCAGATATAACGATGACGTCCTCTTGAGGGAGACGAAGTTTGTATACTCCACCATAACGCGCACTGGAATACCCATCGGTCAGCACATTTGACGAATAAGGAAGTTGGAGCACTTGCCGGCACCACGCCAGAAAGCGAGTGTGTGCGTATAAAACTGGCAGCGCATGTCCTATGATGGGGAAGCAGAAACCAGCAGTGAGGATCTCTGAATCGCGGGACTTGAACTTCTTAGCGAGGTAGACTGCTAGAAGCACCGTGTTGAGGCAAATAAGGGCAGCCGTCGGGACATCAAGTGCAAGTTTCATGGTCGCTGATCTGGGTCGAGTTGAGGGTGAGTGGGTGCCAGATAGTCCAAGTCACCGTACGTACGGGATGAAAGCGGAAGAGCTTGATGACTGCTGGAGATGAGCGCAGACCCGGTCCTTTAATCAGGTATGCAGGCTTATGGCACTCGGCGGGTACAAGATCACCACCACATTGGTAACATGTCGAGCCCGTATAGTGCTTTGCTTTTGATGGGATCTGAAGCATGAGCATGTGAGGGGGCTCGACGTCAAATTCGCATACAGCGAGAACGACTCACGTTGTATGCGCTTCTCCCGGGCCCGTCACATCGTTATCGCCTGGCAGTTCTCTTTCCGCACTCTCCCCCAGCAGGTGTCGACGGGTCACAGTACACAGCCTCGCGATTGATGCTGGCGCATTGCTCTTCTCTTGGCCCCTCGTTGGCACAGACTGACGGCACAGATCTAAAGACCGTGTCGAAACACATCGTGATCTATGTAATGCATAGTACAGTGCTATCAGCAGTCATAGACATTTGTTAGATAGGGCGCGCGCGAGCATTATGACGCGAACCGTCTATGGTCTGGTACGGGGAGAGCGGATTCCATCGATATGATGACAAGCAGAAAAGTCCAGGATCGGCCATTGACATCAACATATGTTCAGAGGCATCATAGCGAGTGAGACAGTGCAACGCAACGCTGAGAGACGTGACCAGTCCTGTCAGGTAGCATCGAAGGATCGCCGCATGTTTCGGTATGATTGATAGATCAGTCAACGCTGGTGCGATGGGGCCTTCCGAAGTGACGCTAACGACGTCCGTGAAAAAACCCGGGCCGGAGCCAGACACTGGTGGCCCGTATCTGGACGGCGGGACGCTCGTCAGCGATTGCGGTGGCCGGTTCCCTTGATCTTGAGGCGCAAAGGCTTCGCGCGCAGTCGTCCGTGTGATGACGCTTCGCCTGAGTGTGCAGCCGAGTGCATCAGGAGACTTGGCGGCGCGCTGAGTGCTACGGCGCCACGACAACTGCATCACGCTCCAACTCTTCCTCCCCGCTGCGTCTACGCCCACTATCGGCTGGGGTAGTAGACACAGACGCTGGTCCCGCCGTGGGGACTCGGTACCGTATGTTCAAGGGCATTGTTGAGGGCGATTCATTGGCGAACCGCACATCGTGGCTTAACGCGCTCGGTGAAAGCAGGGGGCGGATATCAGCAATGCCGAAGTCACAGCATCGCGCGCCCGTCATCCAACGAATGTAGACAACTTGAATGATGTGCTGGTGTCTGCGACTGAGACGTTCGAGACTGGAGTGGGTGTTACTGAGATCGAGTCGGCTAATCGTGGCGGGCAGTATTCTGCTGCTAAACGCGGCCGACGTCCCTTCCATGCTGCCGCTGGCTTCCGTGACGGTGCAGTTCTGACGCGAGTGGTGAGTCCAGGCCGCAGCCGTACCGGTACTAGCAATCGATGTCCGGCTGTACACAAGCTGGGGGCCGAGGAGTCCGTCTCGCACTCGCCGTGTCGATGCTGGCATCCACCACACTTGCGAAAGGTCGCCACGTGGACCGGCAACTCGTAGTCCGAAAGCTCGTCGGCGCTGTTGAGCCAAACGGCACATGTCCCTGTGCGTGTATTCAAAGCATCAAGGCCTATGGCCAAGTGACTGCTCGTCCCAGACGCAAGCGACCTATGATGCTGAGCTTGACACATTGTGTGGCCGTAGAAGCTGTACAACCGACTGAGACTACTGATCGAGATGCATCAGGCGTTTGAACGAGTCGGATCGAGTGTAAACCGACGTACTGAATGCACTGCAGAATTTGAGCGAGTGATGTGTAGCTGCCCCCGCGCCGCGGAAGAGGTGAGTGTCAAGTGGCACTTTCTGGAGTTGTGGTGCATGGCAGCTAAGCCCTGAGCGAAGTGTGGCTGAAGAAGTAGAAGCATGTTTGTCAGTCCTAGCGCCCGACAAGATTGCCGATGCGGTCGAGCAAGGTTGATCTATACGTTGAAGCGAACCTTTATGGGCATGTCAGCACAAGGTGAAGTCGACTGGAATGAAAGTGGAGGATCGTACCTCGTCACCATTGGTCGCGGCCTCAACGCCCGGGAGTCGTACAAAACCCGAAGTCTGGCAACTCGTCTCCTGCATTCCCAAGTACACCTTTTCCCGGCCGGCCTTGGGATCACACACGCCGACCTTCTGTCAGCCTCACCGCTCGCGGCTGATCGGCCCCATCATCAGCAAGCCAGCCCACGCCCTATGACAATGCGCGGCATCTCTGCCTGACCGTTCTCTTGTTCGTACTGTTGGCCGGTCCTTCCTGCGCTGAGCTAGGTACAGCGGGTGCACCGCCCGGTACAGAGAGACTCGATGATGGCGGCAGATAATGATTAGCGCCGTTCGTGAGCATGTACGGACCGAGGTTCGACGCCGGCGGCGCGCAGTTGGGTGGCGGAACGCTCGTTGGCGATTGCAGGTGGCCGCTTCTCCCGATCTTGAGACGCAAATGTGTCGCGCGCAGTCGTCTGTACAGAGACGCTCCGCCTTAATGTGTAGTCGAGTGCACCGAGAGGGTTGGCGAGCGCGCTGAGCGCGCAGCGGCGCAAAGATAACCGCCTCGCGTTCCAACTCTTCGTCCCCGCCGCGTCTACACCCAATGTCGGCCGTGGTAGTAAAGTAGATGTGAATGACGTGTGATGGACGTGAGCACCACAGTGGTGGCTCGGGCCCATTGAAGCGCAGTGTTGATGACGCTCGATGGGCCAACCGTAAATCTTGACGTCTTGACGCGTTTGGGGAAAGCAGGGGGCAGTTATCAGCGATGTCGAAGTTACAGCGTCGTCTGACCGTCGTCTAATGAGCGCAGACAAGGATGTAATAGTTGTTGCGATTGGGCGTTTAAGGCCGTGCGCTACTCGCATTGAGTGGGCCATTCGTGACGGTCTGGTTTAGCGGTACTCGGCCGTACATCGCGACCGACGTCACTTCCATGCTGCCGTTGGCTGCTGTGACGGTGCGGTCCTGGCGCGAGTGGCGAGTCCGGAACGCAGCCGCACTGGCACGAGCGGTCGTGCACCAGTTCTACACAAGCTGAAGGATGAGGCCTGAGGGGTCCGCCTCGCGCTTGTAATCTCCGTGCTGGCATCCACCAAACTTGCGAGACGTCGTGGCGTGCAGAGCTGTCACAGCACAAGAGCTCGTCGACGCCGTCCAGTCAAACGGCACACGATCCCGTGCATGTAGAAGCATCAGGGGCCATGTGCCATAGCCTCTGTAGCTGCCTCCCTCGCAGACGCAAGCAGCCATGACGATGAGCTCGATACATTGTGCGGCTGTAGACGCCATACAACCGACTGATTGAGCGCATCAGACATCTGAACGAGGCAGGCTGTCGTGTAGGTCGGCGTACCAGATATACTGCAGCATTGCGACGCCTGGAATTCGCAGTTCCCCGGGTAGCCAAGGAGGTGCTTGGGAGGCTGTCGCGCCGCTACGTAGATTCCGGGAAACATAGTACGTGGCAGCTAAGCCCTGAGCGAGATGGAGTTCAAGAGGTAGAAGCATCTGTAGTAATCGTGACCTCCGACAAGGTTGCCGATGATGTAGTCGCGTGAGGAGAGCGCCGACATGGCTGTTCAGGACGAATATGCAGACACCAATAGACATTGATCATGGCTTCGGTTCAGTTCGGTCCGAGGCCAACGTAACCCTCACCCGCGCGTTTCCGTGGTTGTTATAACGCAGCCACCATGCATGTACTTATTTACACTCTACGCGACTACCAGCGCTCATGACTATGTATGAGCCCCATGTATCCTTGGATGAACCGGCTAGATGCTCCATGCCTATTGTACGAGTTCAACCTAAGTAGTTCAGGCGCGGCCTCAGGGCGGGCGCTGAATTCGCCACGACTCTCCTCAGCCTGTGGCTACACTGATGATGACGTGACCCTTCGCTCCGACTTCTTCATAGTATGCAGGACCCTCACATCAAGGAGGGTAAGCTACCCTTCCGGTACGGTGGCGAGACGTTCGAGACGTACTACAAGATTGCCGGCGAGCTCAAGCCGACGTCCGTTCCACTCGTCTTCGTTCATGGCGCGCCTGGGACGTGCCACGACTACGGCGTGCCGTTGTACGATCTTGCTGCTGGAGAGAACGCTCGTCCCGTCATCTTCTACGAGCAAATCGGCACTTCGCGCTCGACTCATCTCCTGGACAAACCAGCGACCTTCTGGACATTCGAGCTCTTCAACGCTGAGCTGCCGAAAGTCGCGCGCGCCGCGCGCCGCGCGGTCTCGGCGTCGAAGGTGGCTATCATCTTCTAGGCCATAGCTGGGGCGGCCGGATCGCCGCCGAGCTGATCATGCGTCACCATCCGAAGGGCTTGAAGAGCGTTGTACTGTCCAACACCCTCTCGAGCTCGAAAGAGTATGTTGCGTCTTTCAGAGCGATGCAAAGAGCGATGGGCGAAGAGGTCTGGCTTCCTATCGAGAAGCACGAGAGGGAGGGCACCACAGATGATCCAGAATACGGCAAAGCCATCATGACGTTCTTTGGAGAGCATATGTGTCGCGTCAAACCGTTCCCTAAGGAGATCGAGTTCACGCTTTCGCAACAGGCGGGCGACGGGGAGAAGGTGTGGGCGGCCATGTGAGTGTCGTCCGTGCCAGTGAGGAAGACGTGATCGACCTCTGTTCCAGTCCCCTCGACAGAAGAAAGAAATTCTTCGACGAGTGGTGTATCGACGACCGGATCCACCTCATGAACGTGCTAGCGCTCTTGATCAACGGCGAATTTGACTACATGACGGATGTCGTCTGCGGCCCTTTCCTCTGGAATATGGATAGAGTCAAGTGGGTGAAGTTCGCTCACTCCTCGCATACACCGATGTGGGAGGAGCGCGAGAGGTACATGGATGTCGTTGGCGATTTCCTGAGGGGTGTAGAACAGTGACGAGCCGGATAGGGTTGTCGGTTACTGGATGAAGTACTGCCAGTATATGAGACACAGTCATGATAGCAGAGTTGAAGATCACACACCCTCTGAGTTATGCTCGGCCCTGGTCTAGCGCCACAACAATGTACTCATCGTCGCTTGTTTGCCCAATCGTCGCTTCTCAGTGGGAACGTATGCTCGCCTCATGCAGGCCGGCAATCCGGAGTATGGCAATATGGAGTCCTCCGTAAGCAGTCGCCTGGGCCACTACTGTATCCCGAACCAAGGACCTGGTTGACGTCCGTGTTGTCAGCGCAAATCCCGTGGGAGGCGTCTGTACGCGCCGACAGTCGCTCGTCGGTAAGCTCATCAGCGCGGCCGCGGCCCTCGTAGCGCGGATGAAATCATCGCGTGAGCGCCCTCACTCTCGCACTCCTAGCCGGTACGTCTTGAGCACAGCCGGGTACAGCGGGTGTCGTGAAAGTCGACGAAGGGTACATCGTTAGAGCACTGGCCCTTCGTGACTCGTGAGAATGGCGACTGGAGGTGCCTATGGGCGCTTGTGGTTGCGGCGTTACTGCGCTCTCGGGCAGCAGGTACCTCGCACGCGCTCGTCCGCGTAGTGATGCTCTGCCCTCTATGTAACGTTCATCTTGACCCATAGGCGGCTCCCGTAGACGTAGGTGACGTGTCATGGACGTAGATACCACTGTCAGCGTGATACTGCGCTTCTTGACATAGAGGCGGCCGAACTCAGCGGCCGCTTCGCTCTCGTTCTTCCAGGCCGAAGGAGGGATTAAGCCGGACCTAAGTCTCAGCCTCAAGCGGCATATGGGCAACATGCCAGTTGTGCATCGAGAGGCGCGCTGCAAGCAACACTATCAGCGCCTATCAGACGTGATGGTGGGCGGCGGCTGGAAGCGGTGAGCAGTGGTAAGCCGGCGAGCGCCTCTTGAGAATCAACAATGCGTCAGACGCTCAACGGAGACACGTCACGTAGTAAGGGCTCAATTCATCAACTGATACTGATATTGAATGCAGTTGCTCGATTTGTATGGCGAGAAAGAGGTTCGTCGTAGGACTCGAAGGATACTGCGAGAGGGGCTAAAGATGAGGCATCACAGTCCATATTTAGCCTTGATGATATCAGCCATCTTCTCAGCTATGGCGTATACACTGGACTGAATGTGCGTGGATAGTTCCTGACGAGGGAGGTTGAGTACAAGCATCCGAGGGGAAGGTGGAACACTAGCTTACCAATGGCAAGACGGACGCATCCACCACGCGCAGGTTCTCCGTGCCGTAGACAAGAAGAGAAGAGAAGTATCAACAACACCGCCATCCTTCTTGGGCAGCATGGAGCAGGTGCCAACGGGATGGTATATGCCCTCGATGCTGCACGCTCATGAGTATTGGGGCTTCGCGATTAAACATACACGTACTGCTCGCGGATGAAGTCGCGTAGTTTCTCGTCATCTTCGATGATATCCTCAGGCGGTTCATACAATGCCGGCTTGGAATCGCGGTACGATTCCGTCTGGATAAGCGACTTCGCGAAGCGCACAGCATGTACAAGGACATCCACATCGACCGGGTTGCGCAGGAAGCCCGGATCCAGCAGTGGACGAGCAGTCGGCGCCGACGACGAGATGTGCACTGACCCGCGCGATAGCGGATGCAGATTGATGAGAAGCAATGTATGGTAACGGCATGATGGATCGCTCTTGCGATTCAGCGCAACGGCCGGATGGAAGGCAGGCAGTTGCAAGATCCTACGGGACGATATAATCAGATGCGATCTGGCGTTGGATGGTCATTACGCACTCGAGCATGGGATGTCGAGGATCGGAGAACCATCCTTGGACGAAGCCGAGCTGCTGTTGGAGGGTCTCCGAGCCAGCGGCAGTTTTCTCGTCCTGGACGGCCCGTACAAGTTTGGCAAGCGCATCAGGGCTTGCTATGCGATCGAGTGGGACGTGCGCGCATCCGGAGCAAGGGCTAGACAAAATCCCTCGCTGTTGTTCGTGGCTACCTCTCGTCAATATCTGTTTAGCTGGATATGGCCTGATCCTAGCTCACTAGAGTTTGATCTGCTTGTTCAGGAACGCCTCGTCCGCACAATCATCGAGAGTTTCGGTGTTCTTATCCACCTCGTGAATGAAAGGTACCCACGGATGATCCTAGATCAAACATTGTGAGTGCACCGTCGATACGAAACACAGGGATCAAGATACCTCTGGCACTATTGTCAGCAACTTGATACCTGTAAGGAAATTGCGAGTAACTTACGCAGGTTCTCGCCGACAGGTAGATCAATGAGCTGAGATATTTCGTGCTTGTTGAGCACGTCGCTGAGTCCGATCCCGGAGAGCTCTAGGACCAAGGGAGTCTGGATGCTCCCTTCCAGAGGCTTCAGCGCGCGGACCAACGGGCGATGAGATGCACTGGTGGCATACCACAGCACAAGATCACCTCGCGTTTTGCGCGTACAAGATGCTTCTGACCATCCTTGAGGTATTCAACGCCCTTGGCTACGTACTTGCCATCGGCAAGATCCAGTACGACACGTGTCACATGTGCGCCTGACAGCAGTTGCAGATTCGGACGATCAGCATTGGGCTGATAGTAGGCCTGACGTTCGTGATTCAGTACTGAATGCGACGGGGGATTAACCATTCGTCTTACGTTACCGGCATGAGAACGAACTGCAGAAGTAGGATCCACCGAAAGCATCCCAGTGTACACGCCAGAATTGACGCCACCCGTCTGTCGGTCAGTCAGCTATGAGCCAGAATCAACGATACGGATCGAACCATACCGGATCTATGTTGACAGGAACTCCTAGATCCACGAGCGCGTCAATGAACTGCGCGTGGAGCTGGTTAAACCAAGTAGAGTAAGATATCTTCAATGGACCGTCGAAACCGTGAACGTCGTCATTTCCTTCGAGGCGGTAACGCTCCTTCGCGTCAACAGATGGCCCAGAAAACGTCTCTGCCTGCGAGAGTTTGGTCAGTGAATGTGATACCGAACCCACGTCCACTTCCAACCTTCTTCATATACTGGAGAAAACTGGACCAGTTCCACCCATCGTTGCCAAGAGCCTCGATGGCTATAATCTGCGCGTCAATGGATATAGGTGTGAGGTTATGAGGCACGGACCATCGTACTCCGTAGAGTTGGCCCTGGTTTGTAGTCAGAAATAGCTCGCGGCAGATACAGCGTCTCTTACCTAGTATAGACCATATAGTTGATCTGAAAACTATCAGATCGACTGTATGAAACAACATTCGACACCAGGAGCGTACCGCAGAAGATCCCCCCACACCCTTGCCGCGAGGGCAGGCGATGACACGGTTCTTGGCACCAACCTGCGGGACTGTCTTGAAGTTCCAGTCAAGGTCCTCATTACCGAAAGCCTGGCCAACCATTCCTGACACTCGTGAGATGCTTTCAGCGGTGCACGATACGAAAGAGTTACCGGGGACTTTGATCGGAGGCGCATCGGAATGGTCACCGCCTGCTTCGATAATCCCGACGGTAACATTGGCGTTTTCAGTAAGACTAGTGCAGTTCGATAAGTAAGGGAAAGAGTGCAAGAATATAGGGCAACCGACCGAGCAGCAAGAACAAGCCCCGCCGTCCCACCACCGACAATCACGAAGTCGTACTCTCTCGACGAGGAAGCGTCAGGTGTGTGCGTATTCATTGCAGAAAGATGCCGGGGTTAAGAGGGCACTGTGAGGAAGTCGGGCCCTTCCATAGCTCTCCAGCCCTCTATATACGTAGCAGAAGATCGCATCTTGATCAAGAATGAATATTCCCAGCGGCAGGCACCAATCGCACGGGACGGATGGTCGAAAGAGACAAGAAATCAACAAAACACGCGCAGGCGCCGCGCTGTGACTGGAGGTCACGCGCGACGTGGGTCACGGCCGGTGGACACCCGCCGCGCCGCCGCGATCCTCTCAACGTCCACCACCTTACCCAGCGCTTCTGCACATCAGACTGTCACAAGAAACTTTTGTGAATGATGTACAGTCGCTAGTTACGCTGCTCTCACACACTCTGAGTCCGTCGAATATCACCGAGAAAGCATCTGGGAAGTGAATAGCGGGAGTGTATAGACTCCGAGCAACGCGCAACGGTAATAGGTTTCCGTTGCTTGCGAGACGGCGAAGTTCAGCACGAGAAACGCAGGCAGTCGATTGAATGGACGCCGATGGGAATGAGCCGACACCGTGAAGCCCGCCGTGAACATCGCGCGCAGTATTAGAAGGCTAGGGCACTGCTAGGGCAGCGTGAAATGCGGATATCGTTTCCGAAAGAACGATAGGTGGACTGGCAATAGATGGAAGAGCGTCAATGGGAAACGGAGCTGGACAGTGAGAGATAAGGCTGATCAGCAACAGATGGAGAATACGAGATGAGATGGCGAACGGAACCCCGGATAGACTTGTGTGTCATGATCTCTCGTCTTTCTGGTCCGTGAGGCCCGCTCACCCACGCAGTTTGAGCAGTGACATTGGCCAGCGCTCGAAGTTGAAACTCAGGAGTGAGCGCCTCGGCGATCCGACGTTTCCACCGGCATCGCCTGGACAAGACTTATGTATATCCACCATGCACACTTATAGCATCTAGGCCGACCCAGTCGCCGTCTAGAGGAATCCCATCTATCCAGACTATGTCGACGACACCTGTCGTGCAGCTGTACGTTCTATCTGTGATTGCCATGAGTGAGCCGTCTACTGACTTCTCCCTCGTAGCGTTGGCCCGTTGGTATGTCATGCTGTCAAGTAGTCTCAACCCACGTTCGACGTCCACTTAGATCATTGGGCTTTGTCTCGACTGGGGGTTGCTTGGTTGTTCAAGCGTACAGACATGTACGTACAATATGGCCGTATCTTACTGGTTCGATATGCCGGTATGCTGAAACGATATGCAGATTATTACTATTGCCTCTTTCCCAACGACCGGAGGTCCTTGAAGTCCTTGGTGTACTTCCTCTATCTTTGGGGCGTTGTGCAGACCCTTCTCTTCACTCAGCAAGTATTCGACAACTTGGCGAAGGGCTGGGGAAGTCCCATCGCACTGGAGGCGAAAGGCACTCTTTGGTTCAGTGTGCCGATCATGAGTGGTGTGGGTGAGTAGTAACGTTGACGATGTTACACGACGCTCTGATTATGACCACTCTCTCGCAGCAAGCACCGTTGTTCAATGCTTCTACTCGTGGAGAGTTTTGCGTCTCAGCAAGTCATACTTCCTCAGCGTAGTGATTGTTGTAGTATGTGCCCCCCTCTCGGTGCTATGCATACCCCTCATCGCTTGTTCACCCTCACAGCTCGCCCTCATGGAAGGCTCCAGCAGCATAGCACTGGGGTTCATCGGGAGATTTGAAGTTCAGTCGTTGGCCGAACTACAGTCGAAGACCTTTGCTGTTACTAGTGTTTGTGGTTCACTCACCATCAAGGTGTTCTTCACTCACTCCGGCTAGCAGGTTTGGCTTCTCGGTAGTGCCATTTGCGATGTTGTCATCGGTGCCAGCATGGTATTCTTTGTGAGTGTGACTCCCCCTTTCTGGTCTCGCGCTGATTGCTGTTGATGATGAAGCTGACCCGCCTTCGCCACGACTCTTTCGACCGTGCCGCCGAGAACCTGGTTACTCGTCTCGTCCGTCTGTGCGTTGGCGCCGGAGTCATCACAGGTGAAGGGCGGAGCACTATATCTTCTCATCTCACTCACTGACCCTTTCTTAGCTGTTGTTGCTATTATCGACAGTGCTTTGTATATCGCATATATACACAACAACTACCACTTTGCACCTGCAGCCACCTTAGGGAAACTGTATGGTGAGCATGCTTGCCTTTGTATACGCATACCTGCTCATCCATGCGTAGTCAACTCTCTACTTGTCCTTCTGAACAGTCGTCAACGTCACATTGCGGATGATCCTCAAAGGGGCGGAAAGCTATGGCGTTCGGTCAGTCCCATTCAATTCAAGGACGCATCGCGCCAGTCCAAGATTTCAGGAACACAGTCTCGCCGTACTGTGGACATTCGCCCGGAAGTTGCTGAAGAGGATGTCAGCATGACATCCTGTAATGTGAGTAACTCCATTGTGCATATTGGGCGGCGACGGTCCTCATGAATTGCGCCACAGAGTACACGAAACTCTTCCGGAGACCCTAAGCCCGGTGATGGCAAGCATATCGTATAACCAGAACTCGAAGAGGGTGTGAAGTGCATGGCTACGTATTCGTATCTCCGTATCATCAGGTCGATGTCTGAGACGTACTGTCGTTGCACGGCCGGGCACCGATTGATCCCGTTTCCTAACTTCATATTGAGCCTGTATTTGGGTCGCACAGAACGGGTCCGTGCAGATTTCTCAAGTTGAGAGCACTGTGGAATTGCAGATTGGAGTGTCGGCTTGCGATTCTCTCTCGTCCTTACAGTATGGTGCTTTGGTCCACATCCGAATGGCGCAGGTTCGGCATACCATGAAGACCTTCGCATATCGGGCTTGCTACTGCATTCGCCCGTGCGCCACGGATCATGTGGCATCATACGAAACGAATGCGATACACCGTTAGAGGACCCGGTGGGAAGGGCCTCTGTTAATAGCGATCCTCAATTCGCCCCCAGAACGCCTCCCAGAATGCCTGGCAGAATGGCTGCGTGGCGTGATGTATCAGCTGTGGGCGGCGTAGAAGATCACCGCTATTTCCAATCCTGACGCTTTGGGAAGGGCAATAAGGCTCGGTGATTAATGCCCCGGCTACTTTTAACACCGTTAATTAACGCTAGGGTTAGGGTTAGGTTAATTAACCATGTTAATAAACCTGTTAAAAATGTTTACCCAAGCACACCTCTTCTACGGATGAGCAGCGTGCGTCAGCGTCGCCAACGGATCGCCGGCTGGACGTTTGGCTCTGCGCGTAGACTCTCTGTGTGCGGGCCGCTGCAGCAGTGACCGCCGCCGCGAGCGCAACGGATGTGCGGTAACGGGGTAGTACTGGCACAGCGGGCCGTATGCACACCGAGGTCTCGTGTAAGAGGTAGATACCTGTACTCTCGCTGGAAGTTGGGTTATGGAAATCATCGACTCCAACTTGCCCCGACTCGTACGGGCGATGAAAGCGCGGCGGAAGTTCAAACGTTCAGCGCCAGCTCGCCAGCGCCGCGGTGGCCGAGCGCCTGTGAATTCTGGCGTTCGGCCCGAGTTGGGTTGAACTATGCCTCCCTCTCGTCGGCACGTCTGGCGCGCTTCACTACCATCGCGGCTAGGGATGCTGAAGCAATCTTGCAGGCTACAGTGCGCTATAGGTGCCTCCGCCCTAGGTTAGGGTTAGTTAAGTACATATAGCCCTGGCCCCGGCAGTTTTGAACAGCGTATATTAACGCCGTTAAATAACGGTTAAATATGCTTAGTTCAAAATGGAGCAATAATCACCGCGCCTTAGGGCCCGGCACAGGACGCGTCAGCCGGCCGTCCCAACCCTAACCTAACAACATCCCTTTCCTGCCTAAGGAATCTTTGAGGCCGCAAGTCTCAAGGCGGATTATCCTTCTGTCGCCGCCAGGTATACGAGTACCCTAGTCAATCTCACATTCGGTTGATGTTCTCTTACTGACGGCGGATATCCTATGACGAGAGCTTTCTTACATCTGGAGTTTCCTCTCCTCCTAAACCGCGCCAATAATCGCTAATTGGCACCA